ATTTTAAAGACATTCACTAGCTACAAGTAAAACAAGGCATTAACATGACAAAATGTCACCACCTAGTTGAAACAAGATAAAAAATATCTTTTTGACCTTGAGGAGGTAACTAAAGGTCAAATCTATTTTGACCTTTAGAATGTCATTTAATGATCAAATCTATATTCTTAAATCTTAAAAAGGTCATTGAAGGTCAAATCTCAGACCTTAAGTCAGATTTGAACTTCCGATAACTTATAGATGATTTTGAAAAAAGGTTGATTTGAAGCAAGTTGAAAAAAGACCTTTTCTGACCTTGAAAAGGTCATTGAAGGTCAAATCTTAAATATAAAGTCAGATTTGAACATCTGAAAACATGTAGATGATTTTGAAAACAATTGAAGTCAGTCTATACAGTATTTGTAAATTATTGGAAATTGTAAGAATTTATTACAGACCCCAATTGCCAACCACCAACCACAAACCGCCGACCACTGACCACCGTCAAAAAAGAACAGAGACCTTAACAATATGTCACCACTTTTTGTTGGTGACATAAAAATGATAACCTGATATGAACCATCCTAAGCAGGTTTCCAGAATCCGTACCTCCTTCTTCCCCCTGCTATTACAAATTTGGACGTGCCGATTTAACTGAATCACATGATCTAATTATGCACAATGATTTCTGTCGCAGTGTTGCGACAGCCAATCGGATTGCGAGTTCTTAATCGGGGAAATGGTAACTGCTTATCGCAGGGGGTAAAAAGAAAGAATATGTTCTTGATTTTGAAGCCCTGTGATCAGAGGATGGATATGAACATGAAGTATTTATTTTTAGATGAACATGCCAATATGGCCACGCCCTTGTAAAAAGGGAAAGAGGGGAGAGGTAAATTGACCCCTATAGGCAAAAAAAATTGTTAGAGTTTGAGTTTTTTCTTTATGGTAATGTGTTGGGGACATGTTGGTGCTACTTTTAGGAAAGTTCCATTAATATTAAACTGAGATTGATTGAGAAATTAAAAAATCAATACCAATCAGTGTCTCTCAACCCCCAAAAATTCTATGATTTTAGGGTGAAAAAATGTTGTTGTTTTTAAATAAAGTTAAAATTCTTCAATTTTTTTACATATGCATTGTAAGTATGATTACTCTTAACAGAAACACCAAAAGAAAGAAGCATTGGTTGTTTAGTTTTTGTTTTATAGCTAGATAATAATGTACCCCCAAGAAATCTGAATTTTAGGGTCGAAAATGCAATTTTAACATCTTTCGCACCATTTGCGGCGCATAAGACCAGTAAAATCTGTTGAGATAGACCTAAATACATAACCTAAGTCACAAGAGAAATTGTCCCGACAACACCCTGATCAAAGTGCCTCAGATCGCTACCTAATAGTAGATCCTTCTCCCGGGATCCTTCTTATGATTTCGTATTTGGAATGGGATAGGATTGGCTCAAAAATCATGCATGATGACTGCATTGATCCTTAATACCTATGATTCCAGCTTTAATAAAGGATGAATTATTTCTGCAATAATATGATTCCACACACGTTTCCATTTCAATTTCAAAATAATTTATTTCAGTTTTTATTACAAAATTTACAACATTATACAGGCTTCATTTGAAAGTGCTCTTTAACATAACCTCTTTAAGGGCCAGTTTTCTTATAACCTGTAGAAAAGGAGTATCTAAATTAATTATTTCAAATAAATAAGTATAAAAAATGGAGAAGTGATACAGAGAATAGAAAGACATCAGTAATAGTATCTTTGAATATAATTGAATTTTCTGCATGTGTCTTAAATGAACTTTTTTCATTATCATTAAAATATTTATGAAGTGTTAATAAACTCCTGAAGTACTCTAAATGTTAATACAATACCTTCTAGTTAATAAAAACTTATAATAATTACTTGAAATACTCCTATTGAATTGACTTTGTATTTAAAATGGAGTTATCTCCATACTACATTCAGATCTTTAAATCAAAATTGAAGAAAATCAGTTTTTAAGTTAAAGAAATTCAATTTCAAATTTAAATGCACAAAAGAACAGCCAAATAGAAAATAATTTGAACTGCCCAGTTATTAAGACATCAGACTATTTTGGAGATAAACCAAATTTAACAGAAGGACTAAGTGAAAGCATTACGCAAAAACTCTAAATGTCATAGAAAATCAGACGTGTCATTGACAACAGAATGACGCAATATAAAATTAACCTCACTGAATAGATATCTAATGAACGGGTGTTTTCATGATAATTAAATTGTTTAGAAAAGCTGCAATAACTCAGTTGTTCCCTCCTTATCAATGAATGGCACCTCAGATAAAAGAAATCAGAAATCATATTTTCCTTCTTTTAAACATTGTGTCTATATGAACAATCCATGCCTAAGCTTTCATTAAGACTCCAGTATAATGCATCAAATTAACGCTTTACCTAAACAATAAATATCAAAAAGATATGATTTTAAGCCGAAAAGAACATTAAAAATAGTGAAATAATGCAGAATTGATTTAGCAAATGTAAGTAGATTACTTAAAAATTATGCAGAATTTTATTAAAATCAAAAATATATTTGAGAAATGTCAGAGAAAAGGAAGACAAATGGGGCACTTTAAACATAGGGTTTCACAAAAGATGTCAATAATTTTTTAGTCTCTTAGATACAAAATGTTCAATAGTTTTAAATAGACATCCAGACGGAGGCATTTTGTGAATAGAATTGACGTCTGTATCAAGTAAACCTTCTATAATATGAACAACAGGTCTTGTTTACCAGCTCCTTAATTCAATCAAATATTTTCACTCGGTTTTAATCCGCAATAACGCATCTTGTAAAATAAAGCTTCGAAAATGCTATCAATGTGGTTATTTCAATGAGTGGAGAATTAATAAGATTGTTTAAAATTGCTTCGCAAACACCAAACAGCTTTCCAAGTTGATTGACTTTTGCAGCTTGATATATTCTAAATAGCTTTAGCAAAGTTCCATTGTGATAAACTTTAAACTTAATCAAAATATAAATATCAAGATAATGCTTCTTTTTCTTAAAGATATTTCATTGTTCAATGTAACTTTTTTAATAAAATAAATATCTTAATAAAAATATGAAAATTAATTAAAATCGGTTCTGATTTGATTTCAAATAATTTTACAAACCTGTATAGTAGAGTTGACACATTACACAAAATGTATTTCTCAAACTTATGTATATTTTTAAAGTTTGTTCAAAAATACACATTAAATATCAAAACTATAGGCCAAAAACACCTTAACACCTTAGACAACACTCAGGCCTTAAAGTTGTATACCAATATTTACAAAGGCCTGACATCTTTTAAATGACAATAGTTCAACTCACCTTATTCATATTCTCACTGGAAAGCGGCACAACTTTCTATGATTCTGGGCTGACCATAGGCAGGATTCTGAATCTAAAAACATAACCCATTTTTCATTAAAAAATGTAGTCCCTGTTTTTCATCAACATTTCGACAATCCCAGATATGTATTAGAAACTTTCATGTAAATGCAATAAAAAGTTATAATACAAAAATGATATTCTAAAGTTAAGGACATCAGTGCCATTTTCAAAAATTATGATGAGAACTTACTTCCAACAAATTCATGAAAAAATAATGGTTGATTTGGCCATTGTATAGGGCTGATTTTTATGGGCTTTATTTTATCTGATATTAGCTTCTTTTAAGTTAGAAATTAATTGTGCCAAATGCTTGATATTCATTGGTAAAATATCATTCTCTGACACTACCAAAACTAGACATTCCTATCCAGTTATTGTGCTTATCATCTTTCATAATTCAGTTTTTGGAGAACATGTGACAGGCTTGATAGGCTAGATAATAGAGCCAAGGGCATTCAAGAGATAAACCAGAAAGATCAGAAAAACCACTTGGTTGTAAAACTGGTTACTAACTAATGACTCCTAGGTGATTGAAATTTTCAATGTTTATTGTATAATTATATTAAAATATAAAGAATAAAGAACATTTCTACTATTGTTGTACATATTGTAAAGCATTTTTGCACAGTAGTTTCTATGCTGAATTGCAACACAACTGCAAGAAAGGGTACACGAGAAAGTATAGCATTCTCTCATTTCTATGATAAAATCTTAAATATAGATGTCACTGGAAAACATATTCCCTCTCACTCTGATGTTGCCGTGTCTTAATAATTGTACTGAACACATAGTTCTTCATTGTCCACAGAGAAGCTGTACATATGTCATCTATATCTTTCTTCTCTTCAGTTCTATTCTTAATACTAGAGTCAACACATGGTCTTGCATTGTTTAATATAATAAATTTTTAATTTTCTAACTGCGCATGACGGAACTCACTCAATACAAGTACATTATAGATTTATATAAAGATGTCAGGTCGATCGTTCAGAATAAAAATGAATTTATGCACATAAATAATAAGTAAAATTATATATTGTTTCCATTTTATGCCCTTAGACCCACCACACACATTATATCATTACACAGCCCTAAATTCTCCACACAAAATTGTCTGTTGTTCTGCTATATCTATATCGATTACACAGACTTGCATTGCCTCCATACAACTTGTCTATATTTGTTCTTGTTGCCATAACATTATCATGTCCTTTCCATAACATGTCATTCATTACCCACACAGAAATTATCCATAAATATTTTTTCAATAGCTCTCAGATACCATATCACACACCTGTTCGTTTAGTAATTTAATTGTAAACTTTCTCTTGAAAAAATAAATATTTCAGATTTGTTGAATTTTCTTCTACTCCCTCTCCAACCATTTTGTCTGATCACTGGGCTGGGCGTGCACATGGTCCAGCATTGTCAACAAAAGAAGTTGTATAGATAATTATATTCTTCAATGTATGCCAGTGGATGTCATATATCATCCAATGGTTCCAAATTGTTCAAACAGATTTTGTTTACAGATACATCCATCACATTGCATTACATTGTCCATGGAGCAAGGAGTTATCTCTATAGATATGTCCTTCTGTTCTTCACATGGTCCTACATTACCCACAGAGCAATTGTTTATTTTGTCTACAGATATCTCCATCACATTGCGTTACATTGTCCATGGAGCAGTTACCTATAGATATGTCCTTCTGTTCTTCACATGGTCCTACATTACCCACAGAGCAATTGTTTATTTTGTCTACAGATATCTCCATCACATTGCGTTACATTGTCCATGGAGCAAGCAGTTATCTCTATAGATATGTCCTTCTGTTCCTCACATGGTCCTACATTACCCACAGAGCAATTGTTTATTTTGTCTACAGATATCTCCATCACATTGCGTTACATTGTCCACAGAGCAGTTATCAATAGAATATGTCCTTCTTTTCTTCACATGGTCCTACATTGCCCACAGAGCAATTGTTTATATGCTCTTCTAAAGTCTGGCATTCTCCATCCATATATCAATGCATTAATGAAAGAATTACAACTAACTAACACATCGGCATACTTATTAAATATCAAAAGTCCAAAATGATCATTCCCTAATACAGCTTGCAGTAATGTGACAATAATGAAAGGTGTATAACATAGCAGAAGGACCCCATAGACAGTTAGCATGGTCTTCGCTAGTTTCAAACTCGCTTGTCTCTTTTGTTCCATTAAAACATCTGAGGATAATATCGCATTGTTTTGTATCGTGATCCTCTGTTGTTGCTGTCGAACAGTGAAGATGATCCTGGCATAAGATCCACTGATTATCAGTGTCAGGATGATGCATGGGATGAACAGGAAAATAGATAGCATCAGTCGTTGAAGGGTTTTAGACAGATGACATGCCTTCCCCGGTTCCCAACTATCATGTGTGCAAATAACGGTCATGCCTATAAAGCCAAGGATCCATAAAAGCACAATGTTGAATCTAACAACTTTTAATGAGAAATATCTCTCATAGAGAAATGGCCGTGTGACGGCTATGAGTCGATCAACTGCCATGGCAGTCAATGTTAAATAAGACACTGCCGCAGATCCAACCATCATACCCAAGCAAATTAAGCATGAGTTTTTCTCTGTAGCATCCCCTTCAAAATTCAATACCTTGGGGTTAAAGACTCGGAATGTACAGAAAAGCATGGATATTCCTAAAAGTAAATCGGCACATGATAGACACAGCACATACATGTTGGCTGGTGTTTGGAGATAATAGAATTTCCTTATTGCAGTTATTGTTAGAACGTTTGTAAATATTATAATAGGACACATCAGTATTATAAGCACTGTAGGAATAGTGGTCAGAAAGTGGTTGACTTCTTCAATATCATCTGTGTTAAAGTTATCAGATATTAAACTACTGTTATTGCTCATATTTGAGATTTATCCAACAAGCTCCAATAAACACACAATGTATTATGGTTGATTTAATTAATTTTATTATTTATTCATGAATTGATGTTCTTTATTATCATCATCATATTTAGGAGGGTGAGGTGTAATCCTGTGTTATCCTCCCTTCTGATCATTTATTAGTTATATGTATTCTTATTGGCAGTTTTTAATTTCTTTGGTATTTTATTCCCAAAGACAGTAGGTTATTTAGTTTAAAAAGTGGTAGGCTGCACCAAAATATTATCCAGATAATTCAAATAATCTAACTAATAATTCCTTCATTAAAAAGGTACCCATTCCCTTTTATCCATCAAAATCAAATTCTGTGCATTTTATTTTGGAATACTATTCTTCCTTCCTTCAAAAGCGCCTCTTTTCTTATGTCTTTCCTTAACAAATCCATCTAAAATTGGTACATGTATATTCCTTCCTTACAAAATATTAAATCAGTTGGCTTTTGCCATTCCTTAATATCTGCCTCAGAACTTTTTTATTTTCTCGATTACCAACTGGATAATGTTTCTTGCCTCATGGCTTGTACCTTGTTTTACATTCCCTGCCCTATTCATCTAATTTATTTGTCAGTGATGAGACATAAAATACTTGAATTATGTCAGACATTTGATGTTGTCAAGAACAGATCACATCTCCATTAGAGGACAACAATATGCCATTGTATTGTTTACTTTTACTAATGTAAATTAAACAATAGATCTCATTTGACATGTTTTGTGGTGCCTAGAAACAATTGATCTGGTTCAATGTTTTAGGTTGTTGTCAAGCTTCATGTTCAAAGTCATAAATGTATTTTCAACTTCAGCATCATGTTTAGTCATAAATGTATTTTTCAACTCCAGCATCATATTGAGTCATGAATGTATTTTTCATCTCCAGCTTTTTCAACTCCAGCATCATACTGAGTACTTATATACTTATATATGACCTTTTACTTCTGGATCAAGTACAAGTGAATTGTTTGATTGTTTAAGTATATCCTGGCGCTCCTTATACTGATATGCATAACTTCATATTCAAGGTCACAATCTATCTCTATTGTTGGAAGATCTATAATAGTATCATCAGATCATATAACTGAAAACGAGGTTCAATTTCTATAGAATGCTAACACTCCCAGTAAAAAGCTATAGTTAATTAGCATTTAGACAACTTAGCAAACATATCAGATATTGATAAGTGCTATCTTTTTTATTATTAAACATTTCTATTTTTTCTTTTCAATGTGTGTATTGTTTGGTGGGATAAATCATAGGTTCATTCCCATTAGATCGATTTAATTACACTTAATTAGACTAAAACCTTTGTTGACATGGGAACTCTTACGTGAGCAAATATATGGAATTTGCCCCAAGTATCTCATGATTTGTTTTAAGTGACAATTTAAAGGCAATTTTGAGAATAATTTGTTGGATGAGATGTGAAATTCTAAGATTTAGCACATAGCAATTGCTTGGCTTAGCATATAGCAATTGCTTGGCTTAGCTCATAGCAATTGCTTGGCTTAGATCATAGCAATTGCTTGGCTTAGCACATAGCAATTGCTTGACTAAGCTCACAGCAATTGATTGGCTTAGCACATAGTAATTGCTTGGCTTAGCTCATAGCAATTGCTTGGCTAAGCTCATAGCAATTGCTCGGCTTAGCTCATAGCAATTGCTCAGCTTAGCTCATTGCAATTGCTCGACTTAGCACATAGCAATTGCTCGGCTTAGCTCATGGCAATTGCTTGGCTTAGCTCATAGCAATTGCTTGGCTTAGCACATAGCAATTGCTTGGCTTAGATCATAGCAATTGCTTGGGTTAGCTCATAGCAATTGCTTGGCTTAGCACATGGCAATTGCTTGGCTTAGCACATGGCAATTGCTTGGCTTAGCACATGGTAATTGCTTGGCTTAGCACATGGCAATTGCTTGGCTTAGCACATGGCAATTGCTTGGCTTAGCACATAGCAATTGCTTGGCTTAGCACATGGCAATTGCTTGGCTTAGCACATGGCAATTGCTTGGCTTAGCACATAGCAATTGCTTGGCTTAGCACATGGCAATTGCTTGGCTTAGCACATGGCAATTGCTTGGCTTAGCACATAGCAATTGCTGAGCTTAACACATAAAAATTTCTAAAAATGACAAAGATATGAGGAAAAATTAGGGTTGCCGTTTTTTTTACCACCCTGTATGCAAAAAGATAAGAGAATCAGATGTAACCTTTATCTTGGCTTACTCCCACTTCATCACACAGTGCTAATTCTTTGATGCAATGCTGCCATCTATTCACATTCATGAAATTACAACTATCTTTGGACTGAACTTCATCATTTGCTGGTTTGAACTTTTCATAAATCAATAAAATGTATGATAATTATGCATTCTGATAACTAAAGCTAAAAATGTGCCAAGAAACATTGTCAGTTACAGTTTGAGAGCATGCATTTATTAACTTACCTTTCATTTCCTAACATAACAAAGTTGCACAGATGACTGCGTAAGAAGGAAGCACTTGTCAAACAGTGGACAATGTAATTAGTCTAGTGACTCTAGCAGTGGTCTATGAAGCGATGGTGGTACAGATGGTGTACAGTCTAGCAATGGGTTGTGAAGTGCATTGAATAACTGCAGAGAGAGATGCTGACTTGCACTGCAGAATATGGGGGCTTGATCGGGCGATTTTTTACTCTTGACGTTTCCTGGAGCACTCCCTCTAAAATGCTGTTAGAACCAGGAGCATTGTCTTGGGGCACCTGCTGTTGGACTCCAGCGCATTCATCCATTTTTGGTTTTTGAATGACTTAAAATTACAGAGACTTGTAACTTGAACATGATTGAAAGTATTTGTGTACAGTCAGTGATGAATTCTGAATCTGCTATCAAAGTGACATCTATTCATTTTGGGCAGGAACATCACATACATTTTCAAATGGAGTATCAAACTTTAATTTATTCGCATCAACTTGGCAAAGTATAATGGTCCAAAATTAGCCCTTATGTGTGGTATGACTAATTGTCCATATCTACAATGTTCGTAAAATCTAAAAGTCTTCGAGCATGCATCTGCCAATGGTTTTAAATTACACACAGAAACGTCAATCTTTGTATTCTCCCAGAGCCATTCCAGAGTGCTTTGTATGACGCCATCATTCTGATTGGGTGAAAGTGTGCAGGTGCTGTATACAACAGAGCCACCTGGCTTACACGCAAGTATCGCAGAACTGAAAAACAGTGCAAATATCACTGATTATCACGTGCAAAAGAATGGCAAATTTAGATGCAATAATAGTATTCTGTATTCACTTACTCCCTGCCTCAGCTAATCTGTTGAAGTACATGCACAGCATTGGGTACAAAATGATAAACTGAACACTGAGTTTACTTAACAATAAGACCTTATATTAATATAGACTTTCTTTGATTTCTTTCCAGGTTTGTTGAATTTTCTAGCAGAAATCATTGTATCCCCTACATCCCATATTTCCGATCACAGGGACGTGATGATACAGCAATAAAATAAAACAATAATGCATTATTACCATAGCAACTGTTTCTGTGTGTCGCCGAGACTCAATCTCTCTCTTTTTCTCCCAGAGCTGAAAATGTTATTGTCATCTGTCTGTAACATGTGCCTATCTGTCAAACATGGGACATCTACCAACACCTGAAAGTGTAAATATTATCATAGGCTTAACATTTACTTTTACATGTATCCATAGGGATCAAATCATTGCGTGCCAATCCATCGAGCTAAATGTCATGGCTGAACTATGACTGCCTCTTTTTGAAGAAAACTGAGCTTAGGTTCTCGAGGTAGATGAATGTGAAAATGAGAGACTGAAAACATTTCTACAGCCGACTAATAACCAAGGTTATTTTAGATCATAATCACATGTTCGTGACTACCTGGATAAGTATAATGGGTACTTGGAGATGATATGGACTACAATATAGAACAAGATACACAGTGATAAATAGCACATGTTGAAGAGTAGAATGGTCACAATATAATTTACCAAGCATGCCTAAAACCTAATCATATCTTGGCACTAGGCTGCTCTTGCATTTGTAAAAATTTTGTAGTCTCAAACTTTGGGAAACTTAGATAACAGTGTTTACACCTTGTTTGATGATCCCTTGACCTTGAAAATATCACTTTCTCAGACCTCAGTAGGTCTTTTGTAATTAAGTTAACCTTAATTTGAATCCAAACAATCAATTTAAAATTCAACTTTTTGAGCTTTCAAAGAGAATTGAAGATGGGACAAACTAAACTACATGTATATAAATGTTTTATATTGCATGCAATGATATAATATAGAATATTGATAGCATGCTTCTTACTTCTTGTAAATGTTTTTTTACAGTGGATTACAGTTTATACCCCTTAGGGTGTTTTCCACTTGATAATGTGTATCTAGATTTCTTGTATCTGGATACCCATTATATGGTGTAAGTCATTTTTAATGTCTAACAAAATATATGAGTTGAAAAATGATTTGTTAAGTTTCTAGTGTTTTTAAGAAAAATAGCATGCTCCCCCATGATGGACTTATCTTTCGATCGCACCCCATGTAATAAGGCACACCTTACTCAAAAGTACAAAAGTGTTGATTGGAAAAGGTTTTTATATAAATAATTAGACTAGATAATAATTCATTCCACCCTGTTAATTCTGTTTGCATTCACCCAAATGATGAAATACTGAGATATTTTGACTAAATAATGTAAAAAATCAGATTTATCACACTGTTATTTGAGTTATTGCCTTGATTGATGGACTAGAATGACCACTAAACTAACAGACAAACTGCTCATAGTTATAGTTAAGGCTCTTAGACTTATTTTTCATAGCAATTTGTCAAAAATCTTAGTCAAGGTTTCTTAGAAGTACAATGGTTAGAATTTTTTAGCTTATTGCAATTATGCAATTATAAGGATCTTGACATTGGATTTGGATTTTTTCTCCACTCATATTTCATATTAAGTAGGATCACATCATCTTTGATACATCTGCTACTTCTTCATTTTGTTATCTAGAATCGGCAAACCCACATACTAACAAATCCCAGCCAACTCTACATTTCTGAATCAGCATATGTCACAATCTAATATTTACCATCTTCTTTACCCCTGATTAGATCGGAAGATATTAAAATACATGCATGGAGATACATCAGAATTTCCACTGATTTAAGCCCTAGGGTGACCATTTGGGAGTTCCAAGGCACAAATTTGAGATCTAATATTATGCAACTTTATTTTGTAGATCTCTAAGAGCGAATTCCTGCTCTAGGCAGCCATTTTGAATTTTCTGAGCCACGAATCAGGACAAAGATACCATAATTGTAATCTGGTCTAGAATTTCGTCAAATTGAGTTTATCATACATGTAGCCATAACATAAACAGATCAGATAATCCTTGTGAAATCCCACATGACAAGAACTGACTCATGTGACTCCATCCCTACACCACACCCATCCACACAAGACGACAACAAGATAGCACTTTTTCAAAGTGTGATAAAAAGCTTAGAAAATGTAATTATCAATGCATATTATGACCTCTTTGTATGGCTTGGGATGAATTCAAACATGATGTTAATTAATCTAATAATTTACAAATATTTTTCATTTGTGCATACCTTATCGAACATTTCTGTCATGATATGGCCTAGTTTGGTGCCGTCTTTCTTCAGAATAGTGATTTTGTCTGCTGCAGGAATATACCAGTTCAGCACTGTCTTAAGACGCCCCAGCCTACTGTGTGAATTATCATTGCATGTCAGCTTGTCTGGAATAACACACAGAATCTGTATTAAGGGGTAGAAAGTTTGTCACAGATCACCCCAAAAACAATGAGATTACTTGGCTGATTTGGAGCAAGTTGAAAAAAGACCTTCTTGACCTTTTTTGACCTTGGAAAGGTCATTGAAGGTGACATCTCAAATGTGAAGTCAGATTTGAACTTCTGAGAACTTGCAGATGATTGAGAAAAAATTTTTGGTCAATTTGAAGCAAGTTGAAAAAAGAGCTTTTTCACCTTTATTTGATGGTCAAATTCATTGAAGGTCAAATCTTAAATCAGATTTGAACTTCTGAAAACTTTTAGATGATTTTGTAAAATATGGAAGTCAGTCTGAAGAGTATTTGTTAAAGTTATTGGCAGTTGTAAAAATTTGTTACAGACTCCAATCTCCACCCGCCAATCACCTGATTTAATATATGAACCACATACATAGGCACCTACCTGTAAGTCCTGTCTGGAGAATGGTAAGTGCTTTCCCACCTGGAGCAGCACAGAGATCCAAAACCTTGTCTCTTGGTTGTAACCCAAGGGCTAGCACAGGTAGTGTTGAGGCAGCATCCAGTAGATAATAATCTAAAATAATCAGTCTTAAATCATTATCAGTGTTTAGTTGATCATTAATATTTACTAATCACTAATAATGAATAATATGAGGATGCAAAATGTGCATTTGATTTGACTGCAAATAAAATTGAGCATTAACAAGGTAAGCCTAAGATGATTCCATAGGCTTACCTTTAATATGTCAAAAAGGCAGAAAATTCTAGGGTTTGAATAAAAATGTGAGAGCACAAATGAATGGAATTTGTCTTGCTGCATGAAAAGTTTCTTTCAATATCTACAGAAATGAATAACTGTACCAAAGTCTACTGAAGTTGGAAGACTGCAAGTACTTATTTGTCAATAATCTTCTTTCCATACATTTTAATCATCAGACAACAAAGACACTTAACATTTACATGTAATTACCAAGTAATCTGTGACTATCACCCTTTGGAGGTTGAAACATTGTGACATTTCCCCGACTAAATGTATGGACCTTAAGTTGTATGGGCAAGGACAGAGAAGTGTCCTCAATCAGATCAACTGAAAAATCCTGAGGGCGGAAAATGTTCTCCTCTGTTTCTTTGAGTTCTAATAGTTCATCTTCTGTATATACTGTCTCAACTGGCATATATTCATACAAGTTTGAATCTAACTCTGTTTCTACATGGTGGCCATCATCATGTTGCACCAAGGGAGGTTTTTCTTTTTCCTTTTGTAAGCTTTCAAGAATTTCAGGTATACTCACATCCTTTTTAAGTCCAATCTTGTCAACAATGTCAGATGCTTCACTTAATTTATGACTTTGTGCAATTTGAACAAAATTATCTGCACCTGTGTCAATAAGGTCCAGTACTGCACTGTCCACATTGTTTGAGTAGTTATTTATGAGTGCCCCATATTTCTGTTGGGACAAAAGGGCCAGTCTGATTGATGGCCACAGCTTATCATACATGGGTGCATAAAAGCGGTCAAAATGCTCTAGTGCTAGTAGTGAAGGTAGCTTTTGTTTCTTGTGTGTTGCCTGAAAATGGAAAAAAATTAAAATGTACATGACTATGTTTACTGACGAATGAGCACTGAAATATCATATACTTAGGAGTTAGGTCAAATTGCCTATATACACGTAGGCTACAGACCAAACAAAAATATTCAACTCAGTTGTGTTGGGTTGTCTTTATCTTGGCGATATTATGGGCTTTCAAGAAAAAGCCCATATGCCGAATTAACTAGTTATGATGCCTTCGCTGGAGACAAATAAGCAAAAGAAATATCACTGAATCAGGCTTTTCTTGACATCCCAAAGCTGAATCAACAAATTATAGTACTGTTACCTCTTTCAAAGGCTGACTGATCTGTTAGAACAGCCTTTAAATCTGCTTCAGAAACGTGATGGCTGAAAGTGAAAAACTGAAATCAGCTGCTTACTTTGTATCTCAAAATGTTTCCTATATTACCATCCTCCATTTGCAAAAGTCTGTAAGTTATCAGCATCTTCTGTGCTGATCAGGACTTTTCTTTGTCAGTCGAGTTGGTATTTCCTACCGAGAAACCAATATGGCAGCTTTGACGGAAATTCATGAAGTACCATTCAAAATCTCTGAAGATTTCCAAATGAGAGTTAACCTGCTCTGAATGAAATGCTGAGCTGAACCTCAATCGAAATCTCTGGAGAGTTGAGCAGCACTTCATGAATTTCCTTGATATCCACCATTTTGATTCTTGGTAGAAAATTTTCACTTGACTTGATAATAAAAGCAGTCTTTAGGTCACGTGGCTGAGTCAGGCCCAGAATAAAGAACAAAGATAGCAACTTTGTGGGGGTATTTGTAAAAATAAATCTTGATCGGCACAGAGACAGCTGATAACTTCCATAGTTTCACAAGTAAAGGCCAGTGATGTAGGAAACATTTGGGGATATAAAGTAAGTAGCTAATTTCAGACGGATGACAGGGCGCATGTAAAGGCTGTATTAGAACAGAGCACTAGCAGCCAGGTAAAGTATCTAGATGTACCTTGTAATTTAGGTTTTGACAGCCCAACAAGTCAGATATCCAGTGTTACTAGAATCTAGAAAGTTACTAAAATCATGGACCTCTGCCATATTTCTCCTGTTGCCATATATTCACTCGAGGATCGGACATTAAATCTTTGGAAAAATTTTATTTCCTTGATTTTGGAGTCATTATCAGTTTATCAATAAATATAACATGTCATACTTCAAATGATATGTACTGTTGTCAGTTTTATCTCCAATCACTTCAACCGCGCACATATGTAAACGTCTGTTGACAAAATAGCTGAGCAGAAAGATAATGTCCAGTTTCCGCAATTCCGGTGATTATGATGTCTATTCCAGAGATCATACAGCTGTAAGTCTATTCTGAGAATGTGACACCACTCCAGATGATGTCACACCAGAGATTACCAAGTAGGGCTGTGCCGGAACCGGTTCGGACGGTTCGGAATCGGAACCGGAACTTGGTCTCACGGAATCGGAACTTTCGGAACCCCTTTTGGTTCACAAATGAAAATAATTATGTATGAGTGAGTTCGACGAAACGAATACGAAACTACTCGAGGAAAATCTGTCATGGGGAAGATAATTTCTTCTAAATCAATTAATCTGATATTGTAAGAGTTAAAATGTAATTAATTAACGCTGTTAGATTGTAAGACGTCATGGAAAAGTAAATTTATTCATTTATCTATGAGTATTTTCGCCCCGTCGATTCCTACTTCCAATGAAATCCGAAGGTCAAAGTTCGTAAAACAAAACTTGATTTCTGTTGATTTCTCCGCTATTTATTTTGTTTATGCGAGTAATACACATGCAAATTGGATGTAGTTTGAAGGAAAACATCACTGGAGGAACAATGGTCACGGATATTAACGATTCAAAGCAAGTACTAAGGTAAGGGTCCGATATTGTTCCGAAACCCTTCGGAACATGATATTAAAATTCCGAATTCCGGTATTTTAACAAAAGTCCGCGGTTCGGACCGATTCCGGTCGAATGGCACGGCCCTATTACCAAGACACACCATGAAGTTTATTGAGTCCCGTGGAAACAATAACCCAGTTTGTTTAGGCTACATGATCATTTGCTTTCATGTTCATTGTGATGTGATGTAAACTGACAGATGAACATCATCTGACAATGCTGGAAACAGGCCGGAAACTACCGAATCCAGACATTATCTTTCCTTACGTTTAAAGTCAGTGGTCATTTTTGGATGTGCTATTTTTGGTGTCGTGTCTTATTATTTCCTTGAACCTACTATCAATGGGGACTGGATCTGGGAGGTATGCACAGTCAGCACTATCAATGGTATATTCTAAAAATATAGGGAATATAATAGAGAAAAGTCCATAAGGCGTTTGTGACAAAATTTCCCGGAAGTGTTATATTTCCATTTATCATACAAACTGAGACATTTATGCTAATAATTCGACGTGTATATGATTCTTACATACCCAATACGATCAAAAATGTTACTAACATACCAAATGAAAGGTGATTTCCTGGTCAAACTTGCAAAAGTTGGTCCAAATTCGCACTTGAACCGAATATTTACCAGAAGTGTTTATATTTCCATTTAGGTGTCACTACAGTAAATCATTGAAAAATATTGAAAAATCACAAAATTCAGGTTCTGCGATACATATCGCCATTTTCGAACGAATTAGCCCATACAATAACTATATTTCTGCGTTCCCCTATACATGACCTTCATCTTGACCATATATTTAACATAGGGTTTGCGTCTTGATTTTTAAATATCACTACGCCAACACAGGGACTCATTTTTAGGTAAAATCCCTGCTTCACCGATGAAAATTAACGAATAAAGTAGTTCAAGTTTACGGGACTATATTCTTGCGATTTTTTTTCTAAAAATGGCACATTTAGAAAGTAATTGGCCTCAGCTTTACATACGTACCTCAAATGGCCACATTGCATACACTTAAACCTACTATACACACCATTGAAGTTTCATGGCTTTGTTTTTAAAGTATTAAAAAACACTACCCGGAAGTGGTATTTACCATAGTAACACCTTAATATCCAAAAATGGGAAAATTTACTATGATAATTTTTGCTCATTCAGCATTTTTTCTAACAATTGAGTTATTTCATGCTCAAAACAGCTGCATTTTCAAACTTTTAACACATTTTCTACAAAATCTAATCATATTTGGGGAAATAGGTGAGGGCTGAGTCTCTGAAAACTGGCCAAAATGACCTAAAATTGGGTTATCAACTTCAGAGATCTCATGCAAAAAATTTAGACGCAAAATCCCCGAGATTATTTCATTTTGAAATCATACACAGAATGTACTGAAATGTATGTTGTTAAATGCAAATATTTTGAGTCAAATGTGGTCCCCATGTGCAAAATTTGCCCCTTTTTCTCCCCCTTTACGCCAGTTAGGCCCCAGTGTACTGTGACATCATACTCATACCATTGCTACAATGTAGCAATTTACAAATTAATCATGATTACTCTTCCTGTGATACACCTGTGGTAGTTGAACACTGTTTATTCCCCAGTGTGTTGATTGATTACATGCCAGCTTACTTAGTTACTTACTAAGTACGCAATAACCACCATCAAAGACCTGCCGGCACCTATTTATTTTCGGGTTGGTAATGGAATTTTACAAGGGCAATACGAGAAGAATTCAATTTTTCATTATTTAATGATAATTGCGGTAGATTTTACGGTAGTTTGAACAAGAATACTGTTAATTCAAGCAGAAATATGGTAGATTTTCAAATATTTACGGTATATTTTACGGCCGTTCTTATAGAAAAAATCTAATTATAATAAAATATTTTATGGTAGATTTTGGTAAAATTACAGTAGATTTTTTCGGTTGTTTTACAAGAAAAAACAGTAATTTTTTACGGTATTTATATTATTTTTTATGGTAGATGCCGGTAAAATACGGTAGGTTGGCAGGTATGAGTTACCATTGCAACCGTGGAAATGGGTAAAAATGAGAGCAAAAAACACCCAGACCCGCCATAATGGCACAAATTTCAAAATATTTCGAGACATACACATTTTCTTAAACTTTGATATCGTCTAGAACACTTCTAGACAACAAAAATATCAAAAATGGGGGGAAGGCAGGGTCGGATCTGAGAACCAACAAGGAGGGGGGGGCCAAATTTCAGGTCAGAAAAAATTTTGGGGCCCCTGAAACCAAAAAGTGGGCCCAAATTTTGAGGCCAATTTTCTTCAAAATTTGGCCTGAAATTAAAAAATAAGGCCTTAAAAGGCCCAGTTATGACCAAAAAGGCCCACTATTTGGGGCCTTAAGGCCCAAAATTTTTTTTTCTGGGCCCACCCCCCCTCCTAATCCGCCAGTGGAAGGTTTATCACTTTAATTATTTTCAAGCCTTGGTCAAAGTAAAACTACGAAAAAATCACTCATTTTCACTTTAGAATCACCTATTATCGCCCAAATGGCTATATGTTGTCAAGGTCGCCATGTTAAAAGTAGAATTAGAATGCTCTTCAGACAATGTTTGATAGCTTTCCTTTATCACGGAACAAAGATCTTTGCACTGGTATGCCTATTTCCATGAGATAATGCACGTGAAAGAGGAACAGTGTCTTTAAATGTCATCAAAACTTTTTCACACTACTTTTGGTGTAATAATACCATCTGATTGATTGTTGGTGTAAACAGCGAGTCGGGTTAATCTGCACGAGATTCGGTTTTTCATTAAGGGAAGTACTTTATTCCCATGATTCAAAGTGCTTTTCTGCCATTGGTTCGGTTTAAGTTTGTACAACAAACGTCCACGAATCCAAGGCAGGTTGACATTATATCATTACATTTGTTTTGGGTGTATAGTTTTTGTTTTGACAACAAACAAAAAAAATCCCGCAATATATGGTGCATCATGGGTAGGACACGCTGTGAAATATGAACGTAAGTGACATCTATGTCAAATTAAATGTTCCTACAAAGTTATTGATCGCGCATGCGTCATGATAACTTAAACCAATCAGATTACTGGGTTTAATGCGCACGCGCCATAAACCGAATACTTTCCCGGGATTCGGGCTTTAGGATACGATTTTACACTGACCGATTGCAAACAAGATTTAGCGAGATGACGCGGTTGTGAAACCAAGATGGCAGAAAGTTTGTGAACTTCTAGTATTATTATATCTTAACGGTAGAGTATACCATTGATAGTGCTGACTTTGGAGGTATGTGACTAAAATGACTCAATTATCACCCGATTTAAGGCCAGGGTGCATGATGGGAAATTTTCTGCATTCCTCAATTGAGTCACATGTTATTTTTCAAACAAGAATCACTCCTTTTGTCTATATCTTCCAGTTTTGCACAAAGAGTGCACTTATGTGCCTAGAAAAGACTTGTGAGAAGAATGTTTTGATAAAGTGTATAAAAAACAAGAAAATTCAGTGAAAAAATCGGAAAATTTTCAGAAATTTTTTTCACTGAATTTTCTCATTTTTTATACATTTTACAAAACAAACCTTCTCACAAGGCTTTTCTAGGCACAGAAGTGCACTCTTTGTGCAAACTTGGAAGATGTAGACAATGTGGGGAAGGAGTTATTCATGTTTGAAAAATAACATGTGACTCAATTGAGGATTGCAGAAAATTTCCCAACATGCACCCTGTCCTTAAAATCATATTTTCTCAATTTACAGATATGTTGCTGATATCTTCCACTTTTACAATAAATAGCAAATTATCTTACCCATTTAGTTTTCACCCTTCCCCTCTTTGGTATCAGGAGAACTGATCTTGGCCTTAATAAACGGATAAACATCGTTAAAAATAAATTTTCTGCAAAATGTGATCAAACTTTTGGCTGATCCGAACTTTGATGTCAGAACCTTTTTGATTGGCTGATTATATTTTCAGACCAATCAGATCTAGTGTTACATTCTTTTTAGGCCACGTCAATATTTTGGTAAAATTTTGTTCAAGTGAAGGTTTTTGCAATATATCTGTCTTTCCTGCATGATATAAACTACAGGAGTTCTTACTTGTATACCTGTCTTACAGCTTCGTATAATGCAAGGCCAATATAACCTGAGAAGTCCGGGTAAGTATGAAATTTTCATACACTTCCGTAAAAATTGAAAATAAAATAGACCTCTGAACTTCCAAGTTTCTTCCACAGTCGGCATGCAGTTGATTTGGGGCAAGTCCAAATCACGATGTTTACTTTCTTCTCTAGACTAATGAATTGGGCTTGCCAATTCATAACTGCATACTTACTGTGACTCCCAGCCTGTGACTTCATCAGACTTCCAAAAATGCAGAAGTGAAAACATGGGCTCTACCACCTCTCTCAACTGCGAATACATAAGTGGGTCGGCATTGATATTCGTCAAAAAACGTAAATTTAATTACATTAGGGATGGAGGTAAAACACTATTTGATTACACAACGGCCATCGCTTTTTTGTTTTCTGGGGTTTCGTCTTCTGCAATTTCTGCATACACTTTTTGTTCGTTACATCCTCTCAAAATGTAGGCATCCATTAAAAAAGCAAGGTTTAACTATATCGTTTGGAAAGGTCAATAACAACCACAACAACATTTGCAATAAACCAAATCACAAACATTCTACATGTAACTCCACATGAACAGTAAGACAAGTATTTGACCAGGTCAGATAGTGATAGAAAACTTTTAAATTGTTATATTCTCTAGCCTATTTTAGATTTTTTAATATGGAGAATATTAGAGAGGAGGTTGACCTACTCCCCATGATAAACGAAGCCTGGAAAAAGTAGAAATTTCATAAAAAGATGCAGGAACATTGGACATGTTGACTCGTTTACACTGCACAAATCAATGATTTGACTTTTATTTGAAGCAGAGTTTGAAGGGAGTAGGGGGACGGGGATTAAGACCAAACTAAATTAATTACTTTTTTTGATGGACATTGAAATATTAACCCGTTACTCAAGTGTGATTCATGGGACAGCCTTTTCAATCTTGTGTATCTCAATCACGTATCAAAAATATGTTTATTACGTTCTTAAATGTAGACTCTTTTGATTAATGTGTTTCTTGGGTTGCATTTTGAATAGTTACACCATTGAAAATGGTCAAAGATTTATATGATCTGCCAGTACCCACTTATGATGGAAACGAGTATTTTTGGTACTGTAAAAGATGCATTGTCAAAACAATAACCTGGTTGTGCAAGGTAGCCTCTTCAATAACAATATGTTAGCGTCTTATGTAGCCACTGATGTTTTGGCAGCATGTATATTTTAGGTTTACCTTATGTGATGATACTCCTATTGATATTTTTCAATATGTAAATTTAGTTTTCTTTTTTTTACTTGAAACAACACTGGTTACTTAATTGTGATTTATGGGCAGCTTTCTCAACCTTGTTTATCTCAATCATGTATCCAAAATAAATGTATGTCTATACGTTCTTAAATGTAGACCCCTTTTGAGTAACCCGTTTCTTGGGTTGCCATTTGAGTTACCTGTTTCTTGAATTGCCTTTTGAGTAACCTGTTAATTGGGTTGCTTTGTGAGTTACCTGTTTCTTGGGTGCGAAGGCGAAACCTATCTATAAATTCCAAGGTTTATTAATAGAGGGATGTAACTGATGGCTAGTAGCTAGCTAGAGGTTTTCTTTTTTTCGAAACAATGCTTACTACTTACAAATACTTATGGGGCCATTTTTTCGATTTTGTGTTTCTCGATCAAACATTCAAACATTTATAAAAGTGTTTCAATTGTAGGCCCCTTTAAATAATCTTTTTAGATAGTCAGGGCGTAACTATACTGACTATTCCCAACAGCCAGGGTGATTTATTGTAGGAATTTAAGTAATGGTTGAGAAGGGTATATAACTTATGTTCTGTAAACCACTTTTTTTTTAAAAACTGTATATTGAATTATTACCGCTACTGTACGCATACGACTGGACTTCTATGCAAAGGTTTTGAAGCGGCGTCTTTTTGTATTTTGAAAATGAATATTGTTTCTGTTAAATACTCTGTGAGTCTCGAATGTTTGGGTGTGAATGTATGTTTTTGTGACTTTGCAAATCATACCATGTATTTATGTGCGATAATGTGTGCTTTGATGTGCGTGAGTGTGTTGCACCTGAATGCCTTTTGTGTGTGCATGTCTTTTGTATTGAACAGGATTTATGTGAGTAACTCAAATACATATACGAGTTTTTATTGTGTAAGGTATGAGGTAGTGTGTTATATCCTATCTGTAGATGCACTAGACCAAGAAAATATAAAATGCTTTTATCTGATATTCCTCCGGGGTTTTGACCACCTGGGCAAGTATAATGTATGTATGCCTGTGTTACGCGGTCTTATGGCTAAGTCTTTGGTGAAACCATATTGCTCCTATCCGTAACTTAAATTTAGGGTCCCTAAATACGAAGGGACTGAGACAAAATAAAAAGAGGGCGTCTATTTTCTTATTTCTGAAAAGAAAAAGACTTGATGTTGTTTTTCTACAAGAAACCCATTCGTCAATAGCCGATGAAAATATGTGGAAAAGGGAATGGGGATCTGATATATATTTTGCGCATGGTCAAAAACGGAGCGAGCGTGGAGTCGCGATACTTTTTTCTAAACATCAGCGATATGACATTTTGGATATCGATACACATTCGTCAGGTAGGTATGTTATCATTAAATGTAAAATAGGTACTCACTCTTATACTTTTGTGAATATCTACGCGCCAAACGATGGTCACGAAAATAAGACTTTCTTTGAAAAGCTTCACACTCATATTTCAACGAACTTTGCTTCAGATTTTTTGATTATAGGAGGTGATTGTAACATGATTCTCGACCCTAATACGGATAGATATTCCTACGGAATGACAAAACATAAAGAATCCGAATCTGCCGGTATCATGAGATCAATGATACATGATTTTAATCTTTTTGATATCTGGAGAACGTTAAACCCTTCTGCGGTACAATATACTTATGAGTCCTTTGCGAAGGATGAGTTTAAAAATTCAAAATTTAAAAGTAGGATTGATATGTTTTTTGTTGACAGGAGGATCAAAAAGAATTGTGAGTGCTTTATCGAGCCTGCCATTCTTTCTGATCATAAATTATTACGACTTAATATTGGTTTGGATACAGAAATGAGGGGGGCGGGTTTTTGGAAATTTAATAATAGTTTGCTACAAGACGAGGAGTACTCTTTAAGCATCCGAAGCCTCATAACAAAATTACGTGACGAGCACCGTGATCTCAGCAAGATCGAATTATGGGAATTCATGAAGTTCAAAATTAAGGAAAAGACAATACATTTTTCAAAGTTAAAATGTCGTGAAAATCGAAAAGCTGAACTTCAGTTACTAAAGGAGATCGAACATCTTGAATCTTTAATTGCAAGTGACGGCTCTACCTTAATCTCTTCGGTATGTGAAGCCTATGAAAGAGCAAAAGTCAAACTTGAAAAAATGTGTATCTATAAGGCGGAAGGTCATTTGATCCGAGCAAAAATTGACCAGTATGAAAAAAATGAAAGATGTACGTCTTTTTTCTTTAATTTGGAAAAATCAAACCACGAGAAAAAACACATAACAAATTTGTCGATTGGTGGAGTAAGTATCGAAAATGATACTCGTATTTTGAATGAAATTAAACTCTTTTATCAAGATTTATACTCTGAAAAGGTCTCGCCCGATTTCAAAGATTTTGACATTTTTACTAATAATCTACAGTCGCGTAAACTATCTGAAGCGCAGAAGGCATCGTGCGAACTCAGACTTACTGAAGCAGAATGCTTTAGAGTTCTCTCAACGTTTAAGTCGAACAAAACACCGGGGAGTGATGGCCTTTCGGCCGAATGGTATAAAGCATTTTGGAACGACATTTCTACAGGTGTTGTTGACAGTTTTAACCTCTCACTTAGAGTTGGACTCTTATCTGTTAGTCAAAGGCAGGGCGTAATATCTTTGATTGAAAAATCGGGAAAGGATTTATCTCTGCTTAAAAACTGGCGTCCAATTTCATTGTTAAATATAGATTATAAAATTGTTTCTAAAGTGGTAAGTAAGAGAATTGAAGCGGTTCTCTGCGCGATTATTGAACCCGATCAGACTGCCTTTGTAAAAGGAAGACTGATTGGCGAAAACATTCGATTTATGGAGGATTTACTAGTATATACTAGAGAAAGGAAAATACCAGGCATTATTTCTTTAATTGACTTTGAAAAAGCATATGACAGTATCGAATGGAGTTTTATTGATTTTGCGTTGCGGTACTTTAATTTTGGCGATGAGTTAATCCGTTGGGTTAAGCTCTTTTACACTGATATCAATAGCTGCGTATTGAACAACGGGCATTCTACTGGGTGGTTTAAAGTACATAGGGGTGTCCGTCAAGGGGATCCGTTAAGTTGCTCCCTTTTTGTTATATGTATTGAGGTACTTGCCCTTAAGATCAGGCAAGATGAAAGTGTGAAAGGAATCGATCTAAATGGCCACACTCAGAAATTGATTATGTATGCCGATGACACGTCTCTAATACTCAAAGATGCAAATTCCCTTGAAGCTGCCTTAAGCATTTTCGAAAATTTTTATCAATTATCGGGCCTAAAAATTAATAAGGAAAAAACCGAATGTTTTAGTGTTGGTGCCAACCATGATGGTGTAAATCCGAATATTGGGGGCTGTATTTGGGTAAAGAGGCCAAGTAAGTTTTTAGGCATCAGTGTATCATACGATCCAGAGCATAATAAGGCGATAAATTTTGACCGGAAAATAGAATCGTTGAAGAGGATTCTGAACCTCTGGGGTAAGCGAAATCTCACCATTTACGGTCGTATTATGATAATCAAATCCCTTGCAGTTTCACAGATCGTGTATTCTATGTCCATGACTGTTACGCCCGACAGCATCATTTCAAAGGTGAATACTTTGATTTATAATTTTTTGTGGAAAGGGAAACGGGATAAAATAAAGCGAAATACTGTGGTCGGATCTTATGATCAGGGGGGCATTCGTATGGTGAACATGACATCGATGGAAAAAGCACTAAAAATTATGTGGCTTAAACGATTCCTTGATGACCAACTTAGCCACTGGAAAGTGATTCCGCGAATATATTTTGAACATTTTGGCGGTCTTAATCTACTTCTGCAATGTAGATATGATGTACGCCTATTTAAACAAAAAATCCCCGATTTCTATATGAATGCTCTTTCATATTATTCAACGGTGAGTGAGATGGAGGAACCAAAAAACAGTTCTGAGGTAAAGAGCGAGATACTATGGCATAATAAATACATACTTAGGGAGGGTAAACAGATATTTCAAAAAAGCCTTTTCGAAATGGGGGTTGTTCAAATAAATGATTTACTAAATGGGAATGGTAGTTTTATGGAACTGAATGATTTTAAATACAAGTTCCAGGTGGATATAAACTTTTTAGACTACATTAGCCTAATATCTTCCATTCCAAAGAAATGGAAATCAATTTTAAAAAGCGATCCGAAAGCGAAGTGTGAAACCGAATATACTGAAAGCATCGAAGAGTTTTTTATTGGTAACAAAACGGTCCACATCAAAAATTTGAATACAAAAATGATTCAATTGTACATCAACCAACAATGTTTTTCTGAATCAATAAGCGTTAAGCGCTTATGTTGCAAATATAATGTTAACGCTCGAGATATGTGTTCAATGGTATATGACATAACCAAAAACCACGCTTTTTGGGAATTACAGTATAAGATTATTAATAATATTTATGCCTCAAATTTGTACCTTAAACTTGTTGGTATACGTACGAATGATAAATGTGATTTTTGCGGCCAAAAAGAGACGATTGTCCACCGTTTTTGGGAGTGCAAGAACATCAAAAGTCTTTTAAAATATTTCGGAGATCAATGGAGAGAAAAGGATATACACTTAAATGAGCAACACGTCATTGTTGGGTATTTCGATAGGAAACATTTTAGAAAGTTTAACTTTTCCGTTTTGATATTAAAATACTATGTTCATAGAGCTTATTATTCCAACATGCCACTGACTTGTGTTGGATTTCAAGCCTATTTAAACGAAGGTCTCAGACTGGAAAATATTTTTGATGAGTGATTGTATGTGTGTGGTATGCATGATATGAATGAATGTCGTGTGAGTGGAATGGGTCTGTGTGTCGAATTTGGTATTCTTTGTATTTCTATTTCATTTGTAAAAACGGCTTACAGCAAATCACTTGTATCCTTGTGTAGTGAAAATGTATATTGAGAAAAAAAAAAAAAAAAAAAAGAAGAAATATTAACCCGGCCACTAAGACTAAGTTTACCAGGATGCATGTAAATCTATAACGTGTATACCTGCTATAACATGTGTACCTGCTATGTTAAGACCAGAACAACGGCAACGCCAAAGCGTAGCGAATCCCATCGAACAGAAATGGCTGGCATTTTTACAAACAAATCGCAAATATCATAAAACAACACACCAGAAAGGCCACCATTTTCAAAATGGTTGCTCACTAGCCAAGATGTCATCAGAAGAAATAATATGCTTTTTAGTAGCCACCTCTTAAATCTTTGAAAAATCTCACACGTACTTGTAAAATAACACACATAAAAATGGTGGCCATTTTTCAAAATGGCCGACTACTCCCTTAAGTTTTATTAGACAATGTGCCATGCTTAAAGTATTCACATATCAAATATGAACAAAATCGCTCTACTACTTTTCGAGTTATAGTAAAATACGTTAAAATGGCGGCCATTTTTCAAAATTGTTTTCAAAATGGCCGCCTTCTACCAAAAGTGTCATAGGACAGTGTGCCATGCTTATAGTATTCACATACCAAATATGAACAAAATCGCTCCACTACTTTTCAAGTTATAGTAAAATACGTTAAAATGGCGGCCATTTTTCAAATTTTTTTTCAAAATGGCTGCCTTCTACCAAAAGTGTCATAAGACAGTGTGCCATGCTTATAGTATTCACATACCAAATATGAACAAAATCGCTCCACTACTTTTCGAGTTATAGTAAAATACGTTAAAATGGCGGCCATTTTTCAAAATGGCCACCTTCTACCAAAAGTGTCTTTAGACAGTGTGCAATGCTTATAGTATTCACATACCAAATATGAACAAAATCGCTCCACTACTATTTGAGTTACAGCAAAAATCGTAAAATGACGAGTAAAGGCCGCCATTTTTCAAGATGGCTGCCATGTGCTTCTTTAATATCTACATTTGTAGCATTATTAATGTCCTTTATAATTTTTTTACATTTAAAACATATTGCTATTACAGTTTTACATATTGCACCTTAATTACTGTAAAATCGTCACTAAAATGGCCGCCATTTTGAAATGAGCGGCCATTTTGAAAATCGGCTCTCGAGCAGAACTTCTACCGCCATAGGGTATATGTGTACAAAATATGAACAAAATCAGGCCAACGGTATTTGAGTTATTGCCCGGACGGACGGACAGACGGACGTACGTACGGACGGACGGAGGCGTTCCCTATATCCCTCCGAACTTCGTTCGATGGGATAATAACAGTATATTTATTTTTAGCTATGCTAGTCTTGCTTCAAGACCCTGGACCCCCTTTACTACTTGTTTTTCAAGTAGATACTGGGTCCAAGTCTTGGAGCAAGACTAAAGCTCTGTGGAAACTACTTGTAAATATGAGAATTGTTGTGTTACTTTCAGCGGTGAAGAGGCTGATGAAGGAGGCTCAAGAACTGAGTGAACCAACAGAGCAGTACTTTGCCCAACCGCTAGATGTAAGCTACATTTGTCCGTTGCATTTATATTTAAAATAAGAACATTAGGATGTACAAAGAGACAACCAATACAGGTGCCCATGCGTTCCCCAAATATTAAGCACAGGGTGATGCAAAAAGTATGACCTAAAAGTAACTTTCTGGAAATATACTGTACTCCTGGTAAATTTCGACGCTATAAAATTTCCCGATTTTTCAAAATAGCAATTTTGACGCTATTTAATTTCGCGGATTTGAGTTGATGACATTTCGCGGATTGCACAAGTTGAATTTTTTCCTTCAGCTCTGTAAACTCCATATTGATAATACAGTATTAATATACTAACATGCCTTTTTACATATGCATGAGTTTAGCAAGTACATCAATTGTTGATATAAAAATTGAATGTTCACGATTTTACTACATTCGCGAACAAAGCGAAATTAAATGGCACTCAAACAATACCCGGAGTACAGTATGTGAGATTTTCTCGTGTTGATACAGCTTTTAATGCATAAAACAGACAATATTTGACTCTCAATACTGTTTGCATCCAGGGTTGGCAGTGTTTCAGGTCAATCCCTAATTTGTATTGATGGGCTATCTTCTGCAGATTTTAGCCAATATTGGTAACCATGACAGCAATTAAAGGGATTAAATACTGTTCATAATAGGTTGTAACATTTTGTTCAAACACTTTTTTGTCTTTCAGGACAATCTTTTTGAGTGGCATTTCACTATACGAGGTCCCGATGACTCAGAGTTTGAAGAAGGGATATACCATGGTAGAATTGTCTTACCTCCTGACTACCCCATGAAACCCCCCAGCATAATACTACTTACAGTAAGTAACTTTATAGAATGCAGACTGTAATGTCTTGATGGTAAAGAGAAGAATAGTATCTAGTAAGGTAGCAAGGAGGTTATCAATATGGAAACTGGTAAAATGCGATATTTAAAAAAAAGATTGAGAAAGCAAACATTGCAAATATCATGAATGTTTTTTTCTGAAAGTGAAATACTATATCTAGTAATTAGGAGCCTATATCTGGAGTCCAAGAAAGTCTTTTCATTTTTGAAAAAGTTGATTTAATAATGTCATATAAAGTTGAATCATGTTCACATATTGAACTCTTTAGTACATGTATATTGAATTACATTAGGGTATTGATTTTTATTCCAGCCCAATGGGAGGTTTGAAACTTTCAAAAAGATTTGTCTGAGTATATCAGGTCACCACCCTGAGTCATGGCAACCTTCATGGTCAAGTAAGTCAGTTTAAGATCATCCTTATCAGATAATTGTACATAGACATTACTTTATAAAACAACATAATCAACAGGCATTTCTATTGTGTAAATGTGTGGTGCAATGTGTGGAGTTATGAATTGAAGTGCATTTCATTAAGGTTAAACCCTTTGTCTCTCATATTTATGAAATGAAAATGTTGATTTGCCTTTCAAAATATCAACATTCTGAACCAGTCAGATCATAATTTACTCCCCCTCCTAACAAAATTAACGAAAATTAACTGCACAATTTTTAACATTTTGAAATCATTTTGTTGTTTGTATGTTCCACCTTGAACATACCATTTGTAATGATTATCTTAGTGTAACAAGTGTTTGCATTTCACGACTGTCATATATATGATTCCAGTCCGTACAGCTCTACTAGCTATCATAGGTTTCATGCCTACACATGGTAATGGTGCAATAGGATCTTTGGATTATACACCAGAGGAAAGAAAAAAGTTGGCTAAAAAGTGAGTTTTCATCATCAAGGTTCTTATTTTAGTTAGTTATTTCTTTTCTGGAAGGAGACGACTGGGGATTTACTGTCAAATAGCAACCTTGGTCAGTTTGATTGGAAAAAAGTAAAACAAATGGTAGCTTAATTAAATTTGACCAACACATGAGTCCCTAGTACTGTATTAGTCTCTAACTCTTTTATTTTATTCTAGAGGATTTGCAGAGGTCCTGAGTTCTACTTTTGATGGATTTTTTCATTCTGAGTGAAAAAGAAATCTTTGATGAATGGTGTTCTATTGCACTTATTGATTGTATGTATAACTTTGATGTTCACCTTTCAGAACTCAAGATTGGTCATGTGAGGCATGTGGCAATATACGTTCTATACTAAAGCCTGTTACAGAGGCCTCTAAGAAAGAAAAGGAAGAAGCCAAGGCTCTTGCCCAGCAGATAAGCTTCCAGGTACAACATTTCATATCATTTAAACAACAATGGTGGAGTATGGTGTCTATTTCTTAATTGTTCTGGAGATCATGCAATGCCAAGCACTTTCTTTGGCTTGGCTTATGTGACGTGTAGCCTTGATTCAAAATGATAGAAATAGATGACGGCAATCATTTATGCCATGTTCATAGACAAAGGTCATCTCACTGATCTAAAGTGTAAAATCAAATACATACTCTGTTGGCCCAACCATTCTCTAGACATGTTACATTTTGTCACCATTTGCATGCATATTTATTGTGTTCATGTATTATATGGCATCATGCTCCAATCATTCAATTACACCATTTAAGTATACAAAAATATACAGTACAGAATCATTTCAATTTTCAAACAACTTGACAACATCAGACAGTTTTAGCATGTTTCTGTTAATTTTAGTTAGCAATGTAAATTATTTGCAGATAACAGGTACAGAAATATTCAGAAACATACTCTTGAAAGTCATTCCAAGACCTTTTTTCACCAAATACAAAGCCATTATTATAATTTCTACCTTTTCATTTAATTGAAATATATTTCATTGTTTGTTTTCATTGTACTAACTTATTCACTTTTTGTTTGCAGGGGGAAAAGGAAAAGGGAAAAAATTGGAGTGGAGAGACGTCCCCAACTAAAAATTCAACTTCTGATCCAGTAACACCCCCTGGCCAATCTAGCCCAGCCCCTGAGCCTAATCAATCACAGCCTATGCCCCCATTCTTAGCAAACATGGACCCAACCATGGCTGCTAGGTTTCGTTTTATGATGTCAATGCCAAGGCAACCATTTCCAGGACAACAACCTGGTGACCCCCAACAGAGGTTGCCATTTCCATTTCCCCCACTTCCAAGGGGTATGCCAATGCCCCCTCCTGGGTCCATGGTTTTTCAAAGATTTTCAGGACCTTTTGATCCAAATCAACGACCCCCTTGGATGCCTGAGTTTGCAACAGGTTTCCCTCCAAGAGTTGTATCCCCTACAGGGGCTGCCCCAGGGACTGCTACCTCTCCAGGGATTGCCTCAGATGCTAGTACTCCAGTATCCTCCCCGAGTGCCTCACCAGGTGGAGCTACCAATACAGACACCTCTACAGCGCCATCTAACTCTAACTCCACACCAGGCAATACAGCTTCCAAAAGTACCCCAATTACTAACAACTCACTAAATTCAAGTACGACATCACAAACTACAAGTATAACATCACAAACAACAAGTGTGACAGCACAGAATGCAAGTTCCACATCTCTGGGTGAAACTTCCACGACAACAACCCCCAGTACGACTACGACCCCCACAAGCGTCAGACAGAGGACAACAGCAGCCCAGATGAGGGCCCCAGGACAAACTGGGGGGACACGCACGGGACCACACGGGACCACAAGGACTCAATCAGAAAGCAATAATTCTATATTCTCATTACTTCTAATAATAGTTTTGAGTTGTCTGTTCCTCACTCTGCTGGCCAGAAGGATTGTGTTAACATACTATCAGGATGAGTCTCTTTAAACATAAGACCCATTGGAGATTCCCACTTAAAATCATTAAAATAAAATCTAACTTATAATTTCTTGTTCTTATCATATAACAATTATACTGTAGGCCTACTTGATATGGAATTATTCGGAGTATATTACTCCTCTTGTTAGACTAGGACTTACCAGGTGGATAAGATTTTTATTAACTGATTATCTTGCTATTTTCTCAACTTATTTCCATCCACAAGTATTTAAGTACCCCAGACAGTCTCTTGAGGATCATGTTAATCTCATCTTATTTCAAACAACAATTTTTTTCATTTTCCTTATAGCCTATTGTACATAGTAACATGAGAACTGAAACTTAAGAGATATGAAGTGATCATCAAGTGGTTGTCTGGGGTGCTACGCCAAAGATTTCAACTTAATATGGGTCATATTTTAACAGTGAAGTACTACACACGACACGCTGCCAATATTATTTATTTATAAAACTAATGAATTCATGTAAGGATCTAATCGATAACTTGAACATGAAGTCTGCTTTTCACTTGTACATAAATCATATAATAATTTTAGTTCAAATTACCGAATATGTGCTTAGGGAGGGGGTTGCTTCTTCTGACAGCACTGACAGTGTGAGATGTTCTGCATAGCAATGCATTGTCATAGGCCCATAATATCACTATACCCTACCATGTGACCACGTTTAAAAGGGATACAGGTTACTGTGAAGTTGCAAATGAAGCGGGTATTCTCTATCTTTGTCTACAGGGCTTTTCTGGTTATAATACAAGTCAAATGCAAACTGCTCAATGAATCTATACAGTGTATAGTAGAACATTTGGAGTATATTTAAAATCTAGTATACCTTCAGAAATATGGAAATAAACAAAGTTTAACAAACCTCCTCCATTTGCAACTTCACTGACCCTGTATCCCTTTTAAAGAAATACAGGATGCAGTATGGGGGTAGAGTAATATGAGGTTATATAATGGTTGATTCTGTATATCATGTTTATACTCAAGTGAGTATTTGAGTAAATATATCATATATCCCACCCTAAATTGAGCAGTTGTATATTAAGTCAGAGTTGTATATGCTGCCCAGGAGTTGTGTACGCTATCCAGTAGTTATATATCGTTCTCAAGAGTTGTATACGATGATTGTTGGTTTTATATTGCAGTTATACAATGCTATTATACAATCATATAAGCACTTGGGGTGGGATAATGTGCTGGATTATTTTGTTTGTTCAGGTTTAAGGCTTTCCCTCATATCCTCAAGATTTGGTTTTGGTCGATACTTACTTAAAAAGATTTTTTATTGATAACATGTTCATTATTAAATTGTTGTAAATGTAATATTACTGTACTCCGGGTATTGTTCGCGTGCGATTTAATTTCGCTTTGTTCGCGAATGTAGTAAAATCGTGAACATTTATCGTCGCGAAATTTGTCATTTAAATCCCCGGGGATTTGAAACGGGACTTTTGATATGTTACGTTCGGTGTATAACGTTTCGTCTAGTGTTGTTAGGCGATAATTCAAAAAGGCCTCAAATGTCTAACATTTTGAATTGGCTTATTAGGCCAACAAAGGCAAGAACTGTTGACAACAATGATATCCTACAAATTGAAGTTAAAAAAGCCATTCAAGAATATTCAAATAAATGCCCTAAACATGGGAAATACAAACATTACTTGGATTCTGAACGGGCTAAAATAGCCAGATACGCATTGATTCACGGTAATCGGAAAAAAATTCCACTTGTGCAATTCGCGAAATGTCACCAACTCAAATCAGCGAAATTAAATAGCCGCGAAATTGCAATTTTGAAAAATCGCGAAATTTTATAGCGTCGAAATTTACCCGGAGTACAGTATATAGAGGAGGAGGTTGGTAAAACTAAGTCATAATTTGTGCCAATGTTATAAGTAAATAAGCGTGAATAAATAAAAATATATAATCAAGATCAATATAAATGAGCAATGCTAGACCGTTAATCTTCCTTAAATACAGCAATAATTTTAATACAGTGTATTTTGAAATAAATTTGTTCAAGAAATAATAAAGTAAACATATAACAATAAACATTGTATACAATGGTAATGTTCATGCCTTTATTAAGCTAGCCTAACTAGCTACCAAAACACTTTTGCATATTCTTCCAACCGTTAACATTTGGATATCACCCCTTATGAATGCTGTTATGGAATGTTGAACTCTATCTGAAAAATATTCATGATCATGAAGTGGAAAGTACAGTGGATAAATGCAGTAAATTATAAGATAAGACAAGGCATTAACATGACAAAATGTCACCACCTAAAGGTCAATTTGAAGCAAGTTGAAAACAGACCTTTTTGACCTTTTTTGACCTTGAGAAGGTCATTAAAGGTGAAATGTCAAATCTAGAGTCAGATTTGAATTTCTGAGAACATGTAGATGATTTTGAAAAAAAAAATTAGTCAATTTGAAGCAAGTTGAAAAAAGACCTTTTTGACCTTGAGAAGGTCATTGAAGGTAAAATGTCAAATCTAAAGTCATATTTGAATTTCTGAGAACATGTAGATGATTTTGAAAAAAAAAATTTAGTCAATTTGAAGCAAGATGAAAAAATACTTTTTTGACCTTTTTTGACATTGAGAAGGTCATTGAAGGTCAAATGTCAAATCTAAAGTCAGATTTGAATTTCTGAGAACATGTAGATGATTTTGAAAAAAAAATTTAGTCAATTTGAAGCAAGTTGAAAAAAGACCTTTTGACCTTTTTTGACTTTGAGAAGGTCATTGAAGGTCAAATGTCAAATCTTAAGTCAAATCTAAAGTCAGATTTGAATTTCTGAGAACACGTAGATGATTTTGAAAAAAAAATTTAGTCAATTTGAAGCAAGTTGAAAACAGACCTTTTTGACCTTTTTTGACCTTGAGAAGGTCATTGAAGGTCAAATGTCAAATCTTAAGTCAAATCTTAAGTCAGATTTGAATTTCTGAGAACACGTAGATGATTTTGAAAAAAAATTTTAGTCAATTTGAAGCAAGTTGAAAACAGACTTTTTGACCTTTTTTGACCTTGAGAAGGTCATTGAAGGTCAAATGTCAAATCTTAAGTCAAATCTAAAGTCAGATTTGAATTTCTGAGAACACGTAGATGATTTTGAAAAAAAAATTTAGTCAATTTGAAGCAAGTTGAAAACAGACCTTTTTGACCTTTTTTGACCTTGAGAAGGTCATTGAAGGTCAAATGTCAAATCTTAAGTCAGATTTGAAGGTCAAATGTCAAATCTAAAGTCAAATCTAAAGTCAGATTTGAATTTCTGAGAACATGTAGATGATTTTGAAAAAAATTTAGTCAATGTGAAGCAAGTTGAAAAAAGACCTTTTTGACCTTGAGAAGGTCATTGAAGGTCAAATGTCAAATCTAAAGTCAGATTTGAACTTCTGAGAACATGTAGATGATTTAGAAAAAAATTGAAGTCAGTCTAAACAGTATTTGTAAAGTTATAGGAAGTTGTAAGAAATTGTTACAGATGCCGGACGCCGGACGCCAACCTCCAACCACCAACCGCCGTCACAAAAAAAACAGAGACCATAACAATATGTCACCACCTATTGTCACCACTTTTGGTGGTGACATTAAAAATGAGCTGAGCAGAAAAAAAATTTGGCTCAATGATTTAGGATTTTTCCATCACCAGTTCACAGCAGTGTGTCTAAGTATCATCCAAAATGGTGGACAAATTTCGTTTGATATCGATAAACTTTCATTAACCCCTAAATCTAACAGTGTCAAGATATAGGGACAGAAAATATTCTAGCATAGTAAGAGCATTCAATATACAGTTAGCAAGTAAAATCTGGATTCCAAATATTTTGTCATGCAAACAAATTTTAGTTACGATTGTAAACAATGCTAAAATGTCACAAAGGTGTACCAATATGAAAGTTTGTCCACCATCTTGGATAACACAAACTCCAGTTAGTATCATGCTGCTATGAACCACCAGTGTACATGTAAGCTTGCATACTGAGTTCAACATTTTCTGAGGGTTTCTTAAAACATAAGTCCCTTCTTTGTCACATTTTTTTATCCATGCAATACTACAAATGGGACCCTGTGAAACTGAAAATTTGTAGTCTTGCTTCAAACCCCTGTGATACTCCTACACACACAATCTCCTCCAGGAATAAAGTATGTAGACAAGAGGGTGGTATTAGGGACTTGATGCAACACAGTAAATTTTCTATTTCACAATCAGGCCATCTGAACTCCTCTACTTTTATCAAAATTACAAAGGTTTATATTATTTGTCTTGATTTAATATTGAAGGACACAGTGATCATTATGCATTTGTGATTTGGACCCTCAGTCAATTATTACATATATTTTGTATTCTTCAGAAAGGAAAAGTTTAATCAGTGAAAACACGCACTATAATAAAAGAATCTCTAAATAGAAAACCTGTAGTAAAATAGATTTCCAAAACAGATATTTGCTTGCACATCCCTCTGCAACTGTAGACATAAATCATAGTATTTTGGAGATATTACATAAATCTAGTGCATAGCCTCACTAATGAAACTAGTCCTTTACAGTATTTAAATATATCATATGATGTGATATAGATTTGGGATATTGTAAGGTTGCGTTGGGTATTGATGAGCCTGCATTATTGTGCCAATAAAAATCATTTATAAATCACTCAATAACTTGTTCGTTCATTCGAATTGAAAATAAATCTATTATATATATGATACGTCCCATTTATGGTTATTCTATTCACATTAGATATACACAAGCCTGTAAAATTTGGACAAGAATTTGACAACTGGTATTTAAGTTAACAAAAGTGGAAATTTTACATGTAAAAAATTCAACAGCCATATTGAATATTCTTTCTCGAACAGAGATCCAATGCCCATAAGGCATTAAACTACGATCCAAATGGTTTGACAGCTACACAGAGTTAATGCTGGAACAGAGAAATGAATATATCCCACCTTGTTTGATGGAATAAAAATAGATTTTGGATTTTTTAAATCAATGAAAATATGAATTGTACAGTCACATAAATATGCCTGGCAAAGATTAGACATTTGAAAATATATTCCAATCCAACACCCTTAACAATCATTTCAAATATCAAATACATAAACATAATTGGGTCATTATATTTAATTTACTCCATTTTTATTTCTTTAAAATTATATTGTTAACAAAACTCAATGGAAGTATTTTGCATTCATCTTAAATGTTAATCAGCAGAGTGTGTCATATGCTCCCTTTCAAGAGTTGGTAAGTTTTGATCTTGGCTGGTTGTATTGATGCTTTCAACATGTATCATTCAGGATCAAGACTAGGGTGTATTGAAACTACCAGATGTTTGAAAATCAAGGATTGTGAGTCAAGTCCCACACAAAATTGATTTCTTTTAATTTTGTTCCGTTGAAAATATATGCATTATGTCCCTTTGAGTGGGAAATTAATGGCTTTAATATGCCTCTAGTTCACCATGCAAGTCTAAAGAAAAATATAACGGCAACTGGCCAATAGTTCAATTTTGACTAGTAAGTCCTAAATCCTATGCACACCTTGTAAATCAGCCATATAAATATGAATGACAAATGCTTTCTAAAAGAGGCCCAATAAGACCACTTTTCTAATTCAATAGAGACATGATTTCATGAAAAGTTAAATATATATCACATTTCATATCATTCTGACATTCAGTTATTTTGATATCTGCCCTCAAGTAGAAAAATACGAGCAATTAAAAATATAATTGATATCTTGACATTCGTCCTTTTCAATATAAACAGATTTATAATTCTTCCACATGCATTGGTTGCATCAATATAATTCAGTATTAGAAGTGGTTACACCATCTATCTCACACATTTTTAGGTAAGATCATTTATCTGATAGATGTGTCCATTTAACTCATAAATGTTATAGCAGAGTCCACTTGACTCTTAAATATGATAATAGAGACCATTTATCTCATAAGTATGATAATAGAGTCCATTTATCTCATAAGTAAGAGTTCATTTATCTCATAAGTATGATAATAGAGTCCATTTATCTCACAAATATGATAATAGAAACCATTTATCTCATAAGTATGATAATAGAGTCCATTTATCTCATAGGTAAGAGAAATAGAGTACATTTATCTTGTAGATGTGATGACATCATTTCATGAAGTCATTGTGACATCATTTCCTGTGTAGGTGAAATCTGTTGACACACTGATGCTTAAGTGTGTCATATAAATACTATTTCTCAGTCTGAGTCCTCATCAACCACAACCTGGAAGAACATAGAGATTGGCTTGATATTAAAAAAATTACAATCTGGAGTTTCATAATGGGAACAAGATTTTTTTTATTATTATGAAGGACATAATAATAGAGACATAAGAAGTAAAATTATTATTTGACTATATCGGAACATATGTCTTATTCAAAACTTTATGAGGTTTAAATCAGTGTTTCATGCAGTGTTCAATTGTGAGTCAATAGATCATGCGTGTTAGACATATTGTGTTAAAAGAAAATCACTTTGATAAAGTGAAGAATTTACTGACATAATTGAAGTGGTTGGGGTCATTGACAAAATATTATTGTACAACCTGAGCAAAATTGTCCATGAAAAACAAAATTTCAAATGTTGTGTTTATTGACATTTTCTTCATGATTATTCAAAGCCTTTATTGCACCAACACCCTCAAGACTATTTATTGTGCCTGAACTACCAGACTGACCAACCAATTATAATTATTAACTACACTGAATGTAACAGTGGAAAACCTCTATTAGTGGAACATTATCAGAGTCCGAAGACCAAGTGACTTAATGTTGAATGAACCTCTCTTTATAAGTGGAACACCTCTGTTAGTGGAACATTATCAGAGTCCGAAGACCAAGTGACTTAATGTTGAATGAACCTCTCTTTATAAGTGGAACACCTCCCAAGTGGCACACTTTTTAGAGATACTAAATGTGTTCCACTTTGACAGGTTTTACTGTACTTGCCTTCACAAACTGATGATTGAGCAAATCTGCTGCCTTCCAACGCTGCTTAGGCTCATGCTCAAAGCAATGTGAGAGGAAATCTTTTCCCTCTTCACTCAAGTTATCTGGTATAGGTGGCGTTGATCCCATACCCACTTTGAACATGATCTGATACGTGTTCTCAAGCTCATGCCATGGTCTCTGAAATAATTTTGAAAAATACATGTACTTTTCTTTTATTAATTTGTTTTAAGTAACAATATGTTCATTAATTGTCAAATGTACTTACAATAATTAACGTTTTGCCTCTATCCAAGAAAAGGTGCTGTATCAGGATTTCCAAATCAAAATTCCTTCTATATGAGCAACTGTATACATGACTTAAAGCATTAAATAAATCCAGATACGATGTGATTTGGCCCATTTTTAGAGGGGTCATGTGATTCTTATCAAATGCAATGCTTATGTTATTACCTTCCCTGTAGCCATTTCTATGACAACACACCCCAGACTCCATATATCTGCAGCTCTCCCATGCCCCTGGCTAGTGTTCCTTGTGATCACCTCTGGTGCCATAAATGCTACAAAATATCACTCATCATCTAAAGCACTATCACTTATTTCCTTTTCTAAATCATGAATTTCACCATTCATATCTTCAGTACTAATTTCACTATTTAAATCACTTATTAACAATTTAAATCACAATTTCTTTTTACTATTTACAAATCTAATTTGACAGAAATGCTCTACTTTGCCACATTCTTCAGCTAGTAAACATTATTTAAAGGGATCTGAATCTGATACATTAAATATTTGAGAATATCTTATCAAGATAACGAGGACAGTTTTCTGAAAACCCCATTTTCCTTATAAAAGGTATGGCTCTTAAATATTATTTCTCTCTCACTAACCTGTGGAGCCTGCAACGGAACTAATCTTTTTCCTGACAAAAATCAGTTACCTCTAAACATTGTCATTCATATTCTAACTCACCTGTGGTGCCTGCCATGGAACTGATCTCTCCTGTTATTGTAGCCTGACTCTTCAATTGCACTGAACATCCAAAATCTCCTAACTTCAATGGACCATTGGACGTCAAGAATATATTGGCCCCTGAAAGCATCACCACAACATTGTCTACCTTTCAATATGAAGAATCATATTGACTTTTTAAAAGGAGCTGATCAGTTAGCCTGTATTTTTCATCATGGAACATTTTTTCTGAACGGATACATACATTATGTAAGATATATATTCCAGTAACCAGTTTAGTTCAAAATACCTATGACACAGTTTTTACACCATCAGCAATTTTCAATATCGATATTAAATGAATTTTCCACCATCCACCTAAACATTTATTTTTTCATAAAATCAACAACTTTTACATTCAAATTCAAATCTGGGAAGCAGTATAGATGAATGAACATAAATCACAACTTCCACTGTAAAATAAGCCAAATATCAAGGAGTACCAATACGGTCTTCTGTAACAAAAAGTGCTTCTGTAAATATATTTCCTTGGTTTGTACAAACCTTTTATGTCCCTGTGTATAATACTGTTGTCATGTAAGACATTAACTGCAACTAAAATCTCACGTGTGTACTGTCTAATGATTGGTTCATCCAGAACTAGCCGAGAGGCTTCTTCTATTGTTCCCTCATCGCAGTACTCCATAAAAACAAACATTTCATCCTGAAATATATGAATATAAAATATCACATTGGGAATATAAAGTCTAAAAGCCACTATCAGTATGATGCACACAAAATATTCTTGTTTTATTAGGTTTTTAGTGATCAAAGAGTATGCTTAATGAGAGCATAACCAGATCTCATTGAAGATAAATCATCTAAAATCAATATAAGGGCATGACCAAATGGGATTAATACAGTTTATGAAACCATAGCTGTATCTAGCTGAGAGCAACTGCCTTGTCAACATTTTACTGTTTGTTTCTTGAAAATAATTTCCCATAGAACCATAATATTCTCTTTGACTTAATTTTTGCCTTGCCTATTAAAATTGCCTCGCAAGCGAAATACTGAATCCTGTCAAACCTGAAGCTTTATACAATACATTACCTTATAGACTTCGACCCCATAATGCCTGACTAGACTCTCGTGTCGTATACCCTCAAATATCTTGAGTTCATCTGCTATTTCTTTGATAGCTTGGTGATCATTCGGCTTGAATTTAATCTGAAATGGAAGCAATGATTTTTCTCATAAACTCTGTTTATGTTCTTTAGATAAATCACTAGAATTCTAGCAGCCAAAAGTATATTATGATTATGAACAGTCATATTGTCAAGGTCCTGTGGTGCATATGTAAGATATTTAGCCTTTGTTACCAGAGCATAGACCTTAGTGCAGCAGTACTTTATGTCAGAGGACAACCTGTGGAAATCTGGATCTAATGAGCTCACCTGTTAGATGCATTATTTTACATGTAAGGAGTTTGATTTGGGTTAAATATATTGCTCTCTGAAACTTTTTTTGGCATGATATTGAATGTTTCACACTTATCTCTATAGTTTAGAACAAATGAATGAATGGATGGGTGAACAAATGGATGGCTTCTTTGTATCATTCGATGGACTATTTATGTGTAGAATTTAGTGTGTGAAACATTAAATGGAAACTTACCTCTTTCATTGCCATTAGCTCTCCAGTGTCCATATTTACTGCAGTGTATACCTTCCCAAACTGTCCCTCACCTGATGGATAAAAGAGAAAAGTAGTATCTCAAGAATGCATTAGTACAGTAGATGTTAAACACTAGATGGCCTAACAATAAATTATAAAATGTTCATCCTTATGGCCTTAAGCTGAACACTTATCATGGTCCTGTGCTGTAGGATGGAGCACATCAAATAACTTGATCAAATTTCTACTTTCATAGAAAATATCTTATGAATTAAATAAATATTCATCTAAACTCAGTACATCAAAAATATCCTCCAAAAAATAATAGCAATCCATTTTCTACTGAATTTGTAATTTGACTTTGGCTTACTGAGTACAAGGACTACAGTATCTAACTTTAAATTGAATTCAGAATGGTTCAATTGGTTTATGGCCAGAACAAGATCTGCAACACTTTCTAAAATGGTCTCTTCATAATTAATGTTGTCATTGTTAATGATGGATAAAACTCCTTTTTACCTATCTTATTTCCTCTTTGCCACTTAAAGTTGACTCTCCGCACTTTGATATGATAATCCACCTCAATCTTCTTCTCCGTGACACGTCCAATGAGACCAGCCTTGAACATCTTGTTGTCACGATGATTTTCAAACTGAGCAATGCTGTGTTTAATTCGCTCTTTTAGGTTATCAGGTCTGTGACCATCATCTTCTGAGGAAAAAAAGAAAGAACTCTTGTTATGATTAGCTTAACAGCACAGCTAAAGTAAGTTAACATTAACACAAATAGGGAAATTAGCATATTACATAATAGAAATAACCTGGAAGTAATATTGCTTCTTTTGGCAAATTCTACACCCGTGATGTAACCTGACACCATATTTTGAATACCTTTACTGTACCTTCTAGATATTGGAAATTTTGATATTTTTTAGAGCAATCAAAATAGAATTATTGAAACTGATAATCATAAATAGGAAGACTTATACACACTACCCTACCACGTGACCACGTTTAAAAGGGAGACAGGGTACAGCTAAGTTGCAAATGGAGGAGTGGGTTTAATTCCATATTTCTGAACGTAAAATACATTTTACATTTATTTTTAGAGTTCTACCAGACATAGAATTGATTCATCAAGCAGTTTGTAGAATATTGTTGGCAAAAAACCACTATAGGCAAAGATAGATAATAGTGGGCGCAGTGAAGCAAAACTTAATGCAATACACGATACATTTCAGTAAATCTGTCAACGTACAGGGAGCATGTAAGTTTCCCTTCGAAAATGTTACATTGATATGTAACAAAACCAAAGTAAACTGTTATTTAAACTGCTTGGCATCGTGTTATATGTGGATACGTTTTCCAGTATATTATTCAACTGTACTTTTGTGAATTAATTGTTTTTCTAAAATCTTAAGATGCAAAATAGTCGTCCCAGAAATGTATCTTTACTTTGCCGTAAGGCATAACATATTGTGAAACATTTTTCCTCTTGTCACAAGGAGGATAATGTTTGTTTCGAGGTGTCTTGTGATGAGCGTTTCATGATTAAATGCAAAATCACTGGAGCAGATACCATCCAAAAACATCTGACATTCAACACGTCATATAAGACTGCATCGATCTGGTATGAGTTTTTTTACAATAATAGAGAAATACGACGTCATATCACCTCTACAGCAAATCGTGAAGAACAAAATGTCGTGGCATGATGGTATTTTGAACAAACTATTTTAAATGATCGGTTTTTGAGGACGGTAGTGAATTAGACCATTCAAGGGGTTATATAGAAAGATTCTTTACATGTAGTTCACGCAATTTTAATTATTCTGAATAGCGGATAGTCATTAATCCTGATAGCCAATAGTCATTTATCACTTACGTGTTTATATTTAATTTCGTTATTTTATTTCAATTTGATACCCTAGTAACACGTATAATCTAGCGTTCTTGTTAATTTAATGACTAAAATGCATTTACGACCTGAAAGCCCGTGTCTAAATCTACTAAATAATGTTTACTTTATTTGGATTAAATAACAATTGATGACACCTCATCAAAGCATCAACAGGCGGCCTTTTTAGTATTATTTTCACTGTTTGCAACGTAAATATACATGAGATCGGGACATAGTATGTCTGTATAATCAGCTTACTTTCTCGCTCCCTGTACTATTGAACAATTTACATTCCTTGTACCCTGTATTGATCAACTTTTGCAGTTGTGTACCGTGTATTATGACATATCAAATATTTTAAAATTTAAAACGATATTATTTACATTATTTCTTCCACTATCTTATAACTTGGAACATGGACTTCACTATTGCACCACTGAAGTTCAGCGAATAGCAATATTGACTCACTCCGAGCACCAAACGTATTAACCTTTTCACTTAGCAGTCGATATACTCAAAAGCGACCTGATTGAAAGCCAAAAAATTCGCGCATGCGCTATCGAGGTAGGGTAGTGTGTTATATGGCCTGCTCTAGTGGAAAACTTGAAAATGAACAGGCTTTTTGTACAAGTAAATATTGCAGCAGATTTTAGTCTAATTGAACTTTTGGCGTTTTAAACAGCATCTTGCTTTTTCCAAGTTTGATTTTAAGGAACAGTATAACATTTTGAAAACCCACCTTCAATAAGAGAGTTGGACAATGGATTACTAGAATCCAAAGGGAATGGGGTTGAGGGATCACTGTGCATTGAACGAGTTGAAACAGATCGTTGAGCTTTTGGTGGCATTGGCTCTGGCCAGGATAGATTCCTGAAAACCAATAAAATAAATCCATACTAGTAAATGATGTGGATGTGATTTGAAAGGGCATATCCATATTTGGATTTGTGTACAACAAAATAATTTTCTAGCACTCCTGTGAATGTTTATCAAAAATATAAAATATACATCTGCTGGTGATATTTTCATTAATGTCCAATTTTTAAAAAAATCAGATGACATGAATAAGTCATAGGAGTCACTGATTAACATTGCTTTTAAAATGCTTTCACCTAAACATAGCTATTGAAATGTATATCTCTCACCTAAACATTGCTTTTAAATGCTTTCACCTAAACATAGCTTTTGAAATGTACATATATCTCTCACCTAAACATGGCTTTTAAAATGCTTTCACCTAAACATAGCTATTGAAATATATCTCTCACCTAAACATGGCTTTTAAAATGCTTTAACCTAAACATAGCTTCTGAAATGTATATCTCTCACCTAAACATGGCTTTTAAAATGCTTTCACCTAAACATAGCTTTTGAAATGTATATCTCTCACCTAAACATGGCTTTTAAAATGCTTTCACCTAAACATAGCTTTTGAAATGTATATCTCTCACCTAAACATGGCTTTTAAAATGCTTTCACCTAAACATAGCTTTTGAAATGTATATCTCTCACCTAAACATGGCTTTTAAAATGCTTTCACCTAAACATAGCTTTTGAAATGTATATCTCTCACCTAAACATGGCTTTTAAAATGCTTTAACCTAAACATAGCTATTGAAATGTATATCTCTCACCTAAACATGGCTTTTAAAATGCTTTCACCTAAACATAGCTATTGAAATGTATATCTCTCACCTAAACATGGCTTTTAAAATGCTTTAACCTAAACATAGCTTTTGAAATGTATATCTCTCACCTAAACATGGCTTTTAAAATGCTTTAACCTAAACATAGCTTTTGAAATGTATATCTCTCACCTAAACATGGCTTTTAAAATGCTTTCACCTAAACATAGCTATTGAAATGTATATCTCTCACCTAAACATGGCTTTTAAAATGCTTTCACCTAAACATAGCTATTGAAATGTATATCTCTCACCTAAACATGGCTTTTAAAATGCTTTCACCTAAACATAGCTATTGAAATATATCTCTCACCTAAACATGGCTTTTAAAATGCTTTAACCTAAACATAGCTATTGAAATATATCTCTCACCTAAACATGGCTTTTAAAATGCTTTCACCTAAACATAGTTATTGAAATATATCTCTCACCTAAACATGGCTTTTAAAATGCTTTCACCTAAACATAGCTATTGAAATATATCTCTCACCTAAACATGGCTTTTAAAATGCTTTAACCTAAACATAGCTTTTGAAATGTATATCTCTCACCTAAACATGGCTTTTAAAATGCTTTCACCTAAACATAGCTTTTGAAATGTACACTGTTGCTCATAAATATGGAATATTTTACAATTATTAATTGTTTGATATAATTCTTACAAATGGTAAAAATAAGTTAAAAGATGTTTATTGCCTCTCGATTTTCTCCTCATATTTTCACATAAAACTGATTGTTATTAAAAGTAGCTCGTGGAGGTGGTTCTGTTCATATTTGAGCCGGTGTTCACCAAGGAGATCCGCACCCCCTTGGTGAGTCTCAACTGTAATGTCAGCGGTGAGAGGTATGGTGACCTTTTGGATCTACATCTAGTACCACATGCAAATGGATTGTTTGGGCGTAACTTTAAACTGCAGAGTGATGAAGCTGATGCGTATGATAGCTTCATTATGCAGGATTTCCCCAGGGCAGGCAATGTGGAGCAGCTACCATAGGCACCAAAGTCACCTGATCAGGCTCTCGCAGAGCACATGTGGGATGAAACTGACAGCGAAATTTGTCACATGGATCCCCTATCTCAAAATTTAGCAGAGTTATATACTCCTCTGATTGAGTAGTGGGACCTTATTTCGCGTAGACAGGTCAGACATATCATTGACAGCAGGCCCCGCGGGATGGATACTCTGATTGCAGCACTAGGAAGAAATACCGCATATTAGTGCTGTTATGGGCTAGAGGAGTAATTCATCTTCATGACCTGGTGTTTAGTTTGTTTGATCCACTTTACATTAAAATTTGGATAGGGATGTTTTGAAAATGCAAATTTTTTTAGACTACCCCATTTTAAACGCCAGCAAATTTCTAAACTTAAATGTAAATATTTTTCCCTAAAAAATGTTGATTTGTAGATTAAATATGTGTTTATGATTTGCCTAGAAAATTATTTGCTTAAACGACTCCAAATAAAAGTTGTTTTCATCCAAAACTTGAATTCTTATCTGACAAATCTAATATTCCATATTTATGAGCAACAGTGTATATCTCTCACCTAAACATGGCTTTTAAAATGCTTTCACCTAAACATAGCTACTGAAATACATCTTTCACCTAAACATGGCTTTTAAAATGCTTTCAGCTGGACTACGCTCCGAAACGCAATCTTGGGTTGTTTCGGGGGTGAACTTTATCATTTTGAGCTTAATGAAAGATTATAGAATGATGAACAAATGGGGCAAATCTTGTGTAGAAATACTTACGATAAATGTGTCATTTCAAAGATTTTTCATTGAATTTGCTTCGATCGGTGCCGGCGATATGATTTTGGAAAGGTTTCTAAATGAAGAACGTGACGTCACTTCCGAATCATAGCATTCAAAATAAGTAGCGTTTAATTACTTCCAACATTCATTAGAAGATGGTGTCTAGGGGTACAATTCTCGCTTAGCACGCGGGAGGCCCGGGTTCGAATCCCGAATTCGCCTTTTTATTTTTTTTAACTAAATGATTGTTCTTTGATATAACGCAGAAAAAAACAATTTTTATTTACATAAACTTTATATTAGAGCTTAAAAAAGTAAAAACAATATATGTCAACATATTGCGTTTTGGAGCGATGTCCAGCTTTCACCTAAACATAGTTATTGAAATATATCTCTCACCTAAACATGGCTTTTAAAATGCTTTCACCTAAACATAGCTTTTGAAATGTATATCTCTCACCTAAACATGGCTTTTAAAATGCTTTCACCTAAACATAGCTTTTGAAATGTATATCTCTCACCTAAACATGGCTTTTAAAATGTTTTAACCTAAACATAGCTTTTGAAATGTATATCTCTCACCTAAACATGGCTTTTAAAATGCTTTAACCTAAACATAGCTTTTGAAATGTATATCTCTCACCTAAACATGGCTTTTAAAATGCTTTCACCTAAACATAGCTTTTGAAATGTATATCTCTCACCTAAACATGGCTTTTAAAATGCTTTCACCTAAACATAGCTTTTGAAATGTATATCTCTCACCTAAACATGGCTTTTAAAATGCTTTCACCTAAACATAGTTATTGAAATATATCTCTCACCTAAACATGGCTTTTAAAATGCTTTCACCTAAACATAGCTATTGAAATGTATATCTCTCACCTAAACATTGCTTTTAAAATGCTTTCACCTAAACATAGCTATTGAAATGTATATCTCTCACCTAAACATGGCTTTTAAAATGCTTTCACCTAAACATAGCTTTTGAAATGTATATCTCTCACCTAAACATGGCTTTTAAAATGCTTTCACCTAAACATAGCTTTTGAAATGTATATCTCTCACCTAAACATTGCTTTTAAAATGCTTTCACCTAAACATAGCTTTTGAAATGTATATCTCTCACCTAAACATGGCTTTTAAAATGCTTTCACCTAAACATAGCTTTTGAAATGTATATCTCTCACCTAAACATGGCTTTTAAAATGCTTTCACCTAAACATAGCTATTGAAATGTATATCTCTCACCTAAACATGGCTTTTAAAATGCTTTAACCTAAACATAGCTTTTGAAATGTATATCTCTCACCTAAACATGGCTTTTAAAATGCTTTCACCTAAACATAGCTTTTGAAATGTATATCTCTCACCTAAACATGGCTTTTAAAATGTATATCTCTCACCTAAACATAGCTTTTGAAATGCTTTAACCTAAACATAGCTTTTGAAATGTATATCTCTCACCTAAACATGGCTTTTAAAATGCTGCTTTAACCTAAACATAGCTTTTGAAATGTATATCTCTCACCTAAACATGGCTTTTAAAATGCTTTCACCTAAACATAGCTTTTGAAATGTATATCTCTCACCTAAACATGGCTTTTAAAATGCTTTAACCTAAACATAGCTATTGAAATATATCTCTCACCTAAACATGGCTTTTAAAATGCTTTAACCTAAACATAGCTATTGAAATATATCTCTCACCTAAACATTGCTTTTAAAATGCTTTAACCTAAACATAGCTATTGAAATATATCTCTCACCTAAACATAGCTATTGAAATGTATATCTCTCACCTAAACATTGCTTTTAAAATGCTTTAACCTAAACATAGCTATTGAAATATATCTCTCACCTAAACATGGCTTTTAAAATGCTTTCACCTAAACATAGCTATTGAAATGTATATCTCTCACCTAAACATGGCTTTTAAAATGCTTTCACCTAAACATAGCTATTGAAATGTATATCTCTCACCTAAACATGGCTTTTAAAATGCTTTCACCTAAACATAGCTTTTGAAATGTATATCTCTCACCTAAACATGGCTTTTAAAATGTATATCTCTCACCTAAACATAGCTTTTGAAATGCTTTAACCTAAACATAGCTTTTGAAATGTATATCTCTCACCTAAACATAGCTTTTGAAATGCTTTAACCTAAACATAGCTTTTGAAATGTATATCTCTCACCTAAACATGGCTTTTAAAATGCTTTAACCTAAACATAGCTTTTGAAATGTATATCTCTCACCTAAACATGGCTTTTAAAATGCTTTCACCTAAACATAGCTATTGAAATGTATATCTCTCACCTAAACATGGCTTTTAAAATGTATATCTCTCACCTAAACATAGCTTTTGAAATGCTTTAACCTAAACATAGCTTTTGAAATGTATATCTCTCACCTAAACATGGCTTTTAAAATGCTTTAACCTAAACATAGCTTTTGAAATGTATATCTCTCACCTAAACATGGCTTTTAAAATGCTTTCACCTAAACATAGCTTTTGAAATGTATATCTCTCACCTAAACATGGCTTTTAAAATGCTTTAACCTAAACATAGCTATTGAAATATATCTCTCACCTAAACATGGCTTTTAAAATGCTTTAACCTAAACATAGCTATTGAAATATATCTCTCACCTAAACATGGCTTTTAAAATGCTTTAACCTAAACATAGCTATTGAAATATATCTCTCACCTAAACATGGCTTTTAAAATGCTTTAACCTAAACATAGCTATTGAAATATATCTCTCACCTAAACATGGCTTTTAAAATGCTTTCACCTAAACATAGCTATTGAAATGTATATCTCTCACCTAAACATTGCTTTTAAAATGCTTTCACCTAAACATAGCTTTTGAAATGTATATCTCTCACCTAAACATGGCTTTTAAAATGCTTTCACCTAAACATAGCTTTTGAAATGTATATCTCTCACCTAAACATGGCTTTTAAAATGCTTTAACCTAAACATAGCTATTGAAATATATCTCTCACCTAAACATGGCTTTTAAAATGCTTTAACCTAAACATAGCTATTGAAATATATCTCTCACCTAAACATTGCTTTTAAAATGCTTTAACCTAAACATAGCTATTGAAATATATCTCTCACCTAAACATAGCTATTGAAATGTATATCTCTCACCTAAACATTGCTTTTAAAATGCTTTAACCTAAACATAGCTTTTGAAATGTATATCTCTCACCTAAACATGGCTTTTAAAATGCTTTCACCTAAACATAGCTTTTGAAATGTATATCTCTCACCTAAACATGGCTTTTAAAATGCTTTCACCTAAACATAGCTATTGAAATGTATATCTCTCACCTAAACATTGCTTTTAAAATGCTTTAACCTAAACATAGCTATTGAAATATATCTCTCACCTAAACATAGCTATTGAAATGTATATCTCTCACCTAAACATTGCTTTTAAAATGCTTTAACCTAAACATAGCTATTGAAATATATCTCTCACCTAAACATGGCTTTTAAAATGCTTTCACCTAAACATTGAAATGTATATCTCTCACCTAAACATGGCTTTTAAAATGCTTTCACCTAAACATAGCTTTTGAAATGTATATCTCTCACCTAAACATGGCTTTTAAAATGCTTTCACCTAAACATAGTTATTGAAATATATCTCTCACCTAAACATGGCTTTTAAAATGCTTTCACCTAAACATAGCTATTGAAATGTATATCTCTCACCTAAACATGGCTTTTAAAATGCTTTCACCTAAACATAGCTTTTGAAATGTATATCTCTCACCTAAACATGGCTTTTAAAATGCTTTCACCTAAACATAGCTTTTGAAATGTATATCTCTCACCTAAACATGGCTTTTAAAATGCTTTCACCTAAACATAGCTATTGAAATGTATATCTCTCACCTAAACATGGCTTTTAAAATGCTTTCACCTAAACACAGCTATTGAAATATATCTCTCACCTAAACATGGCTTTTAAAATGCTTTCACCTAAACATAGCTACTGAAATACATCTTTCACCTAAACATGGCTTTTAAAATGCTCTCACCTAAACATAGCTTTTGTGTTTGTTACATCAGGGCTGTTCAACCTGCTAGGATATGTAGGGTTGGGTGTAAACTGTCTGTCACCAACACAATGTTTTATACAGTCATCCATTGTTTTCTTCAGCTCCTGTAGGAAAATTAATTAATTAAGTCTTTAAAATACTTAGTGTTAAAGTCAGGAGCTTGAAAGGGGGTAAATGGGCAAATTGAGGTCAAATGGGATAAAATCTTGTAATTGGGTTTCTATCTAGTTTCTACCCAAAAGACTCGGTGAGAGACTATGCTCATCCTATTCCCGAATATTATAGGAATATCCTATGGTTTTGAAAAAATATCATTTATATCCATGAGTGGATATTGATATCTTCATGAGTGAGAGCAGCGAATGAGTGAAGATATTTGTATCCATGAGTGGATATAATTGATATTTTTTCAAAACCATAGGATTGTCCATTTATCCCATGGGAAATCATTATCAGCGAAAAAAGTTGAAAAATATAATTTGAGAAAAGATTTCAAAAAATAATTGAAAAAATTGTGAAAAAATGTTGAAAAAAAATTTTGAAATTTGTTTTAAATATTTTTGAAAATAATTAAAAAATGTAAAAAGAATTTTTTTTGAAAAAATTCGAAACCATCGAATATCACTTTTCAAACCATCGAATATAACTTTTCAAACCATCGAATATCACTTTTTAAGACATGATATTCGATAGTTTAAAAGTGATATTCGATGGTTTGTGAATGTTTTGCTAAAATATGATATCTTGACCAACATATCAAATGTGATATTCGATCTATATCCTTGCAACCATGGGATAAAATGCTATATGTACAATCAACTAATAGACCTTTCAAATAAATAATGATGCCTATTAGTTAACCAAGGCAACTCAGGTATATTGGCTATATTTATGTCATACTTTTTTTATTAAAATCATTTAAACTTATGTGAATGTCTCTCAAAATCGACAGAAGTTAACTTTTTAAAAATTTGCAAAAATCTAATCCTACTTTCGCCCTTTAAGTGTAAGAATGACACCAAAACCGATAGATAGGTTGATTTGCTGAATTGGTTTATTGAAAAAGGTGAAGACCTCCTCCTCTTTTTGTTGAACAAATCAAACACTGAAGTTACATTTTACAGTTCATTCAATGTCACGAATAATTACCAAAAATTCCTCTTCTTCCAATGGAGCAGTAAAACAAGGATCACAGATCACCAATAGAAAATCTAAGCCATGATTGGCCCATCTTGGTCTCAAACCCCGCCCCCTTTCACATTTTGTCGTAGCAAATACCATCCATTGACGTGCAAAGTCAAGAAGCTGTGGTCCTAAATCATGTCTGCTATCCCCTGCTACTAGGCGACTCAGTTCTTTGTGGTACTAAAGAAATACATAGAGACATCATCAATTTGATTTGCGGTGTTTTCAATTTCCATACATGTATGAATAGGGGCTGCTGTTTCATAAAAACTGTAAAATACTGCTTAATGGGGACATATTGCAATCTTGTTTTGCCCATTTGCGGAATCTAACTGCTATTACCTTTAGCAGTATGCTTTTTCAGAGGCATATTTTTCTCACAAAATTGCTACACATTTTCATAGAAAAATAGGGAAATGACTTAATGAATCCAAACTGAAAGCTCAAACCCATATAACAAAACAAAGTTTACCTCCAGTCCAAAGTTATAGCACTGATGCAAAGTCTCCCTAATCAGCTTAATGATGGTATACTTTTCCGTCTCATCCATCTCAGACAAGTCATTTATGTCCAACTTCTCATCAACTTGCTTAATAGCAGAGGCCACCTTCTCACGTAGATTTATAGCATATTGTCTCAACTCTGCAAGAGATTCTCCGATAGCCTGGTGACATGACGTCTGCATGTTGACAAGTTCGACAGTTTTGCCCATCCCTGCTTGGAACTCTTTCCTAAGGATACTGAGCTGGGAGGAATGTTGTACAACAAGAAGTAGTCCCTCAACCTAAAATCGAGAAATATGTCTGATTGATATTGAACAAATATTGGTTTTGTTTTTTGGTGAATATCTGTTACACTTTCTTAGTTCCAGTTCATTTTTTTCAATATTGTCTGAGATATCATTTTTTGTCACATGACACATCCTTAACCAATCGGGAAGTGGGGAAAATGCTAAAGTTATTGTGATTCACAATATTTCTGCATTTGCATAATTTGAACTGAGTACATTTTATTCCTAATGGCCTAGTCACATAGCCCGGCCGATGAGGTTCCGATGAGCCAGTGATGCAATTTTCACCGAACTCGGCCGAACACCGGCCGGACATCCGTGGCGTTTGTTGCTTAAAACCGCATCGGTGGCAGCTCGGTGAAATTTTAACTTCGGAGTTAAATTTCACCGGGCTCTCACCGAGCTCCCTCATCGCAGCCCCATTGTAACCACATCAGAACACACGTCGGCCGGTGCACGGCCGAGTATCGGTCGGTGTCCCGTGCATCTGAGACAACCAGAGGACGAGGTTTTTTTAACGGACACCGGCCGAGCTCCGACCGAGCTCCAGCCGATGTGGGACAGAGCCTTGGAAAGTATAGTACCTGAAGATGTCCGGACGGAGTCCGTTCACGTCACCGAGCTCTGCTTCCGATGAGGAGAGCTCGGTGGCACCAAAAAAATCCACCGAGCTCTACCGATGCCGGACATCGGCCGGGCTATGTGACTAGGCCATTACTAGGGGTGAGACGAGTCGAAAAAATCCGATTCGAGTCGAATCTGATTCGAGTCAGAAAATGACGATTCGAGTTTCGAATCCGTTTCGAGTCGCGCAAAGTGCGAACAACATCGCTTTTGACCGTTCGTATTTTTAATGCGTCAATGATGGAAAGCCGGAAATATAAACAAACACAATTCGTCGTAAGTTTATTCTGATTTTATTACATATATTCTTTCATTTATGTGTACATACAATATAATAATTTAATACAAGCATATCCAAGTCATTGAAACTTATATATTCAACGCAATATCGAGTAAAAACATGCATATTGACAGTATTTTTCTGAATTTTTTTATTTTTCGAATTTTTTTCTCAACTCGAAAATGATTCGATTCATCAACTTCGACTCGATTCGACTCGACTCGAAGCCCCAAACCCGCGAGTCCTCGACTCATCGGGTTGTCGTCTCACCCCTATTCCTAACTATAATCTATGGCCAACTGACCTCTATGTGAGATAGCGATATAGATGTCTCTGCAGTGGGTTGTATATGAAGGGTTTCCCCACACCATGTGGCGACATCTTTCTCAGTGCATCCTTCAAGATTGACGAGAATTAAATAGCCATCCTGTTCTACACCTGATGACGTAAGATCTTCCCGGCCCCGTGTCATGTCAAGCAATTGATGAATCTGGCTCAGATCAGTTTTGATGTGTTGTGGCACAAACATCAGAGATCCAATGTCATGCCGTGCCAGCACCTGAAGAATGAAGAATAAAGGTAAAAAGGCCACTGTACAAAAATGCATTTTAACATAACATAACATGGCTATCATTTTAATGAATATGCCATTCAGTACAGCTTTTACTTTGTTAGAATACATTGTTCCTAAGAATGCTGACACGATCGCCTAAACCAAAACCCCATAGTCGCCACTTCTTGGTCTTGACATAAAAATCAAAAGGATACCATTTATATATTTACATGTGCCTAAGGCAGAAAAGGAATTTACATGTCAAAATGTCACCATCTGGTTATTGCAAATGATTACACCAGTGTTATAACTTACTACAAAAGCTAAACACCGACTGCCAACCACTGAGTTTTGAAATTGATCACAAAAAGTGGTAGGCTATAACAATATGTCTACACTTTGTGGAGGTAAAACATTGAATGATATTAATAAATCTAAGCAATGTAAGCTGTACCTGCACATGACCAGTATCTTTAAGTTTCTGCAACAATTCACCAGGAGACACAATGATGTTGAAGTCAGCTGCTATTTCTAGATCCTTGCGTAACATTTTAGCAAATCCAAGAGCCTTTGATGCTCGTTCTCGTGTTTCATGGAACAATGATTTGAAGCCCCTACATGTCTGGATGACAGCATGTCTACAAATTACAATGAATCATATACTTACAATACATATTTTCTTTACTACCATTGATACATGAATAATGAAACAAAAAACAATACACAGATCTAGTTTAATTAACCAACAATTTTTTTCTTGATCCTATATTTTCCACATCCTTTCAAAACATGTATGTATGTTCATATTGCTTTAACATGGAAAATACTTTTACATACCTGACTTCCATGGACCTATTGACCTTCCACATCCTTTCAAAACATGTATGTATGATTATATTTCTTTAATATGGAAAATACTTTTACATACCTGACTTCCATGGACCTATTGACCTCCTCCATAAGTTCAGCAGTATCAGTCTGGCTATCATACAACTGGTTGATGCACTCGTCCATGCCAGTCTCCAAGTAATCTGCTATTGAGTCAAACAGATTGCTGGCCATCAGGCTGAAAACATATAAAATCATAACCTGTTTCATCAGGGGAGGGTGGGGTATAAAAATTTGAACATATTGTATTTGCAGTAACCTTACTTAAATTCCCCTGTTAACTAAGACTTAATTCAAGTTAATAACGAACAGGGATAAGTATTTGTATTACACTTCATTTTGTACATTTCATTACCAGAATCGTTTTCCAGCCTCAGCCTCCCCTCCTCTGACATGCGGACATATCTTAATGGTGAAAAGCCAGGCATCTTCCAAGGCATTCTTCATTGTACGAGAGGCTTCTTCCATCTTCTGGATGCCTCGTATCCAAGTATGGATATACCGGAAATACATCTAGATATGCAATACAGAGAAGAACAAATGTACTGTACAATGTTAAATGAGAGAATCTTGAGATTTTGTATTCTGAGGATTTTGCTTTTTGCAGAATGAAAGTGGCTTTGAGGATTCTCAAAGTCTTAATAGATTTGAAGAATTACATTGCACATGGGTGAGTGGTGTTTATCTAAAATGAGTGGTGCATCTTAGATCCCAGTAGCAGTAGTATTGTTAATTAAATATTGTGACTATTGTCCCACCAGAGCTCTAATTTGAACGGTCTTTGAAACTCATTAACTGTCATGTCCCATATACATAGAGCAACAAAGTGACCTTGACAACAATGAACAAAAATGCCATTAGTCTTACCTCTAGTGTACGTTTCATATCATCGTCAAATTGTTCCAAAATATCCAGCACTTCTTGTTGTTCTCCTCCCTCTCTCAGAACAGCAGACACCATTTCCTGATAGTAATGCTTCACAAGAACACCTGCTTCAAGAACATCCTTACATTCCCGAATCAACTGAAAAACAAAATAAATACATGTACAGGTATAATGCTTCAAGAAATGAATACAGCTCAGTTATATACCTTACAAAATTCCGTACAAAAAACCTGTGTAAGTGGAACGCCTTTGGGTCTTTAAAATAGTGTCACAATACCTGCATCCCCTTGCGTTGAACTTTCCAAAGTGGCAGATAAGAGGGGGGTCTGGTAAAACCAGAATGATCCCCAACCTAAGATGTGCAAGCAGTGGATACAAACCTGTCTGAGACTCAGTAGAGAGGGGTCTAGATCTGGTTGCTGTTCCAGACGAAGCTTGAGACATTCATGTATAACATCCAGGGGAATACGCAACAGGAATAGATAAGAGGGTTGGAATGAAGGCAATCCCATCTTCAGCATTTCATCATACCTAGATTAGAAAAAAGAACATTACTTTTAAGAGCTTCCCATTGGAATTGGAGAATCAGCCAAGTAAAATGGAGAATAAACACTATTTGCACTTACAATGTACGTGTACATCAATTCATTTTTGGTATGTCATGATGGTCTATTCAACAACATACACCATGTACCTTCACCTTGATCTATTTATTAGTTAAATAATTTTCAAGTTTGATCTACGTATGTAATTTTGCAAGATAATGTTTGACCCTCAATAGCTTTAATTGTAATTTATGTTAAAATAAATATTGAACCCATTGAATTGTAATATGTAATTACAAGCTTACAACATTCATTAATTTTCAACATTTACTTGAATGACAGCATGTTTTATCATGTTTGAGGGGATTTTCATGAACACCCAATTCTGCCTAATACTCACCAGTCAACTGCCACATCTAGGCTGCGTCTATGGCTCATTTTAATATAGGAGTCCATATCTGGGTGGAGAGTTGGGGATGTGGCATAACTGGAATTTCGCTGAAAAATGTTCAAATTAAAATCCAAGTCTATGATTAACTAACTTTTTAGTCTTGCATCATGTGTCAGGATCTTCCACCCCAAATCTACTTCACTTTGTGGAGGCATGGTATTATGTTAGGGGGGGGGGGGTCAAAAGGGCATGAAGCATGACTTAGAACCAGTTATTTAAAACAAATAATTGAACATGGTTAATGCTCAAAATTGAAGTTCAAGAGTTTAAAAATGAATTAAATTATGTATTTTTGATTTTTTTTGTTCAGGATGATTGCATATTACATATATTATATAATATACATGTATTTCCTTTTTACACTTATAAAGAGATATGGATCCAATTGTTGAAATGATGAATTTACAATCCAAGTTTACATGATCTATACATAATGGATAATGGGGACCTGAAACTTATAGTCGGCTATTAGTCAACTTTACTAATTTACCTTTAACCCTTCAGAGGGTTCCTCATATGCTCTAGCTGGCCTTTCTAGAGCTTCTTTAGCCTTCTGCAGGCTCTTATCTAGTAATACTTGTAACCGTTTGCACAATTTCTTCATGCCCATCTTCTTCAGTGCTTTATCCACATATGGTCTGTATATTGAAGTAGTCCCTGAATCATCCAAGCTTACATCACTTGATGTCCGTGACAACATTGTGAATGAGTTGGTCGAGGCAGATCTGTTTGCCCCTTTAATAGGGGTTGATGAATCAGAACCAGGAGTTCTTGAATTAAATGGGTCATTTAAGTTAATTTTTGGACTTGGTGTCTCGTCTTCAGAACTTGCTGTAAAATGTACTTGTTTGGGAGTTTGAAGATGTAATTTAGGGAGCTGGTCAGAACCTCCAGCTGTAGCATCAGTTTGATTATCTTGCTCCATTCCATCGAAGTCAGACTCCGACGTTGATGTAGACATCTCAACAGAACCATCATTAACTGGGCAGTCTTTGTCTATTATTGGCCATACATCATGCGCCTTGACACCAAGAACACGACCCATTAGTTTTATCTTATGGCTTAGATCCTTTGTAACATTCAGCCATACTTGTAATGCATCGACTTTCCTTCTGAACCCGGGATTATTGTACAGTTCGAAAGACTGGCCTAATGATTTACACGCTGGGTATAATATTTCCATAGATTCAAGATCATTGAACAGTTTGATAACATGTCTTATGGCACATCTTTGCTCGTGTATAGACGTGTATAGTATGCGTTGTGTAAAACTCTCTGCTGTGACACATATAGTCGGAGTGTGACTCCTAGATCCCGAGGGGGAAGTCACAACTACCCTGTCACAAACTTCACCCTGGCGGGGAAGTCGGAAATTCATGACATAATTTAGAATTTCAGGAATTTGATTGCGCATGTTGATGAGATAGTGGTCCTGGGCTTGCATTGTTCTGCCATTATGCCAAGCTTGGAGTTCCAGCCATATTGCATCATTTACGTGCTGTTGCCACATTTCCTGTTCTGATGACAATTGGCGGTTATATGGGCTCCCCGAAGACATCTTTTTGTCACGTTCCTTTCTGTTGTTAACTCCCATATTGATAACAGCTGAAAATACTTTGTGAAATAGCACTCGATTTTTAGGACATTCAATCGTTCGTTCAACAGTCTGACGTCTCAATAAACCAGGCATTCTGATTGGTTCAACTGGTTGTTGTGAAAGTGGTTTAGAGCTGATTGATTGAAATTTGTGCAAAGATCCAACTTTAATAGTGTTCGAATCACCAGATACAGCTGGCAGAGAACTTGTACCACCTTCGACAAAATCCCCTGCCATAAGTTTCAAATCTCTTTCAGATGATCTTGTGTGCTTAAATGTTTTGGAACTATGGCGTTTCTTTTTATTGAAAGGGTTGACGCTGCACTTCTCTTCATTGACCTCCTCATCTGAATCAGGATTTTCAAGCTCCTCAAATGTAGTCCCAGTGAAGCCTCTAGGACTCTTCAACTTAGGTACTGAACGGTCATTCGCAGGAGGGATATCTTGCAATGTGAGTTTCTGTTTAGAGTATTTATCAGCTTTAAATTTGTCTTTTTGTCGTCGCATATAGCGACCACTGATTGGTGGGGTTGAGCCATAGTCTACACCAAATCCCCCTAAAGAGCTGGAGGGAGATTCATCATCGTATTGCCCAGAATAGTGTTCAGGGTCTCTGGGAGAGTCGTCCACCTGAGGGAAGTCTGGCAGTGAATCTAATCTTGGACTCCTGCAAATACATAAACAACCAAATTAGATTAATGAGTAAAATATTCAATATTTACATAAATTATCCCTCTGTAATTATTTATTTGTAAATTTCAATTTAGAGGTGTATTTTGATTGATTTATTGCTTATCTTACCAAAAATACCCTTTGGTTTCAACTGTAGATCTAAATGTCCACTTTTACCATACCTTAGAAAATGTGCATGAGATGACTGATATCTTAAGCCATTTAGGTCAAGGCAATTATGAAATTTTGAAAAAAACTCATTATGCAAAAGCAACTGATAAGCATCTCATCTGGTGCAGCATATTTTAGATACAATAATTATATATTAAATTAACAAAATTAATTATAACTTATTAAAACATTAAATGGAAATTTGACCTTTTATGCAAACTCTGGGAGGACCCTTTGCAATCATTCAACTTCTCTTAGAAGAGAGCTTCATCTTCGCTCTCTCAGTTTACAATAAATCTCTGAACTCATCGAGCCATTCAGAGTTCAAAGTCGAAATATGGACGACTTTCTAAATCTATATATGTATACTTAAATTTCCTCTGACATTATTGCATAGTTAATGAGCACACATTTAGCATGTGTTCCTTCCAGCCTGTTAATTGGTTGAGAAATAATCAGCATGGTAGGTTTGAAATGATTTATGACCCAGGCTGTCACGGGCATAGGATGTGGGGGTGTGGCTACTAAACTGTAATGTAGTCTATACTAGGCAGAGGGTAGTTTATAACTAGACTCTGCGTGCAGACTCTGTTATAACACTTTTAAAACATTTTTTAATCATGATTGATACAGAACAAATTCGCAATTTTAAGTTTTGAATGGACCTTTGAACATTCAACCAATTAGAGAGCAGCTTATCTAGATCAACTTTTGGAACTTCTTATTTATTTAACTATCTGGCAAGGCGGTTTGGAAGATATTTTCCACTAACAAGTCAATTTAAAATAATTTTTTGGGGTACTTTAAACTACTCTTTGAAAATCACTGCAGCGGGCCCTTCTCTGGATAACAGCTACCACCCGTGGAATCTCCCTCTCCCAAACACACCAATAGTGTTTCATGTTTCAAGTTTAGATAACTTCTGAGACCAAACTGTAGTTCAAATTATAATATTGTGAAAAAACATAAAAATCAAAGAGTCATGAACATCTGCGCAGCCTTCTCGATGTGCCACGCCCACCCTGTGTGGAACAATGGTGCTTATTGTTGTTGTTGGGACCCAATTTTTGACGCGAGTTTTACACAAATAACCTGCCTCAATAAATTCCTGAGTATTTTAGGATTTTTATTTTTTATCTTTTTATGTTATTGAATCTCCAATCGTATAGGTTAATCGGCGCAGAACAAAGAAGTTATCCTTTTTTCATCAAAAATTTGCAAGCTGGCGGTTTGACTTTGGACGGGAAATCCCCTTATGACAACCGTGTATGGTGCTTGCACCAGATTGCTGCAGTCGGTAGGCATCAAATAGCCGTGGTTATTTGATCCCGCCGATTCAAGTGGCCATTCATAGTATTTAAGAAGATCAAATCTAAGATGGTGATGATCTATATAAGGGTTAATTATCTCCACTTACCATGAACAAGTTGATTTCTCACTGCTGTACAGTGCAGAGCAAGAGGTTAATCGCACGCTAACTAATAATGATCATTTCGCACGAACAGTCCTGTCGAAAACATGCTGCATCAACCTATAGCCATATACATTAGCTACAAGAATTTTGATTGGCTTATTAAGCAGAAGAAAACTGTTATGCACGAATCAGATTGATGTAACGCTGTTGGAGAGCGTTCTAAAGCCTTCAATTTTTGTTTGTGTTTTGTATTATTTCATCGGTGCATTTGGGAAATAAAATTTTTACGTACACGATACGTAAGATGTGTTGCAGTTTTGTGTGAAGATGAAATAAACCGCGAAAAAAACGGCGTTAACGCGAACCTTGATGCACCCTGACCTAAAAGCGTATCAGTTGAAAAAACTGCTAGAAGACGTAACATATTTTACCATACCGTGCACCTATTCATTTAGTGATTCATAATAATTAAATTTCCTCTTTATAATCCCCCCTTCTGTCCCATTTTCTCGATCACCTGGCGTGACCCAAATTTCCAAGGCTCGGATGATCATGATATCACAGTATGCAGTTTGATGTGGGTAAGCTCATATCATGGTTTATAAAGGAAAGAATAGATCGTGATCTTGTCTTGCCCTAATCAAACTGCATACTGATTGTGCATGATCGATGATCATGATGTGGAAATTTCGATTTTCAATTTCAATGTGTGAATTTTTTTTAGATAGACATTGAAAAATAAATGCAATTTTAACCATGAATATGCATTTTAAGTATGAGATTTTGAACATCGTAGCCTCATAGTTCACTATTTTGCTAATGCAATACTCACAATGGTCCCATCAAAGGGTTAAAATCCTCTTTTGGAGACCCCTCGATTTTTTCACTTTCCATACCGGAAGTCGAGGTATCAAACCACTAAATTAGTAAGAAGAGTACTGAACGAAATGCTCAGAGATCCACTCACGTCATGCAATGCACTAATGGTAAACGAATTGAATCTATATAATTTTCATTATATTCTGCTGTGGTAGACTAACATGAAGCTAAATTACGGTGAGGAGTTCAGGTCCAACCTGACCCCAAAATTGATGTGACATCAGTTTTCTCCATTGCAGTCCTTCTAAATCTTTACAAGAAATCTTGATTTAATCATGGGGTTTCAATAGAAGAGTATGCCCTTATGTTATAAACATGAAAATTCAATTGGCCATCGACATGCGAAGCAAAAATGATCAACAAGAAGAAGGGGTCTCAAAACTTTCTCTCCAGATGTTGCATTTATGGGTAATTAAAATGTGCAAAATGATTTTTGTCTTGGAATGCGTGCAGTACGAATTTTTGAATCCCAAGGCAATGCTCATAATACCTATCTTTTGAAATCCCACGATTTACTTTAGAATTATGGTTGATTATCACTGACACTAGAAAGTTTGTATTTAAGGAAAGCCATATATCATTATGGTTTGGGTTTGGGGTTTGTTTTCCCTATGCCGACTGACGGTGGTGTACACTCACTGTCACTAAGATGTTTTCTTTTTAGTGGTAGTGGGTTCTGTAACCATTAAGCCCCGGGAACATGTATAAAAATCGAGCCGAGTGCCGTACCTTTAGGGAACCCCGGGTAGGGAACTCAACCCATTTCTCTTATGCATGTTACCATGCGCCTATGCTTTTGTCCTTTCCCTTTGGCAGTTGATTGTTTGATTAAAATCCGTCTTCCTTTTGATTAGTTGAACTATCTCCCCTTGTTATAATAGTGCTAGGTCCCCGGGGCTAGCTACCAACCAAGGAATTTCAAGCTTGCTGTATCTATCATCCCTTTATTCTTTTGCTGAAATGCGATTCTGAAATCCATATTTACTATGTTAAAAGATCAAAATCAAGAAAACGTAGATTCTGTAATCAAAGATAGCATTCGGTAAAAATAAATCATTTTGATGGTTTAATGCTGTCCAATTAAAATTCTTTTTTTTCTTTTTTTAAGATGTTATACATTTATTTATTGTACCAATAATCCCTGTAAGGGCAAATGTACAAAAGAAGAGAAAAAAACTTACATAGACATAATAACGTACAAGTAGAAAAGTACATAAATACAGATGTATATATAATATGTAACTGGATCACGTCGTTACTGGGTGAGTCTGTCTGAAATCTACCTACTGAGCAAAGTACTGCTTATAGAGAATAATTCATTTACCATGTTAGAAAAGATGCTGCAATATTGCTCCTCGGCATTAAATAAGAAAGCAAGTAAATCCATATCTGATAGCGAGCCGATATTAGGGCATAAAGCAAGTCTAAATATTTATTTGTGATATGTTTGAGCTCATTACACTTGAGCAAAAAATGTTCTTCGGTCTCCTGTGCCTTTTTACATAGTTTACAAATTCTGAGTTCGGGTGCCTTTAAATTTTAGTGGAGTGATACTTGTGCTTATTTCGTTCAGAGACATTCCGCGAACTACATCACTTTTGGCGCGGGAATGACGAAATGAAGTCGTGCATGAACGCTCCCCTGATGTCGTCACAGAACGCTCTTGTAACAGTTCGACGACGTCGGAATACAATACACGCACTTTGTTTTGTTGAAAAAAAACTTCATTTTGTGCAAATATTCTGCGAAAAATATGGAAAACGTTGCACAAATAGGACTTCCAACTATGCCAGCCATGGTGCCTGAACAGAGTCAACCTTTGCCACTGGCTTCAAATTGTAAGTAGGTTATTTTTCCTGGGGTTTGATATTTTCTCAGCCCTTGGCCCATGGTTTATGCACAGTTAGGTCAGAGCTTAGCCTACCAGCCTGTTCTTTGGTTCTTAACTAGGGCCTAGGTCAGGGGCGGATCTGGGAACTAACAAGGGGGGGGGGCAAAATTCAGGTCAAAGAAAAAAAATTTGGGCCCCTAAAACCCTCAAGTGGGCCCTAATTTTGAAATTTTGAGGCCCATTTTCTTCAAAATTTGTCCTGAAATTAAAAAATAAGGCCTTAAAGGGGGGGGGGGTCCAGGGCCCCCAGGCCCCTCCCCTAACCAAAGCAGTTTGGACCAGTTATCTACTCCTGACGTCGTAGATCTACGACGTCGGGAGTAGATAACTGGGCCAGACAGGTTTGGTTAGCTCGAGGGGCGAATCTGGGAACCAACAAAGGGGGGCCCAAATTTCTGGTCTGAGAAAAAAGATTTTGGGCCCCTAAAACCGAAAAGTGGACCCAAATTTTGATATTTTGAGGCCCATTTTCTTCAATATTTGGCCTGATATGAAAGAATAAGGCCTTACAAGCATGCAAGGCCAAGTAATGACCAAAAAGGCCCACTTTTTGGGGCCTGAAGGCCTTTTTTGCCCAAACTTTTTTGGGCCTTTGGGCCCAATTTTTTTTTCTGGGCCCACCCAAGGTCCTCCCCCCAGATCCGCAAGTGGTCCTTCCCCCAGATCCACCAATTTGGGCCTAGTGCTAATCAGTTACCAAGGGCCGAAGAAGGATCCAGGGGGGATCACCCAAGAATTCAAAGATGACATATGCTTATAATGTAAACCTGTATTGAGATGACGTACACCTCTGATTGGTCCAAATCGATAAACAAAAATGGCGGATTCAAAATTTTCTAATAACGCTTCGAATACTATAATGTTCCTGGCGTGTTAACCAATATCGTAGCTTGTTATTTCACATCAAAATAAGGAAGATGTAGTCTAAGGAGTATACGTACATCGATTTGAAACATCACGACGACGTGTTATATTCAAAAACTAACCAGTGAGAATTTGCGCAAACGAAGGTGGTACACAAGAGACGTAACACATCAGTCATCGCTAAAGCTCTGGGGGTTCCCCCCTCTTAGTAGGATCAGTAGCCTATCGCTCAATAAATATTCCTCATGCCCAGTCAACCCTCACGCATTAGGCAGGATTATCACGCATTTGGTGGAAAAAATGAAATCACGCTTCAATTTTGCATGTGTGATAAAATGTCACGCAAATCACCCATTATTTGATATTTAAAAATATTTGCTTTATAAAAATGCCGATACAGTAAGAAACGAATGACGAAAAAAGCGAACACATTCCGTTTAGACTTTTCACACAAATCCTGTATATGTCACGCGTTTGCTTGTATATGTCACGCATTTGCTTCGAAATATTTTGTATTTACCCCCCTCAAAGTAACCTTTTTCGAGTAAGGAATGTGCCCAAGAATTCAACATCACGTCCGTATATATAGTCAGAAAGATCAGATATTGGTATTTTGCAAACAGACTTGCAGCAATGCACTGTTATATGCAGTTTCAAAGTACCACATGTACTGCACTAAATACAATCTCAAATTCCATCTTTATTTCAGATCGCCTTGTAAATGGAAAAGCCTGTAAGATACCACGCCCAATGAATGCATTTATGTTGTATGCTGTTGACCACAGAAAGATTCTCTCGAAACAATACCCTAAGGAACACAATAAAGAAATCAGTATGAGGTAAGTCTTCAAATGCATGTAATTCCAAATAGGGTCAAATTTATGGTCAAATTGGTACCAATGTCAAAGTTCAGCTCAACCTTAGTACTATTGATTGAGATCACAGAAGGTCAGTCATACACAGTGTGGGAAATAAGCACCGGACAACGGACAAATGTCGAGTCAAAAGAAATTTGTCCAGACTGTTTCAAACTGTGTGGTCAAAATTGTCCAGATAGATTTTGCTGAGACATGAGACAATGAATTTTGTTTTACACATCAAATGAAGGAATATAAATTGGCCTTCTTCTGAGGAAGAAATTATCGACAAATGAAACAATGCAAAATATAAAATTCAATGGCTAAGAATCCTCTGTTTCCATGTATTTTTATTTTACATTTACCAAGTACAAAAAAATGTCCAGTGTGTTTTTATGGAATTCCTATACTTAATTTGCACAACTTGGATAAGGTCAAGGTTATTTTATGGGTCAAGGTCAATAATGTGGCTTTTTGAAATCGCAAGTAGTCACAAGTTTAATTTTGACTCTTGTACACATCAATAACTTATCTTTCAGACTTGGTAATATGTGGCGTGAACTCCCAGAAAATGCAAAGAAGAGATACTTTGATTTGGCTAAACAAGCAGAGCTACAACACCGTATGAGATATCCCAGTAAGTTTTTGTGAATCCCAAGGGACTAGTACAATAGTTGATGATGTTATCCAAAAAATAATTTATAATTACATTTTACCTGTACCTATAGTGTAGTTGGATGTTAATTGATTTTCTCAAATTAAAGGTCACAAAGAATCATGACTTTTACCCCTCACCAAACTGTCATTGATATTTTTATATTTGTTGGCATACACCAAAGTATTGACTTTGTCCCTATGAGTAAGTTTTTATTCCAAACTATTGTATCACATTAGATTATATGAACATAACAGTCAAATGCAAAAGAATGTTTTACTGTCAGCTATAAAAAATGAAATTGAATTGTTGAAAATGTGACTTTTGGTTTATGGTGCTAAGAAAATGTGCCTCCTAAATGTTTCAGAAGAAGTAACTAAATTCTGAAATGTTGCACAAAATACTTTGACCACAAAAATCCTAATGAGAGCTCTGCATTTTAAAAAAACGTTGGTTTTCAATCTTACATTTCTTTATCCCATAAAATGATGACAATTCTATTTCTAGACTACTCTTACAACCCTAAACCAACCAAAAAGAAACGTTCTCTGGAAGGCAGAAGAGATGATATTCTGATGCTTGGTCCTAATCCTAATCAAAAAGATCTAAGTGAATTGCAAAAGAGTGATGGTGTCCTAAGTTCCCTACTAAAATATGACTCCCAAAGACAGCCCCTTGTGTCTACTCAGGCCAGTGTCATGCACAACACCAGCGGAGGGAAGATGATTCCTATGCAAAATGCAAATGTACAGGTTTGTCTTAAAATTTTGTGGGCTTTTATTCAATATTGGTTGAATTTAATACTTTTTAGCTCACATGGTGAGCTTTTGTTGGGATGTGCCAGAGCTTTTACAATGAGGGTGTCTTTTTAAATTACTTTCACAAAAACTGCTATTTTGGATGAAAGCTTGCATTTACAAAATAGACATGAAATACTGAGAGAGGTATATGATTTAAATAAAAGGTACAGGTAGAGCCTACCCTCAAAGCTTTGTGATCATTCAAATGCTAAATTTCATAAAACATATTGTTTGCAGGCCAATGGTCAATATATGCTGCGATACCCAGCTCCAATGGCTGTACCCCAGGGAATGATGCCACGTCCCCAAGGTAGGATGCCACATCCCCTAATGATGTTCCGAGGTCCTGCTCCCCAAGGCATGGTTGCTGTTCGAGGTTCCAATCTACCCGATGGAAGAAATATCAATCAGGTCAGAATAAATTGATGAACTAAGCTGCAAAAATTCTTGAGTCAGTAAATAAAGTAGTTTCTCTTGAGTTATTCAACAGCAGATTTTTTATGACAACTGGACAACGTCATTGAACTGCATTTTATGTCCTCGGTGAAGTATAGTGGGGGTAAGTGAACCCATTATACAAGGTTGTCGTAATTACCTTAATTCAATGAGACATTATGCAATATAAATCATTTAAAATAACACACACCAAAAAATGACATACATACCTTAAAGAAATGTTTTGATATATCTGCTAACAAGTTGCCATAGTAGTCTCAAGTTCTAAGATTGAAATATCTTTGTTTTTATCTTCAGGCCTGTGGTTCTTTGCTTGAAGGCAGCCCTCCTAGACAGGCAGACTTAGGAATACAGATGCCCAATCAGCCTGGTAGTCATTTCCAGTCACTAAAGCATCAAGGCAGTCACTTCCAGCCTGTCCAACCTCAACCAAGTGAGTAACTGTGAATGCTTTTGGAGAGCGAATACTTTTATCCTGTATATCCATACACAACCTCTCTAATCTGAACAATCCTCAATATGATCACTGCATGTTTATTTGTCCCATTTTAATGTCACCACTTATGGTTATGGATAATACCATAACTTATGGTATTGTTTGTGGACTCTGGTATTGTTTTGTGAACAGTGTTCAGTGGTGGTTGGTGTTTGGAAGTCAGTGTTTGGTAGTCAGCCTTTTGGCATCTGTGAAAAATTCCAGTTGGTGACATTTTGCATGTTAATGCCTTGTTAATCAGGTAAAGAACTCAGTACCATGTTAAAAAACTCAAAATGTGAACACCTGCTAATCTGAACTCTTTTGGCTGGTCCCAGAAGCATCTGGATTAGACATGTTTTACTGTACCCCATTTATTGCATCCTCCTCAGCAGGTGTCCAGAATCCGGAGCTCCTTCTTCCCCCCTGCTATAAGTAATTTGGAATCGCCCAATTAAACTGAATCACGTGATCTAATTATGCGCCGATGACGTATCCATGATTGCTGTCTCAGTGTTGCGACAGCGAATCAAATTGCGACTTCTTAATCGGGGAAATGCTAACTGCTTATCGCAGGTGGTAAAAAGAAAGAAGATATTCTGGATTTTGAAGCCCTGTGATCGGAGGATGTATTTATTGTAGTTTTTAAAATTTGACTAAATAGATGGATGAAAACAGATTAGTTTACATTACAATCTTCTTTATTATATTTCCTGATAATTTGATGATTTTCCAGGATCTCCAGGGAGTAGATATGCCCCTTATCCTCCCCCTAGATTTGTCTACATGCCCTGTAATATGGCATATGCTTCCAAGCTTGGTTGGCCACAAGATGGTATGCAGCACCCTTCCTTCCCTGCTCAACAGGTGCAACACTTTGACAACAACATGAATCCTCAGAACAGGTAAGACCAGCTAGTGTACTAGTTATAATAGTCTATCTTATGTAAAATAGCAACTACCCTTTTCAAAATCTTGTCAGAATTTGATGTAATGCAAAATATGCACAAGGTTGCTTTTATCATTAATATAGGTCTAAAATGTACTTTTATTTTCAAAACACAGGCCCAAATTTCCATATATTGATAATGAATGTGCGTTGAATGATTTTATTTCTATATTAAGATTGTAAATTTTCTTGTTATTGCATCTCAATTTCTTCACCAGCTTTAAAATAAAGTACATGTATAACTTGAAGAGATAACAAAAGTAAGACACGAGAATTTAAAAACTAGAAATGATAAAGGAAGGCAGATTATACTGTTATATAATAGTATAAGGTGAGAGCTAGATACATTTAACTCCCTGAACTTATGTTTCAGCTTTGATAACTATGGAGGTTACTTCCAAATGACTGATCAGATGTTTGGTAACCTGGAACAGCCAGCTGATGTGAACAACACCACAGAGAGCTTATCAGAGGATGATGATGAGTCCAACGAGGCCCTAGGTGAGGAACGTAGCTACACTGACCTGTCTAATGCCAGCCAAGATATTGTTTATGTCCAAGATAGTAACAACAACAACGCTGCAGTGGCCCAGGAGGACAAAGTGGAGACAGCCCAGGCTACTCAGGCTCTACTTGATCTTGTCTCTAATGATACTACCGCAGACCCAAGACCTTCTGAGACTGTCATAAAATGGGACCGTGCCACTGATAAATACATTGTAAGCGAGAAGCACCCAGAAATCATGATCACTTCTTCTTCATTCTTGAGCAATACACTGAACCAAGACAATAACTCCATGGACTCACTGGGCAATTTTATGGTAACTGAGAAACAATCTGATGTCATGATACCATCGCCTTCCTTTTTGAACAACGCAGTAGCTATAGATAATTATCCGCAAGATGTGAATGCTGCTCCAAATGTAGAGTCATTGTTTGATGGTACGGATGATTCAGAACCATTTGTGCCTCAGAATTGTCAAGTACAGAGTTCACCAAGTAACACAGGTTCATCAATGGACCAGGCTAGTATTGTAAAACGTGAGAAAATCTGAATTAGAAAAATACCATTTAAGCTATCTGTGCCAGTCTGCCATTGTCTGTGTGTAACATTTCAAACTAATAGAATGGCATCATTCAAATAAAAGTCGGAGAAAATTGATATTGAAATGAAACATGAGAATATGTACCTAAGTGTTTAGTTAGGTTGAATGCTTGCCTAGTCACATGATTATCATAGTCATATTATTTTATATTTATATAAAGTGCACTGCTTCAAAATTTTGTTCTTAATTTTAGACACAAGTAATACAATATTGTGACCAAAAGGTCATTTTAGATAAATTGATGCCAAAATACGTTTTGGTCAAAATGTATTGATGTAAGCCCACAAATGCAATTAATATTACACTTGATTTCATGCATGTAATGTAGACTAACTTATTTTTGCAAAAAGTTAATTTTATGAAAATTTGCAATGGACATGTCCCGGGCCTGGTTTAAAGTAGCTATAGATATGCTATATGTTATTTATATTTATTTGGGATTGCATTATTGTTAGATTATTTCATAAACTTAATCTAAAAATGATTTGATGTTCGCAATATTGTTGTTAATATTAGACAAATCACAATATAAATACTAATTTACATTCAGTTTAAATGACAAGAAATGTAGCATGTCACTTATCCTGATTTCATATTCCACTTTTGCTGTTTTAATTTTGGGAAAATGCTCAGTTTAGGCTAAGTTAATTTTTAAAAAAAGTTCATAATCTCAATGAATTGAATTGGAGGTGATTTCTAGAATGGTGCACTGAGCAATTGTGGGATCCATAGCTAACTACAGATCATTTTCATTTACTGACTGGAGATATTCAGTTAAATCAATAGGGTGACCATGAAAATGCAACCCATTGTTCTTGGAATAACTTTGTCAAAAATAGTGGCATGCTTTCGTCTTTTATCAGTTTATTGTGTAGATCAGTAGATAAAGTGCTCAATGTAAACAGTGTTGTACATGTACTCATATGGCATTGTATGGCATCAAGTATTTAGGTTCTTTCTTTGCCATTATTTGCCTAATGAGAAATTCATTTATGGATTGCTTTCCTTCACGTTGTCCTTATTTAAAAGTATCCTCAAATAATATGTACAAAGAAAACACAGCACAGATTCACTGCAAATATGTAAACAAACAATTTTATCCACTGACTGTTGGTAAATTTAAACCATCATTGATGAGTTCTTGTGTTCATTTTAAAACAATTGTAACTTAAGATTTTAACCTAAATGGAAGTTACTTTGTGCCTTTCCACAATGTGAATTATGGGTTACTTTTTTTGAGTCACCCTGTCATTTGCCAAACCTTACTATTATTATACTTGTACTATTTTTATGTATCATGTTTAGATAACTAATATATAATAATAATATATAAATAAATTAATATAATATTGAAATATATATAAACATTTAGTTGAGTGTTGCTTGCATGAGTGATATTCTGATGGTCATTTTCCGTTTCTTGTCATACCAGTCGAATATGAAATAATCTATTTCAATAATTTTTCAATCACAATTAAAAACTTAGTAAAAAAAAGACAATGAAATAGATATTACAATTTTCAAGAAAACTCTAGGCTTATCTAAACAGGCGGAAAACAAGCAGATTTGTTTGTACCCACCATTTTAATATCTCAATTGTTTTGCCTCAGAGAAGTTCACAATTACATCCATCATTTCCATTACCCATTCCAATCAATTTGTTTTTCATTTCAACTTTCAATAAATTCCATTATTTCATTTGTATTTCAATCATTTAAGAACTGATGACATATTGTAATGGTCTCCAACTTTCTTAAGTTCGCCGGATATAATTCAGCATCTGTAACAAATGGCAGGTATTGACATTTTGAATGTTAATGCCTGGTTAATTTATGAATTGAAAAAACTTCTTCCAGCGCTTTCATCATTCCAATCTGTGGCATGACTATACTGTACTTCTACTTTAACTACTTTTAATTTGGCCAAATTGTTAAGTCCACCAAGTTACAAGTAGCCACCAAATTCCCCAGTAATTTTTGTACCATGTAATTTAGAACCATTAGTACATTGTAATATTGTAAATGTCCGTCAAGTAAATGTTCAAAATAGCAAATAGACCGAATAAGTAGCCTAGCGCTAAATTAAGTAGAATTACAGTACTTGATCAGATATCTCAATTCTTTTTGAAAATATTTCTTCCTAACATACAACTGCTCACACAGCTTTTAATTGAAACATTGTCTATCCCTTCTAATTCCTTTCAAATACACAAACAGTGCAAATTCTGCTGCAATGAAAAATTAGGCTTATTTATTTCATAAAATTTCAGCCAACATTTATAAATATGATTCATATATTAATATTATTATTAAATTAATAATTTAATTTCAACAGTATGACAATGTAAATGTATAATTTCATGTTTAACAATCTATGTACATGTAACAATAAATGTGTATATATTTAAACGACAATGTAAATATATAATTTCATGTTTAACAATTTATGTATGACAACAATTATATAAATATACATTTATTTAAATACATATTTAAATAATATCAATAACATTAACATGTTTATAAATTATTTTTTCTAATTAGAGGATCATTAATATAAGCTTTGTAAAGTTCATTGTTCACTTAGACATTTATCCACAGTCATAACAATTGTTATAAAAAAATTAATCTTTACTTCCTACATCATTCTTGACTTCGGACATTCGTAAATCTGTTGCTGGTTCCAGGAATGTCATCATTATGTCATAGAATAATTGACTTATATATTGAACAATCTAAGAAAACCTTACAGAAATGCACCCCTGGTAATGTCAAATCATAAGTGGTTTAGGTGTTGGTCAGGTTGAATGAAGCCAAGTCCTTGGATTGGTCTTACAGGGTTCAGAAAGCACATTCAACCAGTACGAAAATTGACAGCCATTAAATAAAGAAAAAGGCAATAACCGCAGTGAACAGAACTAAAGGTCACCAAACCCACCTTTACAGCAAAAAGACTATAACAAGCTCAATTTAGGCCAATATCTCATAAATTGCATATTCTTCTCCTATTTTATACTGCATTTAATATAAATAGTACATCTTTACATTAGCTTCGTTTGAGATCTCTTGATAAAATGATAATCAACAACTTGTAAATTGTGATTGTATATGGAAGATGAGTTCATATAAGGTGAACCTTTGATAAAATATTATATCTTGATTCACAAGGCTTCAGTTATAACACCTTGGGAGTCGAAGATGAAAATATCATGTTTGTCAACCATTTCTGTTTTAGTTTCTTCATGGGCTCTCTTATGAAAGCCCATGTTACAACATTTTTTACCAATTTTACTATTCTAAGGAATAATACTGAAACTTTCCAGGTCAGAGAAAACCATTTTAGTTTTCCCTAACTTTTCCCTGAATGTGGCAACCCCCAATTGACCCAACTTTTCTTCTATAGCACTTCCAATTCCAAACATTGTCTCGACTCTATCTATTGGTGAGTGTGTAAGTGAAAGAGAATGGAGTGTGGCACAATATGATTGTTCACTTGAGGTTGAAAGATGTACAAGTCAATGCTTGTAATGAGGTGTCATTTATCCGAATTGTCACACATGTCACACATTATCTCAGTTGTGAGATATTTAGTTAAATCCTCAATCTTCAGTGCCAAAGCCAAATACAGCATCCATATCAAACCACTGAGCGTCTTTGTCCTTTGTCTTGGTCACCTTCTTCTTCTCAATTGGTGATGATTTGAAGAACTTGCCTTGAGATCGGTTGGGTGTTTTCTTGATGTTGCACTTTGGCTTGCTTCTACTGAGCAGAGGCTTCTGAAATACGAGTTATTTTCAGTATAGAATCTGAATACCAATCTGACAAAACAGAATCCCTGTCCTTGGTCTAGCAAGGCATGAGACCCAACCAACAAGTTTACGCAATTACTCCTTGACTATTTCATATGTTTTTACAGACACAGTTTTGAAAGGGATACAATCTTAAAGATCTCAAATGTAGCTTTCCTAGCCTTGCAAGTATGATTATGAAATGTGATTCACTAATAAACAGAATATGTAATAATTATTTTCTGACTGGAAATTGTCTAAACTGATAAAAAATTAGGATTGTTTTTTTTATATAGGGATGGGCAGTTAATGTGTGAAACAATCTATACCTTTGGGGCATCATCACAGAGATCTTCAGTTGCATCTGGAAACAGGGACTTGAAGTTAGCCTTCTCATCCAGAGGTGTCTCATCCTACAATCAGTGTTATGATGTGTTATTATACGCATATAATTCCATCCTTATTGCGATAGTCAAGAGTCAAAAATAAATGTGTCATTTTTTAAGAAACTACATGTACATGTTATCATGTAAGAGGGTACAGCTTTGTTGTTGAAAAGCCATCTTACATTGGTGGGTTGAGCTTCAACATTTGATTTGACAATAACATCATAAAACAAGTAGAAGGTCATGCATAGCATCACATATCATGCTAAACATCACCCATATGTAATTTACTTATTGAACTATTATGAATGATAAATATCTCAAACATTTCTGGCATCTATTTTTGAACAAGCTGCTCTTAATCTCTATCAGCTTTCATACTAAATTAATAGACCTAGTTGAAATACATAATTACTATATGTACCTTCTGTGTATGGATGGATGGTCCTCTGGGTACAGGTCTGAGGGGGGTCCTTGTAGGGGTTCTGGCAGGCTGGGGGTCACGGGGTAGAGGAGTTACTACAGCAGAGGGTGACTGGCGGAACTTAGGGGAGGGTCGAACCATTAGAGGGGTATGGTTGCCAGGTTTCTTGTTTTTAAGCCTGTTTTCCATTTCATCAAGCTGAAAAAATGAAAACATCCTTCCATTTATTGTATTAAGTTCCTCAACTTTTAAATAACTCTCAACAAAACTTTTGGGATGTCTGCTATCACGTCCTGCTCACCCAAGAAAACTGATAACAACATAGGTATGGCAAATAGAAAACAAGGCGTTTATACGCAGAATGTCACCATCTGCCATTTGTTACAAATGCCACCTGCCAAATGCCACTTGCCGATACACCATCCACAAAAAAGTTGGAGATTATAACAATTTATTCCATAATACTACTGCTTTCCCTGGGAAATAAAATCATATTATCCCTCTTAAAATCATATATACTCGAAAAATCATATTGTCCCTGGAAAAAAAATCATATATACTCGAAAAATCATATTGTCCCTGGAAAAAAAATCATATATACTTGAAAAATCATATTGTCCCCATTTTTTGCAAAAACGTAAATTTTTTCATTTTTTTTCATTTCATTTTTTTCCCAAAAGTTTGTTTTTTTCCAATTTTAGAAATATTAATTTTTTCTTCAGAAATTTTCATTTTTTCAAAAAAAGTCAATCTTTCTTAGATTTTCATTTTTGAATCATTTTTTTCAAAATTTTTCATTTTTTCAAAAATGTTCTTTTTTTCAAAATTTTCATTTCTTCCAAAATTTTCATTTTTTCAATTTTTTTTAAATATTTCTTTTTCCTTGTATTCTCAAAAATTTAATTATGGAATAAAAAGGTTATTTCATGGTTGATTTTCAATATGAATTTTATTCCACGGGAAATATGACATTGACCTTGGTAAATATTATATTGACACTCACTCGCTACGCTCGTCTGGTCAATATCATATTTCCCTCGATCAATATCATATTACCCTGGAATAAAATTCATATTGAAAATCAAGCATGAATAACCTATATATCTCACCACATATGGTATTGTATTTTGTTTACCACCAATAACGGTGAGCATATACGGTTGTAATTAACGTAATTAGCCTGGAAGATAGACCCAGAAACCCCTCCTCAAAGGAGCCCTATGTTCTTTTATGTGCACCCATACTTAGACATACAAGTACACACCACAGCCTTTTGTACGACCTGTGGACCACTCAGTCAAACACCCTGAAGTACTAACTTTATGCAAACAAACAAATAAAGTATTGCCTGAACCGGGGATCGAATCTGGGACCTATTGCGTAAGAGGTACCTGTGCTACTGCTGAGCTATATGGGTGGACGGGTGATATAATAAAAGCAACTTGCACCTTGCACTATAGATTGACTATGACAAAAATTATTGTTCGAAAATATCAACATTTTTTCAACCTTTGATATTAACACAAAGGGAGGTTTATCAGCAAAAAGTCTATTTAGTGGATGGAAGAAGTTATTGGTTGTTATGATTTTAAATTCTGGGGTAAATTTATAGGATATCCTATGATTTTGAGGAATATCATTTTTATCTACGAGGTGATATTGATATCTGCACGAGAGAGCAAAGCGAACGAGTGCATATATCAATATCACCGACTAGATTAAAATGATATTCTGAAAAAATCATAGGATGTTCTTATCATCCTACACTTACAAGGAGTGTACTAAATGTATAATATCGTTGCAAAATGAATTTCATGCCAAATAGAGTCAATTTGGCGGGAAATCAACAAGCGGAGTATATCGTCACAATATCCTCCACATATTGGGTTTTCCGGAGTATATCGTCACGCTATCCTCCGCCCAGAGTATATCGTTACAATATCCTCCGGTTATTCATTTTGCCAATAAATATCAAATTTATTTTTTAATGTTATTATACATTTAGTACACTAAGTGTAGGATAACAGGGTATATCATACACACCTCTATTTCTACTAACTCTGAAGAAGATGATTCTGCATCAGAAATAGTGTTGATGTCATCATCTTGGGCAAACATGACCCGCCTCTTTTTGGATACAGAATTTCCCTGACGGAGAATACTTCTCTGAGGAGTAGCAGGTTCTATATCTATCCTTGGGGTTGTTGTGTTCTAGAAATGTAGTTAATAATAGCAAACGGAATATGGTATCAGAAATGTTACATTTTCTACAGGGTGACCCAAAAATCCAACTTTGTAACTTGGGAATAATTTCTAGATTGCAGTGAAATATTCTCAAAATTTTTGTTTTTTTGTAGATAGAGTGTTCCATGGAGCAAACACTGATATACTCAGCTGTACCAAAAGAACTGAGACAAAGTTATTCCAAAAATAGAAGGTTGATTTTTTAGGTTCACCTTGAATAATGTTTTCTGCATGTACCTATTCCCAGAACTTATTAGTGCTATTGGGCTTAAAAAAGAACAAAATACATTAAGCTATTTTATAAGAACTTAGGTTAAAAAAGTGTGGAGTTAAATTAATATTATTGCAGCACTTTCTTGCACTTGTATTTCCATGTATGTACATGCTGTCTGCTTACGTCATTGCTTTAGTGGCTAAAAAGTGTGTCTAAATATATACTACTTTAGTTCTCTGCTATGCGTCTTAGGATCAACACCTCAGACGCATAGTATAGATTTCATAAATATATATCATCAAATCAATTGGATAACAATGACTTATTCTGTTTAATTTGGGACTCATAATCCACAACCATGACAATTAATACAAAAACACTAAACTAAAAATGGCAACAATTATTGAGAATAAATCTGAAAGGCAGTTGTTTTACATGCAAACATTTAAGACAATTGAACTTTTGCTTCATAGATCTGTACTGACCTTGATAACTTTGGGAGGAGATATTTTTTTGATTGGCCTGATTGGAGTTCTAGGTGTGGAAGGTGGCTGAAGTCTCTGCTTTCTCTCAATTTCCTTTTGTTCTGCCTCCCTCTCCTTCAGTCTCTCAAGTTCCTTCAGTTTTTCTTGCCATTCAATCTCCTTGAGTCTTTCCACCTCCTTCACTTGTTCTGCTCGCACACTGTCTTTCTCCTTGAGACAGGATATTGATTCCAAGAGTTGCTTGATATCTTTATCCTGTAACATTTAGCATATTGTATTGATATTTATTCATTGAGGATCACATAGTATATTTATATTACACTTATACTATCATGTTACTTATTCAAGACAGACAAATATGTGATCTTGGGCCTTAATAAAATTTCTAGACACCAAAATTGCAAAAAATGAATAACATCATAGCCATGTACATGACTCTTGCCTCTAATGATTACATAATTGAAACCTATCAAAATTAAATCATCATATGATGTAACATTTAGTCAGATTCTAAATATGCATCATTTAACATTTTAACTGACATGACCCTGATTAGCCTGAACATGCCTAAAACATAGTTAAACTTAGAGGGACACTAGAATTGCAATAATATGAAACACCTTTATGCAGACAAGGACCTTTGATCCTTCTTTTTTACTTCATATAATTTGTATGTTAAAAAAAACGTTGCTAGATGTATGTTTGTAACTTTGTACATACCTTGGATTTAATATCCTCCTTAAATGTCTCTACAGCTTTCACTTTGGATTCAATGTCAGCTTTCAATGTGTTGTTTTCCTTTTCAACACCTTCCAGTTTCTCTTCAAAACTCTTGATCTCATCTGACAGATTAGAAATCTTTTCATTCTATAAGCAAGCATATGCAGAAAATATTTTCATACATTCAAGATACTCTTGTACAACTTTTTCAAACTTGAGTAAGACTGATTTTCTAGATGTGGATATGCAGTATGCACTGCCAACATATCAATTTCAAGTAAAATGGAACTTTACTCTAGCCAAATATACAGTCTTTAATTTAGAAACATGGTCAAAAATCAACATGTGCATGTAAAAATCATTCTTCCCTGTACTGTGAATTCATCAAATTAGAAAGTTCTTATTGACATTTTCAATAATGGTCACTATATTTGAACCTATTAAAATTCACCTACTGCTGAAAATACTTTTAGAACTTTAAGCCATGTTGTCAAATATAAAAAAATATAACAAAACGAAGCTCACATTTTGTTTACTGGTATCATCTTTATTTTCAAGCTCTTTCATTAGCCCTGCAATTTCTTTTTCTTTTTGCAAAACAATTTTCTCATTCTCCATCTTATACTTCTGCAGCACAGTTGTGATTTCTTTAGTCTGAGATTCAAGGGCAGCTTTGTTTTTGGTTTTCTCTGCCTTGGATTCTTCCAAAATCTTCTTGGACTTCTTTACCTGAATTTTTAGACAATTCATAATTCTAATTATTTACAATAATAGAGCCAAATTATAAATGGTATTAATACGCCAAATGTCACAACCTGCCATTAGTTACAGATGCTGACAGCCAGATGCAAACTGCCAGACACTGTCACAAAAAAGTTTGAGACCATTAACAATGTCACCACTTGTGGGGGTGACATAAAAATATTAAGCAAATAAGATGCGTGGAAGATTCTCATCTCTGTAAACATAGCTGGACATCTACTTCAAATGTTACATTGTTTCACTTAAGAGATGTTCTATCCAATCCTTTGGACAGTGATAATAAGACAATGGACAAAGTTTGACAAAACACATGTCATATGCATGTCTTTAAGTTCTGTAAATCTTTCAAGATCATGTAATTTTGAACATTAATTTCAAGTCATAGTTCATAAAATTATAGATGCCAGGGTTAGTATGATCTGATTTTCCTCTTGTGATTTTTTACCACTTAATAAATGAGAATAACATTACCTCATCTTTCATGAGTTCAGTGGTTTCCTTAAGTTGTTGCTGGAGTTTCTCCTTGTCCTCTTTCAACACAGTGGACTCATTCTTTGCCTCCTCCAGCATCTGGTTGAGGGACTTGCTCCTATCTTCAAATGTTGAACTCTGTCTAGTTTGGCTAGTCAGTCGCCCCTTTACAGTTTTCAGCTATAATCATTAATAAAAACTCACGTCAATTAAGCATTTTCTGTACATTTACCCCATAAATATGTACCAAAATATAGCAAAATACAGTGACTCCAAAATAGAAATGTAATGGTGCATATCAAATGTGATATCAAGTGCATGCTCCTTGTACATGTAACTATAACTATCTTTATCTATCTTTATTTTCTGGTGAACACCCTGTATTCAAGTACTATAGCACTTATCTACTCACATTCTTCTTGAGATCATCAAGTTGGCACTGGATATCATCCTTCGATTTTACAGATGTTGACAATTCAGACCTAGGGGAGATAAAGTCAAAATATTGGAAAATATGGGACACAAAAGCATTTGACATTATTGCTGCACTGAGAAAATGAATAATGGATTAACTAAAAATTGTACTGATTATTACGCATCTCAGAAACTGTTTGTCATTGCTTCTAATATATTGTGTAAAATATAATCTTTTTAACATTTCACTAAAGCCATTGTGTCTATATTAAGTATACAAGCAAATAGTGAGATCAAAACCCCAACAGCAACAAACCTGACTGACTCCAGCTCAGCCTCAAGTTTATCAACTTTATCAAGTGATGAGTGCTCTCTAACTAGTGCTTCCTTCAGTTCACTCTTCACCTCCAAAATCTCTGCCTAAAATATACAATAATAGTATTTACTCTCATAACAAGATGCACAAAGAATAAATTGTACATGAACATACCAGCTTATACCCCTGAAAAGTCAATCGGTGTGTCTGAGAAGGAGTATTTACATGTTTGCATTTTCATCATTAGATTGTACAAGTTTGGCACACGTATGAACAATCTTTTACACCATATCATAAGTGGTGTCTCCTGTGAAATAAACCATAAAGTTTAAATCAACAAGGGTGTAAGAACTGTTTAAGAAAACTCAAATCTCATACTCAAACGAGCTACATTTAGAAGTAATGCAATCCAGGAACAGTGTGTGAACAATGTGCATATTCATTATTTTGGGCCAATCTGTAAATATGATCCAAGAAAAAAAGATTTCCTACATTAGCTTTCTTAATCTTGCTTTGAGCCTGCTTCAGTTCACCAGATGTACTTTTCTTTTCACTGCTAATCTTAGCAAGATCCTGCTTGACATCCTTCAGTTTGTTGATTTCTGTATTAGCTTGTTCAAGTGTAGTTGTCAGGTCTCGTTTCTCATTGCTCAGTGTCTCAATATGTTTCTCTAGACTAACCAGTTTATTCTGTAATACAATATCAAAGTGATAGACTGTTAAGCAAATCCCTCATCAAGCTAATTCAAACTTCAAATTAAATGAGGTTTATGTGAAATATAGAAACTGCACTTACTATATACTGAAACATTCATAATCATGCAAAATATAGTGACAGTATTCCATCTTGAGTTTCTACATGAAAGAAGTTTTTTGAATATTTTGTAACCCTGGATTTAGAGGATTGGATTGTATATTTGGTATTTGTGCTTTTTGCATGTTTGATAATACATTAAATCATTAAAAATGTTAAGAAAGCATTATCATGCAAAATGTTACCACCATTTGTTACAGATGCCAACTGCTATTGTTATAAATGTCGACTGCCAAACACTGTCCACAAAATATTGGAGACTATAACAATTACTTCATGTGGTGACATAAAAAGTTGTACCTCAAGGTCTTTGGAGTGGGTTTGGAGTTTTTGTAATTCCTTCTCACAATCAACTTTCTCATGAGTCACCTGTGAGACCCTATCTTCAGATTTAGTGTAACTTTCCTCTAGGATAGCCTAGAAAAAGAATAATATATTTTAAAAGTGCACCCTTTTTAATTCTAATTTGGATATATTTCTACATTCGAAGTCTTTAAAAGATTCCATGTTATCTCAATCGCTTCTTCAGAAAACAATACTGTACTAGAATGATCAGGGAAACATTGACATGTTTTAGAAGATTGCTTTCAACATTTTACATTCTCAAAACTTTGTTGCCACTTTAATAATTCCCTAACTGAACCTCTACACCTCCTTTATCACATTTAAGTCAAATGTGGCAGACAGATATACACATGTAACAAATATCCATTCTTTAATCAAATATATTACCTTGGCTTTCTGTAGTTCCACCATTTTGTCAGATATCTCAGTTTTCTCTAGTATCAGCATATCTGCAATGAATCAAATGCTGCATTATGTAACACTACATCCATTCTCAAACATAGGATGCAAGAATCAGTTCACAAAAAAACATTTATTCACTTCTTTTGTATAAAAATCGTGATTAAAAATGTTTCAACTAGATTTAGCACGACTTCTGTATTGCTGTATTTAGTATATCAAGAGGAAAACATACCTTTGGCACTTTTCAGTTCTTCTATTGAGGAGTTACTTTTACTCAATGAGGTTTTTAAGTCAGAGCACCTTAAAACAAAAGCAAACATTTAGGCATTAACATGCAAAATGTCACCACTTTCCATTTGTTACACCACGTCAACTGCCAAACACCAACCATCATCCACAAAAAAGTTGTAGACTATAACAAATACCACTTCTTGTGGTGACATAAAAAATCATTTAAACCTTTCAGAACAAAGCAAATTACAGTACTAGGTAGCAATGAGTGTTTATGTTGTGTTGAAAACATTTTCAGTGTATTAACAATACTTGCAATCATATTCGTATGATAAAATAAGTGTACTTAAATTCATGTTCAATAAAACCTGTCTAAATGGAACACTTATAAAGATGTTACACTTATAAAGATTCATTTAACATTAATTCAGTCGGTCTTGGGACTCTGGAAAGGGTTCCACCTTCCAAGTTTTACTGTATTTAAGTAAGTTCAGACTGTGGCAATGATCATGACTAGGTTGCTAACAAAAATCTCATCTTATAAGATTATAAAAGTAAACTTTAAATCATTCTGTGTTATCTAACCTTTTCTGTTCATCTTCAATCTGTTGCTGAGATGTATTTAATTCAGCTTTCAGTTCATTCACCCTTTCTATGTAGAGCTTCTCTGTGTTATTAGCAGTAGCAATGAAAGTGTCCCTGCTGGATATGGTCTCATCTAACTCACTCTGTAATCCTAATATTTTCTCACCAAGATTTTTACCCAGTGTCTGAAGATTAAAAAGCAATTGCCAAGATCTTGATGTAATGATGTAGGAAAAGTTTAACAGTTTGACATATTATTAAATGTTTCAATTATGATTCTTGTATTCTGTATTTTGTCTTGAAATCATATAATTCATATGCTTGCATATTACATCCAAATAATCAAAATCCAAAAAGTACCTTTTCTTTTTCAAGGGTTGTAGTCATGGACTCTAGTTGTGTAGTTAGTTGAGCCCCAGCAGTTTCAGTCTCTTTCAATCTGCGAGACAACAGAGCTAAAATACAACAAAATATTTTAAAGCATTTCAACCTAAAGATTCGCTGTAATAAGAAGAATGTTTATTTGGTTAAATGCAACCTCAAAGTATCAGACTATTCTTAGACTAAATTTTTAATACATGCACCATTTTATGTGGTTACATCACAATTCGCCAGTTTATACTATGGAACTAAAGCCCAATGATATATATTTCTTGAAAGCAGGTTTTTATGACCAATAGCTATTGAATGAACAGTAGAGTAAATGTGTTTTTGTAATGTGTTTTTGGAGTGCTTCACTCAATCTGGGTAGAATGACCATTTCTGATCAATTTTTGATGAGATGTAATTGAAATACTGAAAAATGTGTTGATATTTCTTGGTGTTCACTTTTGAGAGGTGCTCTCATATTGGTTACATTGTTTTATACCTTTGTCTTGCTGCAAATCAGACATATGCTTTTGAAGTTCCATGTACTTTTGATTGGTCTGATTTAACTTCTCTGAATTTTCCTCAATCTCTAATTGCTTTTGGACTATCTATGGGAAATAAAATAATTTTATCATCAATAAGTAGAACAAGACATTTAACATGGAAAATGTCACTATCTACCCCTTGTTACAGACGCTGAACTCTGACCAAAAATAGTCAGAGACTATAACAATATGTCATCACTTAATTGTCTTATGGTGGTGACATAAAAACAGCAACCCTCCAATGCAACAAATCCCACTGAACAAAACATAATTCATCTTGTCACTTACCGTATTCTCTGTAATTAGCGCCCAGGGCGTTTAGAAAATTGAAAATACATTATTTAGACCATTCTAATAAGCGCCCATGTATGAAAGAAATCAGAAATCCCGAGGAATTTCATGTATGGCAATTTTTCTTGACAAGAATGCATTTTCTTCAACATATTTTTATAATAATATGACAAGTGCTGTTATTGGAGAGAATACGGTAAAGATCGCTTAGACAATATTGACAGTGGTTGAAGACCCGTCTATGTCTAATTTATTTCCGGCACGCCCACTTTGTCATTATCGCCGATTACCTTCAATATTTCCACTAGAGACTGCTGGATATCGATCTAAAGTTATACATTATTTCTAATTTGATGAGAGATCATCATTATTCGTGCAAAAGTCGTGTAAAAGTCGAGAAACATTAAAAAGAAACCAGAAAGTTCACGACCTTGACATGCGCAGAACATCTGCGCAGTAGCTTTTGAAATTTCTGAATGCCGATAAAGAACAATTCCTTCATTCATTATGGATTATTATGATTCCTCGATGTTTCTTGAACTTTGTGAAGCGGGGTGGGCGCTTATTAGAGAGTGGGCGGTGATTACAGAGAATACGGTATTAGAAATTCTAATTGCCATTCACGAATCCCATGTTCACAAGTAAAGCATCTAAGCCTTAAAAGACCAAATAAGACAACTTGCATTTACACCCTTAAAATTATTATGTTCCTTCTGAAAATATTAGTCATTTTGACTTCACCAGCCATTTTGAATTTTTTTTCTTGAGCAGCTGTCCTATGTTCCTTGTAGGCATCATATATAAAATTACTGCCAACTTAGGTTACCAAAAGATCATACTTACAGTATTTCAAAAAGTAGTGACCATATTGAAAATGTATCTTATTGTGCAGCAATTAGATAATGTATTGTGGGACCCCTAATATGTTCAAGATGCATGATAAATTATGTTCAGATGTATTATGAATCATAATTTAACTATCATAGGAACCCTGAAATGTTTCCTTATAATATTTGTACCTTAGTATCAGCATCTGCAAGTCTGGAAGTCAGGTTGTCCACAGTAAGCTTGTATTCTTTCTCTGACTGCTCCACTGCAGAAGCACATTGTAAAAATTACTTTTTTCATTTTGCAGAGTTCAAATATCATATAAAAACATTCTGGTTTTGACTTTTTGAGCATGATTCTAAAATACGATGATTTGACCTTTTTGACTTCAATGTCTCAAAATTTCTGAAACTATAAAATGGCTGTTGACCTTTTTAAATAAGCCTAGCCTGAATTTTCAAACTCTCTAGCTTTCATGCATTTGATCTTCATATCGACCTACTTCTAGATTTCAGCTCCATATGCCCTTGTGTAGCTGTTATAGTTAACTGCTGGAAACTCTCAGATAACATCTGTAAACAATATCAAAATTAACATTATATCGTAAATTTTAACATGAATGTAACATAGTGATCAACAGAACTGAAATGGATGGATAAAAAAATTCTCTGGAATTATAGTAGTTGACCACCAATTTTTGGTTGATGCAACATTCAATCAGATTTATTGAAATAGATTGCTTAAATTTATAAAATGTGTTACCTCAAATTGTTGTTGGTGTTGTTGTTGACATTGCAGTAAGTTCAGTCTTTCCTCCTCACCTACAAAGGGTAACATCATAAAACAAAAGTTTAAACCTATTAGAGCCAGGGGGTAGGGGTGTCTAGTCAAAATTAATATGAGAGGCAATGGAAAATCAAATAAAATGTAATCCAACAAGAAAAGACTGTTAAATTTAATCCCAACTGATGTCATAGTCTTTTAGAACTAAAATGATGAGTTTTTTTTGTCAGTAGCAAAGAGGTTAAGCTCTTTTGATTGATGGAATTAAAGATGGAATGAAGTAAAGCAGCAAATCATTACAAGAGCAAAGTCATCCATTGATAGAGATTTCTCGTCATGAAGTTTGCTTACACAAAGTGAACAATTCGGGCTGGAATGTAAAATCAACAAAAATATACAATGTAATACCACTCACACTTTTTGAATTTTACATCAATCTGTGCTGTGTTGTCCTTCAGAGCCGTACAGATGATTCTTGTAGACTCAATCCTGCAAGATTTCTTATTGCATTAGACCATTATTTTATAACAAAATATTGTAATTAAATGCTTTATATATCCAGAAGGATATCAAGCTAAATAGTATATTGTATAAAATGTATGTAATGTTACTGCTGAATAAAAAAGTAAAAAATAACAAAAAAAATATCAATTCAGTTTTTCAGTTTATATTTGCATTAACATTAATGAAAGCAATGAGACAAAGTGAGAGCCCAATTTATGCTTTTAACTCCAGAATTTTGAAGTTGGTAACACCTTTGCACCTTTGTAAAATTTACAAGATACAATACAATACAATAAAAAGATATATAGCCATTAGTTGTTCCCAGAAATGTGCTCTTCATTACAGATCATTGAGGGCTATTGACTTACTTATTATTGATGACCTCTCTGTTATCCATCTCATCCTGCAGCTTCAGACTGAGGTTTTCATTCTCAAGCTGAAACAACAAGCAATCATTAATTTATCATAACACTATCCTAATTCAAGAAAAAAACAAAGATGGTAGAATATCTACATGTAGAACAAGTAATCAGAAAATACTTGTTGTAGATCAAATAAAACAATTAACTACGACAAAACTGATTCAAAGATCACAAACAACCTTTCAACATTAGGAATACAACAAACAATATTTGAAAATATAGTCATTAGATCAGAGGAAACCTTTAATTAGATGTTAAAGTGTACTATATATAATAATAATCTTTGATCGAGCCAATCATTCCAGGTGTTTGACGAGTACAAAAGCAAAGAAACATGAACATAGAAAGTAGAGAAAACAGGGAAAAAACATCTAACCTATACATGAGATGAGACGAATGAATAATCCAACTGCTCAGAACTCAAATAAAAAATACAGCAATCACTTTTCTTCGGTCAAAAGTTTGAGGTTTCGTCAACTAACCTGCATCTCAAGAATGGATTTTCTTAAAGCATCTACTGTGTGGTTCATCTCTAGAACTTTGGCATCCTATAAAATAGATTTGTACAAATCATGTGACAAGTGAACATTTGAACAACATGGAAAGCAGCTGTATGATACTACAGTATCAGGCCAAGCTTTTGTCAAGGGGCGTTTCACTTTTAAAAAATCTAGGGAGGTTCACATTTGGCAACTTTGGTTCACAATTCTTAGCTACAGACCTGAGTAGATTCTGTATATGAACCTTCCTGAAAGTCTCATATTGGGCTAATGATTGACAGATATTGTTCCTATGTGCATAAGAGGTTTCAGCTGGGATATTGGGGGTTTATTTTTCCTTTTGGTTGTTTGTGATTTTAGGTGTTTATCTTTCTTGCTCTAGTTTTTATTTCCCAATTTATCATTAATTCCCTCTATATTTCCTTGTTCCCCATTCATTTCTTGCCTAAATATCATAACTTGCCTCTTTATTTTATAACTTTGATGCAAAACTTGTCTCTAATTACCTCTTACCTCTCCCCATTCAATTTTTGTCTTAATTCATTACTTTTCTTTAATCCAATTCTTTTTGTCTATTATTCCACTACTACGAAAGAAAGTCGAGGAACCCGGATGAATGGTTGAAAACTGCTTCATTTCTTACCTTTTCTTTCAGTTCAATTTCAGTCTGGACTTTCCATTTTCTGATTTTCTCAGCTTCATGAGTCAGTTTGGAGTGCAATGAGGAGATCTGCCCAGTACCAACCTTCTGTTGTTGTTGTTGTTGTTGTTGTTTTTGTTGTTGTCTCACTTGATGATGTTGCTGCTGGGGCAAGTTCTCTAACATAAAAACCACAAAACGAAATATTTAAAAATAATGGAAACAAATGACTTTACTGTACATCTAAACTAGTGGATAATGGGGACATTAAATTCATCAAGCGAGCTACATGTGGTTACCATTTGTCACGTTTCATCTCTTCCCATGCAGATGTGAAGGCCTTTATACAAATGGTTCAACAGTTATTGTACAAGAGAAAAAACACTAACTTATTAAACTGACCTGTTGACCTGAACAGACAAATGTAATTTTCATTTCAAAATATCCAAGACTAGATTGCCCATCCTCTGAATGCAAGGGTCTAGACATCAACCACTCTGGATTTGGAAATGTCAAAAATGAAAAAAAATACAAAAAATAATCAAAAGACCAATGTTTGAAAATTATATTCTTTTTTTGTATATCACCACATTTGGTGAGCAATACCTGTTTGATATGATTAGTAGGTACCCAAAGAAAGAGAAATACAAATAATGCAGAACTAGACCAGAAATCAAACCTGTACCAACAAGCTACCACTTGATTATCACATGAGCTATCTGGATAGACCATATTATATTAAGTCATGCCTTATACTACATGTAGTTACACTCTATCACCTTTGTCCCTGAGAATCTGTGTGTTGAGTGGTGCAAAGAAGTGGGACCCTGTGTCAGCAGACGCTTTTGTTGTGTTAACCCTGTTAACCTGTAAATATACAAAATGGCAAATTTGAAAAAACAAAAAAATGTATGCACCTATTAAACTAATAGGTGAGACCAGATTTTTTATCACATAAACCAGTGTAAGGTCGTAAATACAGAAATTAGACAACATAAGACATGACGAGCTTGTAATAAAATGAAACAAGAACACAAATGTGTACAAAATGTCCCCACCAGTGGGTGATCCCATCAAATGGTTATCCTGAAAATGAGTAGACTAAGACTTTACCAACACAATTTGAGGACGGAAAATCCAAAATGGCCATCTTAAAATTTACCCAGAATGCCAAAAATTTAGTCAGTTCTAGATTTTCAAACTAAGAACCACCCCTGAAAATTTTTAATTGATCCATCACACAGTTAACTAGAAAACATGTAAACAAGACTTTACAGACAAGATTTTAGGATGGAAAATCCAAAATGGCTGCCTTGACATTTACCCAGAATGTCAAAAAACTAATCTGTTCCTAGATTTTCATACTAAGAATCATCCCTGAAAATATGACATTGATCTACCAAATGGTTCACCTGAAAACGCGTAGACAAGATTTTAGGACAGAAAATCCAAAATGGCTGCCATGACATTTACACAGAATGCCAAAAAACTAATCAGATGTAGATTTTCACACTAAGAATCATCCCTGAAAATTTGAAATTGATCTACCAAACGGTTCACCTAAAAACGCGTAGACAAGACTTTACAGGCAAGATTTTAAGACGGAAAATCCAAAATGGCTGCCTTGACATTTATCCAGAATGCCAAAAAACTAATCAGATCTAGATTTTCATACTAAGAATCATCCCTAAAAATTTGAAATTGATCTACAGAACGGTTCACCTGGAAATGCATAGACAAGACTTTACAGACAAGATTGTAGGACAGAAAATCGAAAATGGCTGCCTTGACATTTGCCCAGAATGCCAAAAAACTAATCAGTTCTACATTTTCATACTAAGAATCATCTCTGAAAATTTGAAATTGATCTACCAATCGGTTCACCTGAAAACGCATAGACAAGACTTTACAGACAAGATTTTAGGACGGAAAATCCAAAATGGCTGCCTTGACATTTACCCAGAATGCCAAAAAACAAATCAGATCTAGATTTTTATACTAAGAATCATCCCTGAAAATTTGAAATTGATCCACCAAACGGTTCACCTGAAAACACGTAGACAAGACTTCACAGACAAGATTTTAGGACGGAAAAATCCAAAATGGCCGACAATAAAAAAGTGATTATGTGTTTTTGCTGATTTCTTCTTACAAAATTATCACATATAACTACTGTTAACAATAACATAGGCTTTTACAACAAAGTACATCTGAAATTATTTATAAAGCTACTAAATAGTTAAAGTATGAAAACTCAAAAACACCATTCAATATGATACAAAGTATTATCGTGCGCTAACTTTTCTTAAGACATTCAAAATGGCTGACATGACTGAGCTAACAGGTCCAAAACCTAATCAGATCTAGAATGAAGTGAGCTGAACAAGATGTTAAAGTTTTAAAAGCAACTGTGAAGCCGTTTTTCTTAAAGTTTGCAGACAAGGATTTTAGCATTTGACTTCAAAATGGCCGACAGGAAGTAGGTATCGAGTGAAAATTTTTTCATCCACATCTGTATGCACTCATAAGTTATCCCTGAAAATTTGAAGGTGATATCTGTAGCGGTTTTAGAGAAAACTCCCGGACGTACGGACAGACGGACGGACAGACGGACGGACGGACGTACGGACGGACAGACAGACGGACGCGCCTAGGCCGACAATATGGCCCCACACTATGTGGTGGGGACATAAAAAGGCATCAACATGCAAAATGTCACCATCATTTGTTACAGACGCCATGGGCTTTCATTTAGACTTGAAGGCCCATAAAGACGCCAACCACCGATCACTAACCCCTGTCACAAAAATGGAGATCATGCCAAGGTCTCATCTCCGAATGCCAAGGTCCTGGGTTCAATCCAAGCATCTGGCACAGTATTTAGCTAATTAACTAATTAACATCAGAAAAGTGGTCACTAGAGTGCTGCTAACTCAATAAAAGGCCAGTGCTGACTTGAACTGTCTATGGTTCTAGTAGCCAGGATAAAGATACCAGGTCCTGTCCGATTAATACGGGGGGGGGGGGGCGTCTGTTTCTACCTTCCAAAGTATCAGGTTACAAGTTGAGATGGGGAAATTTGACCCCTAAAAATGGAATCTTAGCAACCACAGGCAAATCGCATACCAGCTGTGGTAACGGTTGATGACATTGATGATAAAAATATGTCAACACTTTTTGGTGGTGACATAACTAGGCGCGTTTGAAGGTGCACAAATGCAACATACCTGCTGGTGTGTATCCATTGATGGGAAGCTGAACGTAGCATGATCCTTGTGGCTGTCTTGCAGCTCAGACATACCCGTTGATATAAAATAAGGCTGCTCTTTTGTTCTCTGCATCAGGCTATAGAGTCTAGTTGTTGCAAAAATCAGAAATAAGGAAAACCTGAAATCACAATACAATATAAATAAACTAGAAATCTTGATATTAAAACGTGCATCATTAAAATTAAGCGTTACTAGCCTTGGGGGATTTGGAGCAATATAATTCGGAACATTGGGATTCAGACAATAGGGATTTTGAGGATTCGAACAAGTGGAACACCTTTCCGGAAGAAAATGCGTGACATAGCCAGGCCCGTAGCCAGGCGGGGGGGGCTCGCAGCGTTTAGCCGAACCCCCCCTTGCCAAAAAAATAATTTCAAAATCATGCAGTTTTTCACCATTTTGAGCACTTCTCGAGTGATTTTACCCATATTTGAGCCAAAATTGTCAAATGTGAACCCCCATGGAAATTTTTGAAAACTGAACCCCCCCTTGGCAAATCCTGGCTACGGGCCTGATAGCCCCGCTATACGGTATCCGTGTGAAAAGTCCGAAAGAAATGCGTTGGTTTTTTTCAGCCTTCGTTTTTTGCAGTAGATTCCTTACAGTCACTACAGAATATTCTGTCATGCAAAAAAAAACTGGCATGACCTCATTTATAATCATGCGTGACAAATACGCATGGACAGTTAGGCTAGACAGTGCATTCAACGCCTATTCTAGAAATTAATGTTAAGGTATAAATGATGCTGAACCAACACCGCGTTTTACTTCAGGGTCACGAACTCTAAACTGAAAGTGAAACTAAAAACCTGAGAACTGAAACTGAAAGTCCTTACGCGTGTCGTCTGCAAAATTCCCGATACGCCCTCTATTTCTTATGTTTATCGGTCGTCCCTCCAGTGGTAGGTGGTGAACGGGATGGCTGCAATTTCTGAAAGAATATTATTACTAAACAAAACAACTAAGGTGATAAGCTGAAGAACAAAACGCTGAAGAACAAAATCTCCACAGAGCCAGCGGAACTGAAAAAGTGCGCGTCAGTTTTCAGCTTCAATAGAAACACGAGCGGTAATCAAATTTGGCGTTCGTTTTTGTCAAAATATACAGGGGAGGGCCTCAAAAGATAGATCTATATAAGTAGACTTCAAGCATTTTTATTTTTTTGCCATCTCTGTGATCAAATGATATTTCAATCAATTCGGACAATGGGACATAAAATACAATGGCACAATTCCGAACAGATTTATATTTGACTCGTTCATAGAATTAGTGTAGTAACCGAATGCAATATTACTAATTTTATTTAGAGCTTTTATCTTTCTTGGATATAATAAAACGACTAATGATACAAGACAAATGATATCACGAATAAAAAAATCAAAAAATCAATGATATGCAGGCTGGTTAGGTATGGGCTATAGATATATCATGTTTATCAGATATATCTGATAGAGATGGGGCTTGTCATGAATAATTCTGGAACTCAAAAAACATGGCAGATTTAGAAAGATTTGATGGAATGCTGCTTGGTATGGCCCAGCAGTGTGAGGGAGGTATCCAAGAGGTAATGTTTGTTTTATGAATATCATATGCATGCTACAAATAATGTATGGGCTCTCGAATTCCTCCATGAGTTGTTTGAATTCGGGTGGATAGATGGTTTCATTTTCTGAAAAATTATTTTTGATCAAATTTTGATTGATCATTGATGATTGGATATATAGATCCCGGGCAGATTCTTTTGTAGTAGGATCAGTAGCTCAATCCTCAAGATTAGACAGAAAAAAATTTCGAAATTTTAAATGTCTATGTCAATAATCTGCAAAAGGCTAATAAGCCCATATGAAGTACCCCCATAAATGTGGGGTCGAATTGGCATTTTTTCTTATTTTTGGCTCACACGGTGAGCCTATGGGATCGACCAGGCGTCCGTCCGTTGGTCCGTCCATCAACATTGGCCGCACAAATTAAAACTGCTATGTAGTCATATAAATCCGACCGTTGTATGCTGTTCTTCGATATTCCTTGTTCTTATTTGGATATTTATTTTTTATCATTTTCTTTGCATACACCGTCGTAGATATTATATGGAACAAATTGCGGTAAACGCTTTTCTGGCCTGTCTCGGTAACCATAGTTACCATACTAACCAAAGTCACACAAATTATCGAGTAATTATTTAGTTCCAACATTAAAGTGTTAAATCTTACCTTAGACATGTAAAACGCCTGATAATTGACGAAATATGATCAATTGAATTATATTTTCATTATCGCCCGCCATGTTGCTGAATGCTGTTTCCGGTAGTCTAAATGTAAAACATGTATCGAAACGGAATCATAATTATTTATTACACAGAGATCGATTCCAAAGCCGTTCTCTTATACTTATTACTTTTCTCATTTTGAAACAATAACTTTTCCAAATAACTTCCCTTCTTAACGACACTGCTTCCCTTTCAACTGAATCTTCGTGTAACAAGTACTTATGATTTCGTTTGATATAGTTTTACATCTAGACTCAGATTAACCCGGAAGTGACCTTGGCATGGCAAAATGAAAAAATTTTAAAATTCAAGCGGCATGCTTATATTTCTTCAATTACCAAGCGTTTTACGTGTCTAAGGTAAGATTAAATACTTTATAGTTGAAGCAAAGACATTTATTTATCATTTGTGTGAATTTGGTTGGGTAGACAGGCCAGGAAAGCATTTCCCGCAATTTAGATGCGCGGAGTGTGTATGACCCTTGTATGCAAGAAAATAAGAAAAAATAAATATCCAAATCAGAAAAAATAACAACAAATAACATCATACGAGGGTCAGATTTATATGACTACTGCTATGCGGATTGAGTCATAGCCACATTCATTTTATGCATATCCATAATGCCTATTTGACCTATCATCGCCATTTCCCAAGTTCGCCCGGTTTCCGAGAAATTGCGGATTTTGACGTCAAAAAGTCCAATTTTCTGTAAATACGTAGACACTTTGTTGAAGTAGAACTTTCAAATAACTTTTAGTAGTTGCTGTATATGCAACTTATGTCCTCTGAAGATTTCAAAGCTCTTGGAATTACAGTTTTTGGTGTTTACTCTATAAAATTTGACAAAAAGTAGGACTTAATCATTTTCAGGAAACTATCTCTAAGTCAATGGCAGGTTTTGTGATTGACAAGTTTCTCAAAGTTTGCCTTATACTTGATCATTTCTTGCAATGAATTACATCATTACTAGATTAAAGCATTCCCTACATATTGCTCAATATATGTCAGCATCAAATTTTAACCGTTTTTGAGATACTTGACGTCAAAAACAGTAAAAATAACTTATTTTTCAATTTTCTTCAATTTTGACCAATTTTTTTTTGAAAATCATCTACAAGTTGCCAGGAGTTCATATCTGACATTAGTTTTAGGATTTGACCTTTAGTTGACCTTCAGTGACCTTTGAAAGGTCAAAAAAGTTGATTTTTCGAATTGATTTTTGGATGTAAATTTTGGTCAGCTTAATCACAAAAGACCTTACTGAGCTCTGACTAAGTAAAATTTTCAAGGTCAAAGGTCATCAAACTAGGTCACACAACTGTGCTATCTAAGTTTCTCAAAGTTCGAGACTACAAATCCAAATCAATATTTTTGTTTGAAAGTCAGGATATACATTCCTCTGAAGGTTCCAAACTGTGTGAGCACAGGACCGTGGGTCCTTCATTATGTTTTAATATTTTAGTGCCAATACTCCGGAATGATAAAATATAAGAAAAAACGCCAATTCGACACCACATTTATGGGGGTAATATAAAGCAGATATATAATTTAAATGACGATTGTACAGCCATTTAGGGGCGGGGTCAAAATATCAATGTTCATATGGAGATGAAAGTAATTTCGTTTGGACAACAACCCCCCCACCCCCCCTCTAGACGAAAGCTTAGGTCACTTAAAAAAAACATTGATTAATAATCGTATCCTATTTGCCGGGTTATTATTACGGTGAATTAACACACGTTCGCAATTTAACTGCATTGAACTCTTCAAAAGGAGGAGGGAAAAGTACGGAATTTATTTGAAAAATGATCGAATTATCGTCTTTATCTACCGATATTTTGGACCTATCACACAAAAAAGCTCACGAACTATTGAAAACAAGCCTTTTTATCAGAACATAGCGCCAGAAAAAGTGGGTAAGTCCAATTATTTTTTGTATATCAGATCCGAATTATCGATGTTTTTTTGGTCAACGAAAGTGCCCAAAAACCCCCTCCCCCCTCGCGAAAGTACTTTCGTCTCCATATGAACATCGATATTTTGACCCCGCCCCTTATATGAGACAAATCATACTTCATTCGAAGGGTCTTGTTATTCTTTACGGAGTGGCTCCAGGACCGACAATTGTCGGTACTGGAGACTGTTTACTGACTGACAATTTTTTGTCGGTCCTCTAGCGTGTCAACACAGCTAGAGTCTAGAGTACCGACAATTGTTATATTATTATATAATTAAACCAACGTCATTAATATACTTATAATCATAATATATTTGCCTTACAGTTGTATGAGTACAAGTTACACCACATCGTATAATAAATTCACTTTAACTTGTATTTTAAACTTATTTAAACTCATTATACCTGGTAATATAATTGACACAGACTGAACATGCACTCAAACAAGTGATGATTTACGACTAAGGAAATGAGACAATGTTGTAATTATGACTATGGTCGGTGCTCTAGCCTTGACATATTTTAAACCCATCGAACGAAGTTCGGAGGGATATAGGGAACGCCTCCTTCCGTCTGTCCGTCTGTCCGTCCGTCCGGGCAATAATTCAAATACTGTTGGCCCGATTTTGTTCATATTTTGTACACATATACCCTATGGGGGTAGAAGTTATGCTCGAAAGCCGATTTTCAAAATGGCCACTCATTCCAAAATGGTGGCCATTTTAGTGCCGATTTTACAGTAATTTAGGTGCAATATGTAAAACTGTAATAGCAATATGTTTTAAATGTAAAAAAAATTATAAAGGACATTAATAAAGCTACAATGTAGATATTAAAAAAGCACATGGCAGCCATCTTGAAAAATGGCGGCCTTTATTCTTTATTTTGCGATTTTTTCTGTTACTCGAAAAGTAGTGGAGCGATTTTGTTCATATTTGGTATGTGAATACTATAAACATTGCACGCTTCAGGGGTTTCAATAAGCACAGGCGGATGGCGAAAACGCCTGTTCAAATCTCAATTACGCCTGTTCAAATATGTAGAAATAAAATTCACTGTTACTTACCTTACCCTAAATTATTTTAGTGAAATAAGTTTCAGCCTGTTGAAATTGCCAAAAAGCCTGTTGAAAAAATATTTATTGAAACCCCTGCGCTGTCTAAAGACACTTTTGGTAGAAGGCGGGCATTTTGAAAAATGGCCGCCATTTTAACGTATTTTACTATAACTCGAAAAGTAGTGGAGCGATTTTGTTCATATTTGATATGTGAATACTCTAAGCATGGCACATTGTCTAATAAAACTTTGGGGAGTAGTCGGCCATTTTGAAACATGGCCACCATTTTTATGTGTGTTATTTTACAAGTACATGTGTGTGATTTTTCAAAAATTTTAAAGGTGGCTACTTAAAAGCATATTATTTTTTCTTCTGATGACAACTTGGCTAGTGAGCAACCATTTTGAAAATGGTGGCCTTTCTGGTGTGTTGTTTTATGATATTTGCTATATATTTCATTTGTAAAAATGCCAGCCATTTCTGTTCGATGGGATTCGCTACGCTTTTGCATTGCCGTTGTTCTGGTTAAACTTTTTTATCACTAAAAGGAACGTTATTCAAGCAATACTACGTTGATAAGAGGGCAAAACAGTATATTTTATTGGCAGTCTCTTGTCTGTCTAAATCTGAATGGTGCTCCTAGGATTCCAGAAATGTGACGTTAGAATTACATACAATATTTGGACACACAAGAGCCCGGATCAAGTGAAAAATATTTGCCGCATTAAAAGTCAAATTACTGCGTCCATAGGACTTTTTTGAAGTTTTCCAATTTGGTGACTCATCTTCTGAATTATTCTTTGAGCCTATGAGATCCTACTACAAACCGATATGGCCAACATCTATGATTGAATAATTAATGAAATTGATTTTTTATATGGAGTGATGTTGCTCAAAAAGTAAAAGAACGATTTTGTTCATTTTTGATATTAGAATACTTATAAGCATGGCACACTGTCTTATGACACTTTTACATGTATGTTTTGTTGAAATTTTATATTTGCCTACTTAGAAGCATATTACACATAGGTTCTGCGCTGATATAAAGATAGCAGCACCTAAATTATTATTTCAAGAGAAATATGAATAAACACAGATTGATAACCATGCCATCTTTATTTAAATAGTATTTCTAGACCTTAGCCTATTATTATCCCAACGAACGAAGTTCGGTAGGGATATAGTGAAGCCCTCCGTCCGTCAGTCCGTCCGTCCATCCGGAAGATAACTCAAATATTAGTTGACGGATTTTCTTCATATTTGGTGGAAAGATGTATATTGATAAATAGCTTTACGCAAAAAAAAATCATAAATTTTTCATTCTAAACCAAAGCAATTGATATTATTGTTTGAAATTTTGGTAGTATATTCGCAACATCTATCTATTTCACATATATTCTGTGTTTTTCATCCTGACCCCCAGGGGCCGTGTATGGGGGGTCAGGAAAACAAAAATTTTCGCTAATTTTTAGATTTTTCTGAGGTATAGCTTTATTATACTCAAATGAAAGGCAATAAGAGGCAAATATTGTATCTTTTTTTTCTGATTCGAGCCTTGTAAAATTCAAAATGGCCGTCTAATGTACGATTTCGCATTTAATTTTTCGATCCCTTCAAAGTATGGCTATATAATACTCAAATTGAAGGAATTTTGGAGTAGATCACAATTATTATGGTATTATTTTTCAGATTTGTACCTCAGAAAAGTCAAAATGGCTGCTTTGCAGGAATTCGCAATTCTAAAATCTAAATTTTTCAATTTTAACCAAAGTAATGAGTATAATTGATTAGAATTCGGTAATTGATATTTTGTTCGTTGGGATTTGCTACTCCGCGGAGTTGCAGCTATCTAGTTACACTTTCTGCTTTTACAGATGCTAGAGGTGATATTTAGTTTCCTTGCCAGAAAAACAGACTTCTATACTGGGACTGGCCTGGACTCAAACCAAGCTGAAGAGGTAGATATTAAAAATAATTTTCCACTCCATGTTTAAATTCATGAAAAGTGAAATCTACTTTCACCAAATTATCATTTAGAATCAAATCAGTCTAACTTATATGTGTTTTGTTAATTTGGTGTTTGGTGTTCAATTAGATTTCAGAATCCCAGACGTAATAAATAATGATTTGACATCCTTTTCAATGTTTTTTTCATGTTTTATTGAAACAATTGATGGTGAACACAGAATTAAGTAATAAATTTTAAGAAATATTTCATTGCAGCTAATCATGAAAAATTTCAAGAAATTTCAAAAATCAGCCCTAGAAACCAAAGAGCAGGCAAAGAAGGAGCGTGAAGAGGCAGAGAGACGAAGAAAGGAACGCCAAAAGAAGAAAGAAGAAGAGGAACGCAAGCAAATGGAAGAGCCAAAAATTAAAGAAATTACAGATGAAGAAGCTGAGCAGATGCAAAAAGAAATCAGTAATGTAAGAGTACAAAGGCTTCTACATAATAGTCATAGGCTTTCAGTCCAATTTCTACTTTGTACAAATTGTATAGGGTTTTTTGAGATGTAAGGGCATGGGTAACAGGCATTGAAAGTATGTGTCGATCTGTCTTATACCCAAATTATATATTTTTTTTTTGTCTAAAACCATGATGGGTTCAACATTTAAGTCTTTAATGTTTTGACAAATTATTTAACAGAGCATGTCATATTTTATTGAATTAATAATGAATTGATGAGTCATTTTTTCATTTTCATATTTCTAAGATATTTTCTATTCATGTGAACATAAGTTGATAATCAAACAATAGGCAGTTTAAGGTTGCATATTGAATTGAAACGCCAACCTAAATGTATGACCAATTGCCCATACAAATGCATCGCTTAAATATTTTCCGTTCACGTTTAGGTTGTGAAAAATATTGCAAGCTAAACTCCCTAATGTATCTACATGTACTCTACTATATATATATAGATACTAACTTTAATATTCAAAATTTAATCAGTGATAAAGTGATTTGAAATCTACATGTGAAAAAAAAAATTTTTTGTATTGGACAGATAACTTTAATCAGATACATAATGGAAACATGAAAATTGGTCCTCTGGAACTAATGAATATTTAGGTTTGTTTCAATTTATACAATCTGAATATTTATTTGTCTGATTTTAGGGCACTCCTGATGATAAACCAAAAGATAAACCTGAAGATGGGAAAGAAGGGGTAAGTTCTTATTGATAACAGTTCACATATTTTTTATAATCACATAGTGGATGAGCTCGGACCATATTTTTACTCACACTATTGCATTTTTATAATTATGTTAATTATTTGTAGTTTATCATTTGCCATTGATTTTGAAAATAATAGGGTCTAGTTTTTCAGCCTCTTCGAATAATTGCCATTTATACCCCCCAAGCTACTTTTATGAGGGGGTAATACGATAAGCATCAATAATTTATGTTCTATATCTCCAATCAAATTTATATTTCTATGGAGTATGTATTTATATATAACAAGTTTCCATGACAAGTTTGATCATGCTTGGTCAAGTGGTTGCCATGGCAACACAACTTAACTGTGAAAAATTGTAAATATTTCGAATAAATCCACCAGTTCTTTAAAAGGTAAACGACTGCTAATCTCTTTGGATTGCACCAATCAGCATGAAGCTGACTTTAAAAACATATTTAAGGAGTTTTCAATGAAATAACATGATTAAAATAATTAATTTAATGATATCTATGACTCTAGTCCATAACTCTATTTGGTCACTACCATTCACATTGCTCAAAAGTGGGCGTGGCACTTTTAAGTAACTATCTTGAGTAATTCATGTTATATACTTCCAACCACATTCATACTTTCAGTGAGTATGTATGTATATATAATTAGTTGATATAGCAAGTCTGATCATGCTTGGTGAAATTATTGCCATGGAAACACAACTTACTTGTAAAGAAGTATAAACAATTTGATAAATATACACATAGTTCCAGATTGTACCAATCAATAAAAGGTTGACTTTGAAAACATGTCATAGGAGTTGGTTTTAAGAAAACATGACTGAATTCATCTATTAGTCAATGATATCAACTCATGGTTGATTAATTAACAGAACCTACTCTGTGTTCTTATATTGATAGATCTTAACATATTCAGCCTTCTATAGCGTACCTGTTTTGTGATAAATAAAAGAAATATCAAAAGGGAAATACAAGAGAAACTCTAGCAAAACGTCAAACTGATACTGCATCAAAGTCAATATTGAATGCAGTCATTGAAAAAGACTGGACTCTGCATGCAAAAATCAGTAGACGTTGCACAGTTTCTGCAAAAGCAATGTACCATAATTCATGCAGAAAATATTACCTGGCCAGTAAACGCCAAAACACAAATACATGTGAAAAAGTAATTGATTCATCATTCACATTTATTTGCAAATATATAAATGAAACGGTGGTCCCGTAATTGTTATATTAGACTCTCTTCACAATATGTTCCAAACACATGAGTGAACATAATCCAACCAAACCTGCACCAAAGTACAGAAGGTTATTAAATAACTTCAAAAATGGACTTAGTATTCATTTAGGGAATAAACTCAATTTCTATTGCCCAAAAGAATCTTCATTTAAAAATGAACTTGTATTTGCTAATTTAAGGGGCATCCCTGAAAAATCTAATGCAGAGGCTTTTCATAAGAATATCAATTCAGAACAAGATCTATTGACCAATGCTGGGTCGCATCTAAGACACATCATATTAAATGCCAAAACAAAATACCCCTCATTGAATTGGCCCCCAAGAACATCAGAACTTCAAATAGAATGTACAAATCCATACCAAATGCTCCTAAGGAATTTTTAATGAATCTCCTCCAGGGCAATGAGAACAAGACATTAAATGAGAAACAACAGCGGCTGGTGCATTCTATTGGACAAGATATTTGTCTCGCAACATGCCAAAACATTATTTACTAGCCCAGACACTACGTTACATTAATGAATCGTAATAGACATTGTCTGGCCTACACTGAGGTGATGCAAATCGAAACAGCAGGCTGTGAAGACATACAGAACAATGTTTCTAACTTACCTCACCATACTAATATGTACAAGGTGTCCCGAAAGTATGAGCCCCCTAGGCAGACGTATACAATGTTTCCATGGTATGTTCCATATATCATTTTAAAGCTTATCCAAAGTTACATTGATTTGCCAAATATCATGGTTCAGCTCACAAATGGTAAAAAGTTACAGGTATTTCAAAACTTAATAATGTTCAGCCAAAAATATAGTTCATTTTAGTATCCTGGAAACAGCCCTGACCTGAATGTGACCATTAATATGGGTGCTATTGACGAATATAGGATGGATATTGAGTTCGAAAAAGAGGACATTAAGGGTAGATACTCCAATGAAACTCTTCTAAAATGGCTTAACAAAATTTTTTGAGGATTACAAAATGCCACATCCCTATTTGAAGCGCGTTAAGGGTCATATATGAAAAACATTGCTGCTGTTAACATGGCCTAGGGAGACACAAATCATGATCAAAATCAAAATGATATAGGACACATACTATGGAGATATTGGTATATGTCTGCATAGTGGGGGCCCCGGTGGGGGCATACTTTTGGGACACCCTGTAGTTCAGCTAATTAAATAAGGACATAATATGATGTTGTAAATATGTATATATCATAGAAATTAAAATAGTATTTTAAAGAAAAACAGTGAACAATACAAAAATGAATCTAAATGAACCACACAAGCCAAACAAGTATATTTACAAAGAACAATGCCATTCATTTGTGTTACCATAGCAACCAATTACCAATAATCATCTGAATCATGCTGTTTTATTGACCAAAAATGGTTTTGAACACAACTTTATTTTGATTGGTTTAAGAGATCGATCAGCAGTTACTTGTTAATCTGAAATAGCTACAATTGTTTGCATGCACGTTTCCATGGCAACCATTTAATCAAACATGATCAGACTTGCTATATCAACTCACTATATGTATATACATAGTTCCTGAAAGTATGAACATGATTGGAGGTACATAACAGAAGTTATTTAAGATTGTTATCTAAAGGAGCCATGTCCACTTTTAAGTAGTTTGAATGATAGTGACCAAATAGGAATATTAACTAGAGTCATAGATATCATAAAATTAATCATTTTAGTCACATTCTCTCATTCAAAACTCCTTAAATATGTTTTCAAAGTCAACTTCATGTTGATTGGAACAATCCGAAGAGATTACCAGTTGTTTACCTTTTAAAGAACTTGTGGATTTATCCGAAATATTTACAATTTTTCACACTTAAGTTGTGTTGCCATGGCAACCACTTGACCAAGCATGATCAAACTTGTCATGGAAACTTGTTATATATAGATACATACTCCCTAGAAATATAAATTTGATTGGAGATATAGAACATAAATTATTAATGCTTATCGTATTACCCCCTCATAAAAGTAGCAAGGGGGGGTATAAATGGCAATTATTCGAAGAGGCTGAAAAACTAGACCCTATTATTTTCAAAATCAATGACAAATGATAAACTACAAATAATAAACATAATTATAAAAATGCAATAGTGTGAGTAAAAATATGGTCCGAGCTCATCCACTAACACATCCTTATTCAATATTCAGTTAATAAATTTTTTGCCTAAATATTAGGGGTGAGACGAGTCGAAAAAATCCAATTCGAGTCAAATCTGATTCGAGTCAGAAAATGACGATTCGAGTTTCGAATCCGTTCGAGTCGCGCGAAGTGCGAACAACATCGCTTTTGACCGTTCGTATTTTTAATGCGGTCAATGGTGGAAAGCCGGAAATATAAACAAACACAATTCGTCGTAAGTTTATTCTGATTTTATTACATATATTCTTTCATTTATGTGTACATACAATATAATAATTTAATACAAGCATATCCAAGTCATTGAAACTTATATATTCAACGCAATATCGAGTAAAAACATGCATATTGACAGTATTTTTCTGAATTTTTTTATTTTTTCGAATTTTTTTCTCAACTCGAAAATGATTCGATTCATCAACTTCGATTCGATTCGACTCGACTCGAAGCCCCAAACCCGCGAGTCCTCGACTCATCGGGTTGTCGTCTCACCCCTACTAAATATATATTAGACCATTCAAAGTAAATTAAATGTTTAGTCCCCTATCTAGTGGCTTAATCTTAGGCGAGTGGGACATGAAAAATCAAACATTTTTTCATTTAAGGAATTGAAGGGATAGAGACTGGGTGACAGTAAATTTTTAATTCTGTCCACAATTTACAATGATTTTTGCTTTTGCTCTCATCATTTCTCATAGGCTTGAATTTTCCATAAATACAGCATACACATAGGCCATATAATATTATTTACTTTTAAGTACAATGTTGAAAAGGAATGGTATGCCTGACATGTTTTTTATCCCATCGAACGAAGTTCGGAGGGATATAGGGAACGCCTCCGTCCGTCCGTCCGTCCGTCCGTCCGTACGTACGTCCGTACATACGTCCGTCCGTCCGTCCGTCTGTCCGTCCGTCCGTCCGGGCAATAACTCAAATACCGTTGGCCCGATTTTGTTCATATTTTGTACACATATACCCTATGGGAGTAGAAGTTCTGCTCGAAAGCCGATTTTCAAAATGGCTGCTCATTTCAAAATGGTGGCCATTTTAGTGCCGATTTTACAGTAATTTAGGTGTAACATGTAAAACTGTAATAGCAATATGTTTTAAATGTAAAAAAATTATAAAGGACATTAATAATGCTACAAATGTAGATATTAAAGAAGCGCATGGCAGCCATCTTGAAAAATGGCGGCCTTTTCTCGTCATTTTACGATTTTTGCTATAACTCAAAAAATAGTAGAGCGATTTTGTTCATATTTGGTATGTGAATACTATAAGCATTGAACACTGTCTAAAGACACTTTTGGTAGAAGGCGGCCATTTTGAAAAATGGCCGCCATTTTAACATGTTTTACTATAACTCGAAAAGTAGTGGAGCGATTTTGTTCATATTTGGTATGTGAATACTATAAGCATGGCACACTGTCCTATGACACTTTTGGTAGAAGGCGGCCATTTTGAAAAAAATTTGGGAAAATGGCTGCCATTTTAATGTATTTTACAATGATTCGAAAAGTAGTGGAGTGATTTTGTTCATATTTGGTATGTGAATACTATAAGCATGGCACACTGTCTATTTCTAATGACACTTTTGGTAGACAGTGGCCATTTTGAAAAATGGCCGCCATTTTAACGTATTTTACTATAACTCGAAAAGTAGTGGAGCGATTTTGTTCATATTTGATATGTGAATACTTTAAGCATGGCACATTGTCTAATAAAACTTTGGGGAGTAGTCGGCCATTTTGAAAAATGGCCACCATTTTTATGTTTGTTATTTTACAAGTAAGTGTGCGATTTTTCCAAAATTTTAGAGGTGGCTACTTAAAAGCATATTATTTCTTCTGATGACAACTTGGCTCGTGAGCAACCATTTTGAAAATGGTGGCCTTTCTGGTGTGTTGTTTTATGATATTTGCTATTCGTTTGTAAAAATGCCAGCCATTTCTGTTCGATGGGATTCGCTACGCTTTGGCGTTGCCGTTGTTCTGGTTAATTTTGTCATGTTAATGCCCTCTTATTATAGCAACCCTGTATTTATGTACCATAACCTAAGCATGTACCTTTTCACTCCTAGGTTGATTCAGATGAAGAAGATGAAAAAGACAAGGGAAAATTAAAACCCAACTCTGGTAATGGAGCAGATATGGACAAATACTGCTGGACTCAAACGCTAGAAGAATTAGAAGTAAGAAACCCTTTTACATCTATTTGTATATAAGGGAATATGATTAAGATTTATTTGTTCTTTTATCAACTGACTTGGTAGTAGGCACAAATCATAGTACATGTACTTACTGCATACAAGAGAAAGATTTGGAATAACACTCTTTCCAAGTCTCATAAGAATATACGGTAACACATGTATTTAGATTTTCTTAACTATTCTATCATTTATAGATGGCAGCACATTTTAACCTGAGACAATAAGATGTTCATTCACAATTTTAAAACTGAAAACAATACTCATCTATGACTTTCTTTTCCTTTGTACAATTATTTATGCCATGTTTTGTTACCATTGATTGGTTATTTTAGGTGCGAATACCATTTAAAGTTACATTCCCTATCAAATCTAAAGATGTGGTCGTGGAGTTTCACAAAAAAGTAAGTACATTATTTTTTTTCTTACATTATTTTACAGAATATATGTAAGCCATGAATCATAGAATTGAAGCCTTTGTTGCAATTTTAACATGATAAAGAAGCCAAAAAGCTATCAATCTAAATGTTTTTATTGTGACAGTATTTGTCATATTGGAAAAGGATATAGACTACAGATTGTGTTTATAAGAAATATGTATGTTTATCTGCTTTGGCGAATGAAAAAGGACAAGTCTCGGTTTGGAGAACTTGGAGAACAGTCTACACTGGGCTAATAATTTATTTTATAGAAAATATAGAAATAACACCCAAATTAAATTATGAATATTCAAAAGAGGACATTTAAATCTACAATATGGAAAAAAATCAAAATTGTGCGACTGATGAACTTCGTTCTCCTAACTAAGACTTGTCTATTACCTGTCTTATCTGAACACTTTTGAAATGTTAAAGACCATAGGTGCTTTATTGAAATTTTGATGCTTTATTGAACAGTAAAATGATAAAGTACAATTGAGAATTACAAGCAAGACATTCAACATTCACGAAGATATCAAATAATGCAATATTCATTTTATTTTCAGCATATAAAAGCCGGTCTCAAGGGTATGCCACCAGTCATAGATGGCGAACTATTCAACAATATCAAATTGGAAGAGTGTACTTGGACGATACAAGACAGGAAAGAAGTTATTCTTTCAATAGAAAAAGTAAGTTGTTATGCTCTAACTAACTACTACCAGCAAATAATCTCTTAAGACTTCAATTTGAAAATACTGCTACAGCTGATTAACTTCTTTTCTGTTAAATATTTTGGAAGTGATCATTTTTTTGGTGAGGTAAGACCAAATCACTCAAAAAGGCAAGTTCATGAATCTGTCTTTGTCAGCTTTTGCCAAATAAACGAGTCATAATTTACAAATCATTCCATAAAAATGTAGATATAAACTAACATCATACAATATGATGGCAAACCAGAAATGACTCAAATAATTGCAATGTCAGAAATCTCATATTCAGAAATTGCATTTTTGAACATTTCTATGATTTAACACAAGAACATGCTTAAACAGAAATCAATTTTACTTCTCTTCTTGTAGTTGTTGACGTGACTCAAAATTTAGGATGCTTGTCACCTTGTAGTGTCATTTTTCCATCATCAGAACACAAAAATCAGTTGATGACCAATAACAATCTGATTATTTCTTTATTTTCAGGTGAACAAGATGGAATGGTGGAGTAGAGTAGTCACAACTGATCCTGAAATAAACACTAAAAAGGTTTCCCCAGAAAATTCCAAAGTAAGTAGTTCAACTATAGAACGTTGTACCTTTGTTGCAAAACAAAACAGAGACATGTAAAACATTTAAGATTTCTCCAACAAAACTAGTGTATTGATAGAGAGTTTTCCTTTCGTTTGTTTGTCTATACTTTTGACTGGGGAATAACACGGATGCCAGTCGTCAAAGGTTAAAATTCTGTATGCTGATGTCTTATCAGCTTAGGACATCTAATAAGGAAGGAATATTAAGTATGGTCACTTCATTCAAATACTATTGAATATCCCCTGACCAAATTGATTCAGATTTGATATCATTATGGTTTATAGCTTTGCAATATCTGATCAACTTCCAAATTTAAATTGACCACCATTTTGTCTCACAAGACAACAGTCTCCAGTCCTCACTTCAGGGAATTCAGTCCCAGTCCTCACTTTCTTGTCATCGCGATTCCATGAAAACCTGAAATCGGATTTACGCATGTTACATGGTAAGAAGTTTAAGAGCTGATTAATTTTTCGGTGGCCATCTTGGATTCTGGTGGCCATCTTGGAAGTTTTTGGATAAATCTTGTCATTGTGATTCCACACTGCTATGTTTTAGATATGATATTGTTCACCCTGTGCCTTGTTAATATGTTGAGTCCCTGTGTTAATTAGCATTTTATATAATACACCATCACAAGAGCTTAATACTTGCACAGAATTAGCGCTAATTAGGTCATATGAAATGAGAACCAAACAATTAAAGAGTTCATGCGGCGGATATGTCCACCATTTTGGACAATGGCATCTGATGTCACCGTTGCTGTTGTACACAAATTTGTTGTTGACTCATACTTTATCCAGATATAGATTATATGAGCAATTGATATCAAACTAACATGAAGCTTCATGTATTTCTTAGACAACTCATATTAAAGAGGAAAATGACAACAGATACAAGATGAGACAGTACCCATCACACTCAAAGTTCCATTATTATGACATTCTATAGGCTATTCTTTAATGCCACATAAGAACCTCTGTTAGTTCATCAAATATCATTATTTAGACATTTTGACATTTTAGGTCGAAAACAACTAGTTTGAACTGATTTATGCATCAAACCAAAGGAATTCTTTAGAAGAACTATTTGGAATATAGCAGACTCATTATTATCCTTTGTACTTGGTAAATTTTAGAAAATGTTAATCCAAATGTAAATACCTCCATGTCCATATGGAATTCATGGGGTCTGAACTTGGGAGGTTATTCAATAAATATATAGTAAAAGTGATATCACCAGGGAATATTTAGGTATTGTGGAAATATCTCCAGCATAACCGTTCAGTGATAAATCATATTTATAATCATGATTTGGCAATTGGTGATGGGAGCTAAATGAGCTAAAAGAGTGTGGTGCTACGATAGCCCTGAACAATACCTGTCTTAGTGAACACCTCTCTCTATACTAAGAAATGTGTACATGTTCTTCTTATTATTAACCTTTCTTAACATGAGGTAAACCATCTGGGTATATAGCTTTCAGATTTAGATGGTGAAACAAGAGGTATGGTGGAGAAAATGATGTATGACCAACGCCAGAAAGAAATGGGTCTGCCAACTTCAGATGATCAGAAAAAACAGGATATGATGAAAAAGTGAGTGAATAGTATGATGTCATTAATAAATTACCCTGGGAGAGCATTTTCAAAGAAGCATACATTTATATTAACACATGATAAAGAAACAGGATATTATGTGAGAGCACGTTCAAAAAAGTATACATGCACATTAACACATGATAAAGAAACTGTTAATGAACAATAATAGAGATAATTTGAATTCTTCAAATCCCTAGATATCGATGAGAATGAATCAATGACACTACAGGGTGATCATAAAGTAAGATCAAAAGTGCTATAACTTTTGTAAATATTAATGAATCTGGCTCATTTTCTCACAGAATGTTGATCTACTAATTATACATGCACAAAATGTCAACATGTTACATTTAATATTCTGCGTTCTATGGTAAACATGGCAACCCAAGTCAAGGGTACTCGGAGCAGTCAAAATAAGAAAGAAAATAATGAAATGTTTTCTTTCTTAATTGGTTTATACTTTGGGAATACCACCATATTTTGTTCCATTCATCTTTAATATTATTTTCTCAGATGTTCATTTTAGGTGTTATACTATTTGCTATCAAGTTCAACACACTTTTCATGACGTTTAATCCAGTCTATGAATACATGTTTGAATGCCAATCGCAAGAAAAGACCAAAGTTGGTAGATCACTTCATCCTGCATTGGGATAATGTACCTTGCCAAGTCTAACAAAGAAGCAAATGGAAAGTTAAAGGACAACTGAAATTAGTGAAATAGCTTTTCTCAACTTGCAGCTACAAGAATGCGGTTTTCTCCATTGTAAGCCCATCGTAGAGTTCTTGCGATAGCCATTGTAAAGTAAATGTTAGATAACTGCTAACGGTCATAGATAACGAAATAAAACTAACTGATAAATCAAATTGGCCCCCACGTGATTAGTAACGTCATATACAAAATATTAGATTTGGTTTATTGGTTCCATAGTAATCACAACGTCACGGCAACCATAGGATTGTTGTATAAACAAATAACAAAACATTTTGGCATTATGACGTCATGATCTAATGGACCAAAACGGGCCACGTGGGGACCAGTGAGAGATCACGTGGGGGCCAATAACGTCACAACCAATTCGAATATTGCTTATTAAGCAGCTATAACGATCGTTAGAGTGAAATAGTTTTCACACTACTGATGAGAAAACATGTCCAAATACATCTATCAAAAAATTATATTGATTCCTTTAGGTTAAAAATACCATTTCATATCTGCTTTAAGGGTTTGAACAACTTGGTATTGCCCCTTACTCACCAGACATGACTCACTCAGTTTTATTTTGGGACTTAAAATATGAACTATGAAGAGGTTTTTTCATGACAGACGAGGATCTAAAAAGGTGGTATTTGTCGGAATGCATGTGATAAGTGAAGGTGGCTTCAAGCATGTGTTCATGGACTTCATGGATTAAAAATCCTTAATAAAGGACCCACGGTCCTGTGCTCACACAGTTTGGAACCTTCAGAGGAATGTATATCCTGACTTTCAAACATAAATATTGATTTGGATTTGTTGTCTCGGACTTTGAGACACTTAGATAGCACAGTTGTGTGACCTAGTTTGATGAGCTTTGACCTTGAAAATTTTACTTATTCAGAGCTCAGTAAGTTCTTTTGTGATTAAGCTGACCAAGATTTACTTTCAAAAATCAATTTGAAAATTCAACTTTTTTTACCTTTCGAAGGTCACTGAAGGTCAAGTAAAGGTCAAATCCTAAAACTAATGCCAGATTTGAACTCCTGGCAACTTGTAGATGATTTTCAAAAAAGAACTTGGTTAAATTGAAGCAAGTTGAAAAATAACTTATTTTTACTGTTTTTTGACGTCAAATATCTCAAAAATGGTAAAAATGTGATGCTGACATATATTGAGCAATATGTAGGGAATGCTTAAATCTAGTAATGATGTAATTCATTGCAAGAAATGATCAAGTATAAGGCAAACTTTGAGAAACTTGTCAATCACAATACCTGCCATTGACTTTATACATGAGAAAGTTTCCTGAAAAGACAAGTCCTACTTTTTGTCAAATTTTATAGAGTAAACACCAAAAAGTGTAATTCCAAGAGCTTTGAAATCTTCAGAGGACATAAGTTACATGTACAGCAACTACTACAAGTTATTTGAAAGTTCTACTTCAACAAAGTGTCTAGTATTTACAGAAAATTTGACTTTTTGACGTCAAAATCAGCAATTTCTCGGAAACCGGGCGAACTTGGGAAATGGCGATGATAGGTCAAATAGGCATTATGGATATGCATAAATGAATGTGAATATGACTCAATCCGAATAGCAGTTTTAATTTGTGCGGCCAATGTTGACGGACGGATGGACCAACGGATGGATTGACGGACGAACCAACGGACGGACGCCTGGTAGATCCCATAGGCTCACTGGGTGAGCCAAAAAGGATTGAACATAATGGCAAATATATAGAACGCCTAGAATGAACATCTGAAAAAATGATGATGTACAAGATTGAAGAATGCATTGAATGTAACAAAATATGTATGTAGTCCCAGTATATAAAACCATTAAGAAAGAAAACATTGCAATATTTTCTTTCTTTTTTTGACTGTTCCGGGTACCCTTGACACGGGTTGCAATGGTTACCATAGAACGCACAATATTAAATGCAACATATTAAAATTTATGTTGTGTATGTATAATTAATAGATCAACATTCTGTGAGAAAATGAGCTAAATTCATTAATGTTTACAAAAGTTAGAGCACTTTTGATCTTACTTTATGATCACCCTGTATAAAGCAACTTATTTAATCTTCTATATTCTTTTCAGGTTCATGACCCAACATCCCGAAATGGACTTCTCAAACTGTAAATTTAATTAGGAGATTAGACAATTATTTCATTCTCCAAAGGAGAAGGGCTTCGTGGATAATCACAAGTGGCACAGGCATTCACCGCAGAAGAATAAAATGTTTGTTTTATTATATTACTGTCAAGCTTACAATACTCAATTTTAAATTCTAAACATACAGATATTACAGGTTTTAACTTCTGTTTACATGTGTCATTATATCCTGGACCTTCTTTGAAGATTTTTGAGAGAAATGACTACCGATAGTTATTCAATGGTTGTCTAATTTTATGAGCATGATCACTGACTTTTTCTTCATACAAGCTTGACAGTGATAATTGTATGAAACACATATGTAATATTACATACAACTAATCCTCCCTTAGTTTGGTGAAATCCAGGAACGATGGAGTTTGGATGTTGAACTCATCTGAGACCTGATCACATAATTTGATTTCAACTTAGAGATTTACATCCAGTAATTGCCTGCCCTGATACTACAGTGTAATATTATAGTGTATAATATTCTCTATACTACATGGCTCGTGTGGACTGGTTTAGTACAGTGTGTGTTGTATACTGTACACTATTTCATCGATTACATGGACTGGCCATGAAGTGCAATGTATGTAAAGAATTGTGGTTTAAGTACAATGTATGTAATGTACTGCACACTACATTGATTCTTAGAGCAAGTTTTAGTACAATGTATATAAAGTACTATACAGTACACTTCATTGGTTCTAATGGCTTATTAAATACAATGTCTAAAAATACTTTACTGACAAAACAATCAAGCCTGAAGTAGACTTCTTGGGAAGCAATATACTGGAAAGCTTGTTTGTTTTTTATCGTTTGATCTGTAAAATAATGTCCTCTGATTGGTCAGTTCCTGTGCTGTACCAGTCCGTATTGATACCGAGATTGCCCCCATTGATCATCTACGTAGCAAAACAGAAAATATTGGTACAGAGGGGACAATGTCAGTAGCGATACAGAGAATACTCGTACTAATAGAGAATTTCTCGAGCAAAATATATCTTGTATTGCACTTCAAATCATTCATATTATATAGAATATATTAACTTATATTATTGTATGATCTGTAAAATTAAGCCTTCTGATTGGTCAGTTCCTGTGCTGTACCAGTCCATATTGATACCAAGATTGTCCCCATTGATCATCTCCGTCGCAATACAGAAAATATTGGTACGGAAGGGACATTCTCAATAGCAATACAGAGAATCACACAATAAAAACGTTATAGAATGATTTGAAGTGCAATACAGGATATAATCTGCTCTCGATATTCTGTATTGGCACTCGACTTAGTCTCGTTCCAATACAGAATTTCTTGAGCAGAATATATCTTGTATTGCACTTCAAATCATTCAATAACTTATAGTCTTATACTTTAAGTTTGAAGAAAAATGGTACAGTGTGTGACTCATATTCTTTGATTTTGGAACATCTGCTAGAGCTAGATTTAAATTCAAAATAATATTCGGAAGTTTCAGTACCTCCTGTATTTATAAATGTGAACAAATGGCCATATAAGTGTTCACATTTTATAAGGTGTTTCCATTAGAAATGTGTTCACATATGTTGGCTTTACTCTATTGCTTCAGAAAATTGAACCTCCAATCTATATCACTAGAAATTTTGTATATTTATATTTGGTTATTCTCATTTATATATGTGGAGTAGTGACCATCTGCAATCAACAAAATCTCAAGAATTTTGCAACATGCATTCTGTAAAACAATAAAGGCTGTAAACAAAGTAGACTTGTTTTGTACATGACTTGTATAAATTATCATCATTTTTGTAGTTAAGCCAGATAAACTTCCTTAAATAAAGGATTTTTCCCTATACTAGAGAATCAATGTATCTCCTTCATTTCATTACAATTGACAAGGTATTTTTGATTTTATTATAATTATACTGCCAAAAAGGAATTGGAAGGTTTTAGAATCAAAGGGCTAAATATTGTCAAAGAATTTTAGAATGACAAAAGGTTGAGGAATTCAGTCCAGTGAAACTGACTTGTCTGCTTGTTGAGTTAAAAAATCAGAATACTGGTTAAAATAATAGTTGCTTTGTTATTATAGACTCTGATCTCAATTTCAAGACATGTATTTGCACATACCACGGTAAGCTACAAGTGTGTGATACAATATTTTAGTAATCGCCCGTTGTTCAAAAATTTATGTTATGCCATTCATCATGGTCAGAGAAAAGTATATCCTAAAATGTCATTGTTATTTTGGCGAAACGCTGTCTGCATTGTCCTGACTGTCATGAGAAAACTTGCACAAAGTAAACAAAAAGGGATTGCTTTGAACTAACTTATAGTGAAAATCATTATAGATAAATCTATTTAAACCTTTTACAAATTTTCTCTAATGCGTTAGCAAAGTTTGTGAAGTTGGTAATATCTTAAATGTGTGTACTTGCATGTTTCAAGATTAATTTTTCGACTCGAGTCCAGGATGAGCAAATAAGGAATGACAAAATAATGTGCCATTTTCTTTTGGTTCACTTTTGTTACTTGTATATGCCTATTCTTCAGGTAGAGAGAATTGTTCAATTGAGAAACTTCCTAAGAATTGAAGAATTGATCAAACTACAGTCGTTTAACTATTTTCTGTTTAGCTTATAAATTCTGTATGAAATATTCAAGTTGCACTTGACCTACTTATTCCAAAGAAGCCCAGCTGTCATGTTAATGTAAATGGATGTTCTGTGCACCTGAAGATAAAGTCTCGGTGGTCATGCTTCTTAATAGAAAATATAGCAAAATGAGAGGAATTTGTTTGAATAAAGTAAACATGCATGAAGTCGACACTCTAAATTATATAGAAATTCTGGAAAATCTGGCAACTCGTTCACTTTTTCCCCAGAAAATGTTTGAAATAGAAACTACCAAAGAGATACTCTTTAAGTGTGGGTTTATGTGAATTGTGAATCTATATAGGTATCAATCCAGCTTACTTATCCATGTCTACATATCCATAGGATTATTAAACGCTTATGTAGGAATTAACTCTGAATATAGAGGTCAGGGGTCAAAGTGAACACATGTTCGGACTTTGAATGAGACAAATTCGCATATCCATGGGAAAATACGTTTGCGAATAGTTTTAGTTACAAAGTGAATTAGCTGAACAAGGTATTGCAATCCAACAGATCAAATTTGATGTTGATTTTGTGTGTTGTATTAATGTTTCACCTGAGCTATATTTTTACCAACATTTCTAAGCACGTTTTTAATTTGGGGTTAGACATATATGGATTGTGTGTGGCACATTCTCCCGAATGCTCTTTAACTTTTATTGAATATAAAACAACTTCCATTATACCAAACAATGCAACAATATTTAAAGGCACTCCAGTTTCAAAAAGGTTTGTTAATATTTGACAATGAAAAATCAAAAAGTAATTCAATATTTTGTGGTATAACATGCAGGGGTTCAATACATCAGAGTTAGCTTTTTATTTATATGCATGGTGAGGCAAAGCAGAAAAACAAAGCAAATACTCTATAGTTACAGGGATATGACTCTAAAAGGTCACCGAGGTCTCTTGAAAAATCAGTGAAAAAAATATTTCTTTTGTAAGTATAATTAGTAAATTCAGTAGATCCAGACTCTCTGTTGATTGCACTCTTTGCACCAATACACCCACTTGTTTCTTTTAGCATTAAGTTTTTGTTCAAAATCGGAGAAAATAATTTATTTTACGGATCTTAGTTTGGGATATTTGGGGTTTGTTTTCATTGTGATCTGTTGCATTATTTTGGTCGTTTCATTTTCAAGCTCTGTTTTGTAACACTTTTTGTATTTTCACTTTTGTCCCTTGTGCATGCATATTTACAGGGTGTACTGTTCCTTTCTGATTTATTCTGTTTTATCTGATGTAGCTTTTCCTGCTAAAATGGCGGGAAATGCAAATACTTGGAAATTGAACATCAACGCCTTTTTTCGTAAAACAGTTTTTAATTCGTGGGAAATACACTTTGTACGATCGATATCTTCAAACTTTCCATTTGCACGTGGACTGATTTTAGCATACTAGTATTATTTAGAGATGGCAACCTAAAGAAGCGCAGTTTTTGTTGATATTTTTATGGATATTTAAGATGAACGCATCGAGTCAACACCTATTCAGAGCTCAGCTAAAACGTTTTATAATCTGTGGAAGCTCGAATCAACTGTTTATAACTATAATTGAGCCATGTTTAATAGTTAATGGCAAGGATCTTATAAAATCTTATTTACGAAATAGAAAATTGACGCATTAAAAGAGTCCTCTATTGGTATATCCTAGTCAATAGGCTAGAGCACTGGGGATGAACTGGAAACGAGGGAGGTTTTGCCTCGTATCAAAATGGCGGAGCGTGAAAAAATTTCATTCGGTAAGATTTTTGTTTTTTACAATTTTCGTGCTTTTGTCCTTCAAATTAAAACTTAATATTTGGCAAGTAAATAGTTCATAAGTTCCGGTTTTATAATATGATTACAAATTAGAAATCAATACTGGCATTGCTGAGATATTTACATATCAATTCTCTCACTTAGGAAACGAGGCATGTTTCTCAAGGAAACGAGGCAGCTATATAGCATTCTTAAGAATGAAACGAGGCAACCATATTTAATTAAAAATGTTTTGTTTTTACAGAACGGGGCCTATAAAAAGAAGCGTCCCTGTTCATTTAAAATCACCATGTGGCATGTATTTTTAGTTTATTTCCTTCAAAATTAGTTTTTTACAGTTATTTTAAAGAAAAATATCATCCCGTCCCTCATCAGCATTTTAGATAGACAAAAAGGTAATATAAAAACCGTCATTCCCGTATCAATTTTGAAAAATAGAAGAAAGAGAAACAACTAATTTAATTACCCTGGCCTAACATAAAATTTATGTCATCAGTCTATACATGCGCGTATAGTGATACATTTGAACAAGATGGTTCTGGAAAGAAATGAGCGTGGCAGATTTGCTAAAAAGCCACATACACCACAAAAGCAAGACCAATTTGAAAGTAAGTTCATTATTCTCAAGGGTACACTTCAAGTGAAAGCTACATTGCTACAGGGTGGCCTATCATTCTGAGACAAATGTATTATCCAACGATTGTGATTTTCGAAGCTAAAATATGATATCTTGAGCAGATGGAAATACATTCCCATGAGATATGTATATATAGTAAAAAGTGATCACTATTTATTGAGTGTAATGAAATGTATCCTTCGCTAACTGCTTTTGTTTGAGATAATTATCATGAAATATTTTTAGATTAATTTTT